GCTGATTGACTACATAGTCGAACGCAAAAGGGTGCAAACTTCAGGTTGCCGTCATTGTCCTCATTGTCTCAATGAGACGCCGACGAAATTAGCAGTGTGTCTAGTTTGTTGGACAGAACTTGAAAGCTGTGGAATTCGACCATATCGGCTACAAGCTCCTGAAGACGATGAAGATGAGGCCACAAAGAAAGAGCTCGATGAAGAGGTTCGTCGACAAGAAGAATCGTTGTTCAAGGATACGGTCCATCAAGCACAAGAAAACGTATCCGAATCCAACGACTATGGCTTCAACCCTGATGAGGTCGACTACAACGAAGGCGATGATGAAGAAATGGATCAGGAGGAGGAAACTCAACAGGAAGACGACGAAATCGTTGAAGAAGAAGACGACGATGAGATGGACGTCGAACCTGAAAATGAACCTTCATCTAAACTACCAGCATGGACCAAGAATCTTGAGTGCGGAAGCAAGGGTATGCCAGGAGACGGACTTGTCAACAATGATGTCTCCGAGGCCGCGGCTCACTTGTACGACAATGCCGTGATGTCAAAGATCATCGCAATGTTCAGACTCTACTACAAACAGAGAGTCACTCTGACCCCAGAGGAATACTATGCGATGATGACGGAAACCAAGCGAGTCCGGCTGGACCTGGACGACTTCTGCCCTTACACAGGCGAAGACCAGGATGGCAACCTCAAGCGACCGACGGAGCTGGAATTGGACGAACTCTTTCAGGAGAAAGGGAAGAAGAACTCATGGTCAGAGGGAGAGAAGATGTACTCTGGACGACCAAGAAACATGATGATGCCTGTCATCAAAACCTCAGAGGTCTACGAAAAGATGATGGAATTTCTGGTATGTGCCGGGTACACTCCCGAGTCCTTGGGTTTCCTCATGCCAATGAATAGGATGCAGGCTGATGCACAGGGGAAACAGGAGATGAGAGTGACCATCAGCAACTTTCTCCGACGACTGCTGAAAGGAACCTTTCCAGAACATGAATCATATACCTTCTTCCGTTCCGGGAGCCACGGCTTCCCCAACTGCATTGAACTCCCAGCTTTCTCGGTATATCTGAGTCTGAGAGAAAAGGAACAAAGGGTGGAACTACTCTTTGCTGCACAACAATGCGGAATTCCGTTACCTCAAAACTTTGTCAGCAAGATGGCTTATGCTATTCAACTGGCTGAAGCCGAGGCGCAGAGGGGAAAGACCGAGATGAAAATGAAGATGGCTCCAACCCTTGGCGACGAAGTGGTGAGTGAGGTATTCAAAGCAGTCGGAGGTAGTGCCGCTGCCAAGTTTGCCACCGCAGACGCAAAAGCCAAATCGTCAACACAGCCTTCGCAGAAACCTGAAGGTACTGGTTCAGCGTCATCCTCATCGGCCAGTGCACCAAAGGCTAAGGCTATGCCGAGGTCCTATGAACCATCCAAAGCACCACCTGCGAAGCCTTCATCGCCGAAAGCTGCTCCGAAACGTGCGGCAGGATGGGAGAAATCCCCAACAACACCTCAATGGAAGAAAGTCCGCCGTGAGCAGTAAACCAACTACCTCTGTTCATCCAAATGATCACTGGACTATAAGATGTGTATCGTCTTTGTGAACAGATGATCAGGAAAAGACCAACTGAGTGGACTCTGAGCGAGGCAGTAGATTAATTCGCTTAAGTCCGAGATTTTCAATATTCCCAATCTGCACGAAATTCTGCACAGTGCACGTGAATTCGTTAGTTAGCATTGTAAATCTTTGGTAGCGAAGCGGTCCATTTCTCCCGTCGGGTGAGTGGCATGCCTAGCCAACGTAGAAAAGTAGATGTTAGCTAGCAATAATTCACGATGTACAGCTTGAAGAGGCGCCAATGCATCGACAGCCATAGAGTAGGCGAACCCGGAACCATTATTCCCGTCGGGTATGTGGGAAAGGGGGAGCCGAATGGCACGTTTTATGTATATAGGCGTAATTCAAGTAGCAGAACCATTCTAATTCAAAGTTCCCTCTCTCGTGTCCGTGGTCCGAAGGTACCACGGGCATGGGGGGTGTTAAAGGGAACAAAGCGCTAGTACATGAATCAATGGACATTGATTTGCCCTTGTGGCTCAAGCGCCCGTTGAAAGGAAAACAGCCGTGCGTCTCTTGCAATGCCTTGCTAGGGTTCGGTTACACTCAGCATAGCAGGTGCCACCAATCGAAACAACATCCAGGACAAGGATCTATTTGTTCACATATATATATATTATATATATTATATATTATATATATTATATTATATATATATTATATATATATTATATATATATTAGTTTGATCAACAAAACATGGGAGTACTTGTGAGTTCACCTGCAAACAATGGTGAACCTGGATGAAGAGCAGGTTTGTGTAAGTGTGATATTTGTGTTCGTGCCTTAATACGAAAGAGTCTTTATTTGCTCCATAAGAAAGGATAATTTACAACAACAAACATGTTACCCTCCTGTAAACTAAGAGATTGTAAACTAACATGGTAGATTTGAACATAGATGAACATGATAAACAACAAACAGTTTACTTGTTTATGCTGGCGGCTGGTTTACCGTACGTGCGTTTTTGTGTTTTTTTTTGCCGATGGGGTGGGGTGGGTTGGGGTGGGGTGGGGTGGGCTAATAACGTTCAATGGCACTAGCACACATACGTGATGCTACGCTACCGACCCAATCTCTTGCACTTGCACACATAGCTGATGCTACGCTACCGACCTCATCTCTTGCACTTGCACACATACCTGATGCTACGCTACCGACCTCGCCTCTTGCACTTGCACACATACCTGATGCTACACTACCGACCTCGTCTCTTGCACTTGCACACATACCTGATGGTACGCTACAGATAGGTTTGTCTGGGGTGGGGTGGGGTGGGCTAAGAACGTTCAATGGCACTAGCACACATACGTGATGCTACGGTACCGGTCTCTTCTCTTGCACTTGCACACATACGTGATGCTACGCTACCGACCCCGTCTCTTGCACTTGCACACATACCTGATGCTACGCTACCGACCTCATCTCTTGCACTTGCACACATACCTGATGCTACGCTACCGACCTCGTCTCTTGCACTTGCACACATACCTGATGCTACGCTACCGACCTCATCTCTTGCACTTCCGCACATAGCTGCGCCAGAACAAAAAAAAACGAAAAGTCCGATTTTTTTGTTGTCTCCCTGTGGCGAAACGCAAATCCATCAAAAAACAAGGCATCCTGAAACAGCCTCTTTCCACTCCTGGCGTTCACAAAAGCGTGCAAATACAAGTGAAAAATGATGAAAAAATAAAACACAATGGAATTAGCCACATTTTCTGACCAAACATGATGATGATTGCTTCAAAAGTCCTGCAAATACCAAGAGATAAACATGAAGGTCATCATAAAGACTCTTGAGAAAATGCCAAAACACACGCGCGGTAAACCAGGCGCCGGGTTGTTTATGCCTCACACCCCAGCCACCCTCCTGTAAACTAATGGGGTGCAAATTCCACCTGTAGATCATGTTCCTAGGCTTTCCCCATGGGTTTGCCACATCCATGTTGGTTAGTTTAAGGCACAGTCAAGGCCCGAAACACCAGTTATAAGTCAGTTGTAACCCTATGTATGGAATGATAACCCCAATATACCTCAATCATAACCATTTCATAAGCATGAATAACGATTTATAACCATGTATCACAATTTATAACAATTTGCAAGTGGTAACGGGCCAAACAACTGCAAGGTACCCGTCAAATTTATGGATACTAACATGAACCGAGTTTGCTGAACTCCTTGGTGCCCAACGTGGCCATGATGGGAACACACGCCTGAGCCGCAGCGACAGACTGTGTAGCTACAGGATGGTGCTCCCAAACGTGATGTGAACGTTGGTTAACAAAAAACCCAGGAAAACTATGGTGCTATCTACCATAAACCATAGCTAAGCCACTTATAATGGAAACACGTGTTCGGTATTGCCTACAATGTGGGGCCTCCTAATTATAAGTTGGTTTATACACCCTATTAACTATAGTTATAGGCATCATAAACCTTAGTCATTGAAGTTATGTTCGCCAACTTAGCTATCTTGTGGGCCCTCTTTGTATTGCAAGCTGCAAATCGAAGAAGCATAGCGGCATTATCAGTGTTGCTACCGTGGTTTGTTTTCTGGGACACCGGAGTCGCATGTTGGTGATACAGGAATCGCATGGATAATTTTTGAGCATGCTCTGATCCCACAATTGGCTTGAGCCTACAACCTTGCTGGTGGTTCATTCTGATCACTTATGGAGGCCGTAGCCCAGTTATAACCAGGGATATAACCGACTGAAACGAAGGAGAACCAATTTGCCAACCAACGAATTGTGTGATACTTTCTGTGAACGAAACGACGTATTTTGACTCACCGCTCAAGGCTCCATCGCTGATCCTACAGCGAACCACGTCCCTCCCACCACGGGATTTTCATAACACTGTGGAGTTTGACGGCAACATCACTCAGACTTGCATTAGCCACTTACGCGACCTGCAAAGGGAGGGATACGAATTGTGCGTGTGCTCGTTCGCTAGTAACGTGGCCACGCGACAAAGGGTGGACATTACACAGCTGTCGTCAACCATCGATGTTTAATAGCATTATTGTGCATTATCGTGCGGCCAAGGACGGATACCTCTGGCGCAAAGGTGCAGAGAGACCACAAAGTGGAAGCTTGCTCAGGATTGGGTCGCTACTCATGGAGCATTTTTAGGGGTGTCGGATCAGCGCAGAGACTTGGAGCGGAGGTTGCATCGCAATTTTGTGGAGATCTGTATCACAAGGACAAAGCTTCTTGCTGACAGGGTGAATCCCCAGTCCATCACCGGACACGAGGGCTGCAAAGCCGAACAGATAGCTTTTGTTTCCAAAAACATGCCCATTATATCTCCCATTTTCTGCCAGGTCACCCCCGCTTCACCACGGGTCCCCTGGGGGCCTACTTTCCGAGGCGCGTTGAAACCAATGTCTCCAGCCCAGAGGAGGAGTATGGTCCATATGTTCCAGGTGCGACGTCAAGTCACTGGTTCCAATCTGTGCCTATGATGGGATTTTCCATAAACATGCGAGAAACTATGGAACATCACCATTTTTAAGTTCGGTAAATCAACTATTTCTATGGGGCATTTTCAATGGCTATGTTAGTTGACCAGAGGGTATGTATCAAGGATCGTCTTAGACATGGTTCCCTTCATCTAGTTTCAGGTTGAACAAATTGATGCAAATGTGAACCGCTGATTGTTGTACTGAAGATTGGACCTGACCTGCCAGGTGAGGCTCTAGATTTTATCATGGTTACTTCCTTCTCCTCCTCCGTCCTCCTTCCTCCTTCCTTCCTCCTTCCTTCCTCCTTCCTCCTTCCTTCCTCCTTCCTTCCTCCTTCCTTCCTCCTTCCTCCTTCTTTCCTCCTTCCTTCCTCCTTCCTTCCTCCTCCTTCCAACCGCCAGCTCCAGATCTCCAGATCTCAAAGGGCACTGCCGGACTTGAACCGCGAGCTCCAGATCTCAGTGGGCACAAGCGCGAGCTCCAGATCTCAGTGAGCACTGCCGGACCTCAACCGCGAGCTCCAGATCTCATGTCAGAATAGATGCCAGATAGAATGCCGTAAAGAATGTGAAAGTATATGCCAGAAAGAATATCAGATAGAATGTCAGAACATATGTATATATTTTATATTTATATATATATATATGTTTATAAATATGTGTATATACATATATATACATATTCCAATATATACTTCGAAACAACCTATGTCAAAATAATGCGTCAGGGTGGGGATCACTTGAAGAAAGTAATTTTGATCGGTACCGACGGGACAATCTTGTGGGGGATCAACTGCTTTCTTTCTCTTCATCAGTTACCAGGGCTTGACACTTTGACTGTTGGTGCCATCCCGTATTTATATTGTTTAAGTCCCATGTGTGTGTTGGTAAAACGCGTTCAACCCCATAATCCCATGTGTGGCTGATCAAATCCCATTAGTTTGCATTGGTGAGATCCATACAAACTGTTGCCCCATAGATAAGTTGGTTTACAGCTCCAATGGGGATTACCCTGGAAGTCCCCATGTTTGAATGTTTAAACACTAATTTACATGTACCGTATATCGTCATGTTTCTTAGTCATAATCACCATAACCCCGGTTTAACCTTGTCATAACTGCCCTTACATATATGGTCCATTAGATCCCATTACAGTAAATCCCAACAAATCACCATAAAATCTCCGAGATCCAAGTAAAATCACATGTTGCTTTGGTTAGATCAGAACCAACATATCCATGAAATTGTTCCACCACTTTTTTTTGTGCTGTAAATCCCTTTTTGTTTTTCGGTTGCTTCAACGCAGGCGCCCTCTGGTTCTCGGACGCCTGTGCCATCGGCAGCAGCATCAAGATGGATGCCTCTGTCACAGCTGGGGGAGGCAGCAAAGCTGCTGTTTTTTTTTGTTGGTGCCGTTGGTGTCCGAAATGTTGGATACGGTTTAAAGAACATAGGGATGTAATATGATTTTCCTTGATTTCCGGGATTTAGTTCAGTTTCAAACTGTTTTAAAATAAGCGGACGATCAAGACCAAGACGTTCAGGGTATCCAGTATCCATAGACAATAAATTGCTGTATTTCCTTGTAATTTCCTGCTAGTCCTGTTCATGACATGGATGTATGTGACATAACAGGATTGTTTGAATGATTGTTTGCACTGCACGGGAAGTGTATAGTTAATAGAAACACAGTTGCCCAAAGAATGAACGGATGAACATCTTAACGGCCTGATAGAAATGAACCACCCGTACAAAATGATCCCCCAAATGATCCAAAATAATTCCAAAATATCCAAATGCATCGTTTCATTTTCCTCACTTTTTGGGGATGTTGCTTCACCAAGTAATCTAAGTTTTGACCTCCATTTGCCAGCCATCCGCCAGCTGACAACCAGGCACCGTGTCGATGTGGTGGCAACTGCCAGATTTTCATCAGGACGACGACCTGTGGAACCAATCCCCCTTATCCCCCGTTCAACCCTTTAACACCCCCATTCAACGGTCCTAAATATGTATAAGTCTCTATTAAGTCATGGTTTCTGGGGGATGTTTCATGTTTAGGGGAAAGGGATTATAGTTTTTGGCAACTGTTCAAAAGTTTGTTTGTCGCCACTTCACAGCGTGAAGCTGACAGTAACTCGCTGCCGATGCCATGTCTGAAGCAGGATTTGAATGAGCTATACAAAGTGAAACCCCAGTTTTAAGTTGGTTGACAATCCCATCTAAGTAAAGAATATAAGTACCATAAACCTTAACTTATTGCAGTTTTCACCATCACAAGTCAGCTACCGGGGAGCCCCACATTGAGGCTATGACCCGAGGTGGATGTTGGATTTGCATTGTTGATAGCAATCCTCGTTGATTGCGGTTAAAATCGTTTCCGTTGTTGTTGGTAAATCCACACTTTGTTTGGCTGCTTATATCATTGATATACTTTTTTTTGCGGTGAACCAATAGCAGCCTTTTGTAATCTCTCTTGGGTTGATACTAATTCAAAGTCCATATGATTTATTACATTCTCCATTGTTTTACTGGTTGGTGGTTTGGAACATTTGGATGATTTGCCCATTCAGTTTGGAATGTCATCATCCCAACCGACGAACTCCATCATTTTTCAGAGGGGTAGGGCTCAACCACCAACCAACATGATTTTTAATTAACCATCATTAACCAAATAATAATCATATATTAACTAACCATTATTAACAGTATATAAACCACCAACCAGTTAATGTTAATTGTTTTGCCATAAACAATTCTACAGAGTTTTACTTGTGGCCTCCATGGTCCCGGCAGGATGATTTCTACGTCCTATGGGCCGCAGTGGATCCGCTTTGTACGCAAGAAGTTGAAGTGAACGCGCCTCGACGCGTCGCGGGTCAACAGGTGAAGCATACATCTTGTTGTGCATATGATTTGCTACCCTCTGGTAAATTAACATAGACCCTGGCAGATGGGGGTTGGAAGACTAGGTTCCTTAAAAAATGGGTGATTTTCAGGGTCTATGTTTATTTACCAGAGGGTAATCCCCAAAAACTGATGGAAAAGTAATTCAGCACGTTTTAGCACTATTTTCATGGTATTTTACTGTTCCATCATTTTCGGGGTGACTCTATTTTTGTAGATGATTATAAATTGAATTTAGGTATCGACATGTACATGGGAACGTGATCATCATCAATATTTATCATTATGATAGTTTAATTTCAGTCTCAATTTTTGTATGTATGTATATATATCCCACATGATCCATATTTACATCATTGTTTTTGTTTTGGATTGGAAAATGACGGAGCAACTGGATGATCATCTCGCTGAGCTTAGCGAGAAAATCTGGGCAACTTAGACAACTTAGAACGAAACGGGGGTCCCACTATGTGCCAGATTCTATGAATATCTATGGATATCTTTGAATGGGAGCCATGAACTCCAGAATCAACTATGAACTTAGAACTTAGAACTAGATTTTCGAAAGCTCGGGAGATGAAATCCAGAATCTATGAATATCTATGAATGGGTACAGTAAATGGGTAATGTTCTAGTGCCAGTTTGAAGCTTAAGGTTGGCTTTGAGGGGCTCTAAGCTTGGCTAAGCTTGGCCATGGTGACAAGCAGTGTATCCTCGTTCCCAGTTGCAACATGTTCCAAATGGATACCCTCAACTAGGGTCTTTGAACCCATGTCTTAGGGTCTACAATGCAACTAAGACCCCGAACTAGTTGAAGGTACTTAGATGAGCCATGGAGTTAGTCAACTAGTTAGTAGATGGATTATAATTGGGGTATAGGGGGTTATGTCCCCAGTTACTAACCACCGGCTGGTGGTTTGGAACATTTTCCAAAAAAAAAGAGGAATAATAATCCCAACTGACTTTCATATTTTTCAGAGGGGTAGGTATACCACCAACCACAAGATGGTGCCCCCCAAGTTATGTTTGTTGGTTTATAATCCCATGGCAACTAGTTCGATATATCTACCATAAGTCCAAACGTGAAATTAGAGTTATGTTCACCAACTTAGCTATCATAAATCAGCTATAAATCCCATGAAATCCCAATTTCCTATGGTTTTCCTATGATTTTTATGGGGGCCCCACGACTTGTAAGTGAAGGTATAGAAATGGGATAACCCAAGGCTAAGCCATTCCAATTCTCGGATTTCTCGGCCTAGCCCTGGCGAAATCGGGGAGCCGCCTCGCCAAGCTGCCTGGTTCACAACTGCCCATTTTATAGGTTTAAGTCCCACGAAATCCCCATCATGGTTGATGAAATCCCATGAAATCACCAATTGGAATGGCTTATCCTTGGGTTGTCCCATTTGTAGACCTTCACTGCAAGGTGGTGCCCCGGTCGATAGCTAAGTTGGTGAACATAACTCTAATTTCACGTTTGGACTTATGGTAGATATATCGAACTAGTTCATGGGATTATAGACCAACGTTCACATAACTTGGGGGCACCACATTGTGGTTGATGAAATTCCATGAAATCACCAATTGTTTTGAAGAAATCCCAGTGGACCCCCATAACTTTGTTGGTTAAATTCCCACTAAATCACCATTTCTGTTAGTGAGATTCCATGGAATCACCATTTTTGCTGGTTAAATTGGTTACCCCCTGGTAAACTAATATAACTATGGAAAATCACCATTTTTAATGGGACAACTCACTATAAATCGCCATTTTCAGTAGCTATTTTGACATAACCAGAGGGTATATCACATCGAGTCAACATGTTCTCAACGTCTATGCGCGTGCACTTTTCGGGAGGTCTCTTCAGCCCCTGCACGTTTGGAGGGATGTCGACGCCTCAAGTCATGGGATGGTTGGGACAGTTTCGCAGGGTTCATACAATGCGGGGCCCCCTACAAGTTGGTTTATAAACCCCATGAATACTATAGTTATAAGTACCATAAATCAGAGTGAAATTGAAGTTATGTTCACCAACTTAGCTATCGACCGGGGCCCCACATTGTAGTAGATAATGTGGTTAAAACAATCGTAAACTATCCATTTGGGAATGGTTTATATCACCTATGGTGATGACTGGGGGATGGTTTATGATTGTTTTAACCACATTACATCTTATAGTCGACTGGGTTTATAATCCAACCTTGGATGGATAGGTTAGTAAGGTTTTTCCCATAAGAGGGAAGATATCAACTTGACCAGATACAGCAAAAAGCAAGATAAACTTGGCAATGTTTGATATGTTAACTTTGGTGATAGAATGTTAGTTTTTCTATTAAACGCATCCTTAGAAGTCCCCAATTCATTAATCGAGCCAATACTAAACCAGGGTTCCATTTTGGGGGGTATTAATGTTAGGTGGATGCGATTACTGAACTCTGAAATAGTTCTAAACAAGCTTCTAGTTGGTAGTTTCACGCAATTGTATGTAAACAAATCATAGACATGGGATAATGAAACCTAATAACACCCAATGACGAGTATATTTTTTCAGGGGGTGAAACCACGTTTCACAGAAGTTTCTATTGGGGGTTATAATAGAGCAATACTTTGCTTGTTTGTCACACATGGATTGGGATATATGTGTTGACCAGCTAAACAAACATGCTTGCAGGGCACCTGATACTAGCCATGATGGTAGTTGATGGCTTGTTTTATGTGTCCTCTATATCTGCTTGAAATGATGAGCCCAGATAGTATATCCATTTAGTATATATTCTAAATCCCATTAAACTCCATTAAGCTCCATTGAATTACAAAAAAATCACCCATTCTGTTCTCAGCAAAATCTCCCAAAAAATATGGTTGCCACTATCAGCAAATATCATATTAACTGGTTGGTGGTTTGGAACATTTGGATTATGGTTCCATTCAGTTGGGAATGTCATCATCCCAACTGACGAACTCCATAATTTTTCAGAGGGGTTCAAACCACCAACCAGTTACCCTCTGGTGAACTAACATAGCTATTGAAAATGGCCATTTATAGTGGATTTACTCATTAAAAATAGTGATTTTCCATAGCTATGTTAGTTTACCAGAGGGTAATGTTAATTTAGGTAGATACCGTCTGCCGAGGCTCCTTCCCACGGTGGCCAGGAACAATACCAACAAACGTCGAAAAAATGGGGAGTCAGTTTACACAAAAGGCTGTTCAAAAACCAATGCCGAAAACCAATCAAATCAAATAAATCAAGAATTGGCGTAGACATCCAATCTTTAGCTAATCCATTTAAATTATGAAATAATCCGTTTGTTATCTGTGACATCTATTGAAATCTGTCTGATTGGTGGTTTCAAACATTGTTTGTTTCTCCAGAATGTATTGGGATAATCATCCCAACTGACTTTCATATTTTTCAAGACGGTTGAAACCACCAACCAATAGATATATCTTCAATACATTTATAGTAAAACTTATATCTACATCTATGTTTATGCTAGCGGGGTGAAAACCGGTCCCTATTTTTACTGTTTTTTGTTGATGCACTTGCGAACCATTTTGATGTTATGGGGTGGGGTGGGGTTGGGTGGGCAAGTGTATTAACGTTCATGTAGACTCTGTAGACTCTAAGCAGAAACGACTGCGTTGATGCCAGGAACTGACAGTTGGCAACATATTACGTGATGGATTTTGTGTTGGCATAGATGTAATGTGATACGTCATGGGACTTGGGGTGGGGGGGTGGGGGGTGTATTAACCTTCATGTAGACTCTAAGCAGAAACGAATGCGGTTGTGGAAAGGATGTTAGATGTTACGTTATGGGATATGTCTGTAGTTAGGACAGATGTTACATGTTACGTTAAGTTCTGTGTGTTGACCGAGTAAAGATGTTACATGTTACGTCATGGGATATGGCTGGGGAGTTAGGACAGATGCGCAGCAGTGGCACTGGCGGCGGGTCCAGAAACACTTGTTTCAGGCTACTGGTCGATAGTTGCACAAAGACGCCTTTGGATGAAAATGCTCCGGAAAAAAAACACATTGATAAGCAAAGCATGCATATATCAAAACAAAACGGACCAAAACCCAGGTTTTAGACACTTGGACACAAACAAATGATCAAATTCCTTGCAGATATGAAGTTGTAAATTAAGGTCCGAAAAACCCCCCCGGACGAATGTTTATGGTAGCTATATCTTAAGGATATCCTCTAACAGTAACTTCCGAGACTGGCTCCGCCAAGGCATGCAAGTCTCCGTGAGCGACAGCAGCACCTTTGAGGATTCACCCGATGCCGTCACGGCGGTGAGCAAGGCCAGAGCGAAAAGGTAGGACGGGGCGACCTGAAAAAATTGGATGGATGATATAATGATAAGTATATACATATTTAATATGTCAGTACACACATATACATATACACATATTTATATATTATACTATATATGTATATATTTAACTAACAATAGCTAAAATAGTGATTTAATGGGGTTGATTAATCATTACAGCATCACCAAATGGCTATAATGCTAGGGAAACCCCGGGGAAACCATAGGAAAACCGTAGGAAAACGCTGTCGCCTAATTTAATGGATGTTTCTTCCCAAAAATATGGTAATTTCATATGTGAAAAAATGCATCCCCAAATGGCGATTTGATATTATTTAGCCAAAAACAATGGTGACTTAACCCACAAGTATAGGGTGGTATAATTGGGATATGAGATGATACTATGGATGGAAGAATTCCTGCACCACCAAAAACAAACCACCTATCAACTGGTGATTTCTTCCACCCACCGTATATTTAGTCATCCCAAAGTAGATAGATGTTTTTTTGTTTTAACATATTCCCATGGGGATTGTTTGAAGCTTTTATATTTTAGCTACTTGAGGATATATCCCAACTGACTAATATTGTTCAGAGGGGTTGAAACCACCAACCAGGTGGTATAATTTGGATATGAGATGATACTGTGGATGGAAGAAACCCTGCAGTTGGCAACTATTGGTAACTATGAAACACTGTAAAGAATGGGATTGTAGTGGGCCAAACCATCTACCAAGTGGTACGGGACTTTTTCCATCCGAAGTACTATGGGATACAATGGGCTATAATTATGGTTAAAAAAACTCCGTGAAAAATTGGATTTGATCAACAGAAAGTGGTGACTTAATGGCACTCAAATGGTGATTTAATCTGGATGAATTTAATTATAATCTCACGGTGACGTCAGTGGAATGATGGTTTTATGTTTTGGGGAATCAGTAAAAAAAGGCCGTATGATCGCAGCTATTTTCAGGCTAGTGAATTAGGATGAGACTCAGCCAGCTTCAATGGGGATACCATACCCAGTGAGTGTAACTGTTGCGGTTATGGTAGGGGCTAATCTGCAGTTGGATGGGTGAATACAAACCAACACACGTGGTTTTAAATCAGATTCAAATCCCATGAAACCACAAGTTCTTGTTTTTTTGAGTGATCGAGTGTGGGATTTAGCCCAATTCTACATAGGTTATATCAACCATATCAGATTTGGTGATTTTTTTTCTCAGCAAACATGTCCAGCCAGTTGGCAGCATTTGCACCGGCAGAGCTCGCAGAGTTATTGCCTACTTAGAAAGTTTGGAGAACTTCAAATCTGATGCTGACGCATCAGAACAGACAGCAGTTGCTCCGCAATCAAAATGGAGAGGATCAAGGGCAGCTAGCAGCTCGACCGAGGTCAAATCTGTGTCATCAAAACAGACCTGGAGCAAACCACCGCCTCCGCCGCCACTTGAACACGCAGAAGAAAACTCATCTATTGCAGATGAAACAGAAATAGAACAGGCTTCAGTCTGCTTCTCGGATGAGGATGACACTCTGCTTTGGTATTCTGCTATGCGTGGCGACAGACAGACATTGGAACGGAATGAGTCGGAAACGAAATGTTTGGAATTCGACCATAACTCTTGAAAATACACCTCAAAGATCCTCAAAGGTAGTAAACAATAGCCCTTCAAAATCTGCTAGAAGCAACCTCAAGGTCTGTCTATAGAATTCATGGGGGCTTTAAGCCAACCATAACTGGGGGTAACACAAGCCTGCAGCCAGGCTCTGGCAGCTGCGGGCGGTGTGGCGGAAGGAAATGTGCAGGAGGGGGGAGTTGTTTCTGGGGAAGCCGACTGGATGTGTAATCTGGGCGTCGCCAAGAAACCATAGAAAGTGGGGCCCCCAAACGATAGCTAAGTACTATGGTTTATGATGCTTATAACATCTTATAATTGTATAGGGTTTGTAACATCAACTTACTATAACATGTTATATCATCTTATAACGTCATATAACTATAGTTAAGAGGGGGTTTATAAACCAATTTTTAACGTTTGGGGACCCGACATTGTAGGAACATGTTCATTTCAAGAACCCCTTGGGATTTGATCGGATTTATCGCTGATAACAATGATAACTAAGATGGTCAAACAAAAAACATAATAACTATGGTTTACGGTCGATATAACATGATATAACTAGAGCATTCATGATTATTCATGGGCTGAAAAAAATAACATATTTGGTGGCACTCACCTTGCAGTATGGCTCAGCATAGCCTGAAAAACCACCACCTTGCAGATCATGGGATCTAATGGGAATTCATACAATCTGGGGCCCCACGTTATGTTTGCCGGCTAAAAAAAAAACATGAAAACGATAGTTATCTGTGTATCATAAAGCATAGCCTTTTTGACTTTGTTTTTCAACTTAGCTATCGTAAACGGGGCCCCACATTGCAATTAATTCAATGATCTGACCTGGTTTCATGGGAATATTCGACAATGATGCTGGTAATGTTGGTAAAACAATGCCATTTTTACCACCCCATTTTTGATGGTTTATACCACCCATAAAGATGGTGATAACTGGGGGATGGTTTATAAACTAACAAACAAAACTGGCTAAAATTTTCTTAATCACCCCCATAGATCATGAGATCCAATGGGAATTCATAATCTTTAATGAGCTGACCTGGTGATTTCAATTGAATTGGACAATGATGCTTGTAATTGTTGATGCAGGTTGATAATCCCATCCCAGGTTCATACCTAACAACCCCCAGACCCCGTGTGGTCCCAGCATGTCCCAGCCATAAATGCCCTACTGAAGCATTTTTTGTTGGGAAGGGACCAATCCTTTACTGAGAACCTCACACTATTGACCCATTGATATATTGTCCCATTCAATCCCATCAAACCCGGTTAGATCCCAGCCGTAAACCGAGTTAAATCCTACTAAAAATCAACGAAGTCCTATTAAATCACGATTAGATCATCATTACTGTTGGTTAACTCAGTTATATCCCACTAAATCATAATGTTTATTTGTTCCACATCGCATAAAAAATCACTATCTACTGAACTGTAAAAATATTTGAAACCCACTGACTCACCTGATTTTTGCTGGTGAACTCGCATGAAATCACGATTATATCTCTTCTTTCAGCCACAATGTGTATGGAGATATCCACTATTAATGCTGGTTAAAATCACCATTGAATCACCATTAAATCACCATGTTGGATTTCTGGGATTTGTTTTATCCATTGAAAGTGCTTTTAATCTACATTTCTGGTGGAACATTTCACTAATCACCATATTCAATGGGAATACAATATCCACTAAAATCACCATGACTCCCTATTTATAGCCTAGACCTCACTTACTGGTTGGTGGTTTCAAACATTTTTTGATTTTCCCATTCAGTTGGCAATGTCATCATCCCAACTGACTTTAACTCCATCATTTTTCAGAGGTTATATCCACTAAATCACCATGAAATCCTTATTTATCGCCTAGAAATCACCGAATTTTTGCGGGTGAAATCCCGTGAAATCACCGAATATCTGTTGAAATCCATCGCCAGGACGTCTCCATCCAGTCCGGCGCCTCCTGTGCCCAGCGGCGCCTCGAAGCCGAAGGCGAGGACGAAGCCGAGGGCTCCGGCCGGCGCTTGCAGCAGATGGCGCGGGTGACGTTTGTGACTTGGTGACGTTGAAAAATCCACTTAGATGGGCCATGGAGTTAGGGAAAACTAGTTAGTAAATGGATCATAATTGAGATTTTTTGGAGGTAAAGAATCCCCAGTTACTAACCAGTTAGTTCATCCCATGGCCCATCTAAGCATGGTTTACTGGAAATTGATGGGTCATTTTCCATAGCTATGCTAGATTTGCAGATAAGCAACGAAAATGGTATCTAAGATTGGCCATGGTTTGCTGGAATTTTCTTGGAATTTCATGGTGATTTAACGGTGTATCAATAAAAATGAATGATGATTGGGACAGGGAAATGCTCAACCTGTGGTGGGACACCACTATAACTATACTAGGTCAATCATTGGTATATACTCATTATATTAGTATAGTGATCTGATGATTAGTTTGATGGGATCTACAGCCATTATATGGAGAAGTTAACCAACAAACATGGGAAGATCAAGGGAACATTATGGACATATCTAGGTCAATCTTAGATGGGTAGAAACTAATCCTTTAGCATTTTTTTAATCAATGGGATTGTCTACGTTCACCAGCTAAGAATTTGTCATGCAGGGTATCTAAGATTGGTGACTAAATGGTGTATGAATGAATTTGAATGATGATTGACTATGAAGATCCCGGCAATGTATGCCTGGATTTCTGTTTTTTTGTACTGCAGCTTTGGAAATTCGTGCTGCCGAAGATTCCATTGATCAATCAAATCTCTTGGCGACACTACGGCGACGCAAAAGAAGGATCCGGCACGGGGGCTATTAGCCGTCGAGGCAATGTCATCGAAGCCGACACTCTGCACACGTTCGATCACATTCAACTTGTAAAATGTAGAGGGCGGCTACGGAAAAAAGCTGCAGGCTAAGCCGCTAAGCCCGTGTGATCAGCTTCGGCAGGATGAGCCAACAATTTCCCTTGGCTGTGAGTCAGGGGACACGCAGGGTGAAACAACACCCAGTGAAAAGAACTCAGCAGATATGCTTCAGTAGTAACTTGTGAAACTCCTTTCTCATCCTTTCTCAAAGTCTGGTTTATCCATTGGTCCATCATGGTCCATCCCTTTAAAGCAGGAGCGTGAGTGGGATGAGTGGCTGGCAAAGAAGAAAACTGAAGAGCAGGAATATGAGAGAACCGCAGGTCGAAGAAAAGGAGGTTGGAAGGGGATTTATGGTGTTACTCATGGGATTCAATGGTCTATTTTCTGCGATTTACATTACTGACAAATATATGAGCAACCGTAAAAACCCCGGCAATACTAAATATGTACTCGACGGACATTGGTTTATGGAAATTGATGGAAATTGTTAAAAGCACGAGGTAAGCGATGGGACCTTCCCAAATTAGCGATACCCCTTTTCAAGGTTGTCATCATATTTCTCTAATATCCACATTAGCGATACCCAAATATCACATATTATTCATAGTTCATCACATATATATATAAATGCAGCAGTTTCCTGCAAGCGATACCCCCCAAGTTTACCATATATCATTATTGTACAAACGTGTGGTAGGCGATGGGACCTTCCCAAGTTTGTGGATGTCCTTTCCGTGTGCTGATGTGATAGCATTTCCCATACAGTTTTACCATTTGCCAGTTTCATTTTCCAATTCAACCATCAATTCATATGCTGCCGCTGCAGCTACCTTTTGTCAAGCGAAGATCGCCGAACGACCTCAGCGATGGATGCAAAACCTTGTTGAACCGCAGCTGCTTGGAACCTTTGGAGGCGAGGATTCTGGTTTGGGCGGACCTGGTTTCTACTAGGTTATGAGCCCAACGCAGCTCTGACCGAAATGTTTTCCAGAAGAAGGGCTACGCAGGCTGAACTGGATCAAGGAGCTGATGAGATGCTTCGAGCCCAGCAGCGTGTGGAGGCTGAACTAGCAACTGGATCAGAAATGCAGCTAGAAGATACAAAGGGCCCTGAAACCATGGTTCCAGAAACCCCCAAATCACCCGTGAAGGAAGAGAGTTTGGGAAGAGTGGATGGACCTAGAAGTTCCCCGAAGCCCCTTGTGCCGGCTGTTCCTGATCAGGAAAAATCTCAGGTACCGCCTGTGACTCCTGAAAGTCAGGTGAGAACTGAGGTAAAAACACCAGCGCAGTCTCTTGAGGCCAAAGCTGAACCCCAAGGAGCCATAGCTGTCCAACATGGAGCTCTAGCACCTGCCGTGACTGATGTGATTGCGGCAGACTCCAAAAAGGTTGAGAATGGAGGGTCGACTGATCTTCAAAGAGCATCAGACGTTTCTGGGCACCTGCAACAAGTTCCCATGTCAGTGCAGACGCCGGGAGCTCAATCTGGTGTTTCTCCGGTGCAACAGCCCCTTTTTGACGATCAACAACTTCGAAGATTTCAAGAACTTTTCAATCAAGCCCCTTGGCTGTATCCAGGTGGTCACATGGGATACCACCCTCCAGCCATAGCACCTCCAGTTTCAAGACCACTTTTTCTTGACCAAGATGAACGTAGGATGCAAGAAACAGTTGGGATGGGTTCGCAGTTTGTTTACCCATACATGCCAGCGGTTGGAGTTCAAGAGAGTTTGGAATTGAAAAAAGGGATTGAAGAAATGATGGAAGAGAATAGAAGATTAAGGGAAAAGGTTGAACGTCTTGAGAAGGCGCAGTCCTCCCAATCCGAAGAAGATCAGAAGTTTTCCACCCCAAATGGAGACCACTTGAAAGAGGCTGAGACCCCCCAGGAGGCTGACAGACCACCAAAGGGAAGCCAGCGTATCCACCAAAGCACTAAGGAGGCTGAGACCCCCCAGGATGCTGATAGACCCCCAAAGCCCTTTAGCCGCCAAGGATCGAAGACCGCCGATTCACAGGAGGCTGAAAGACCCCCAAAGCAAGGCATGGATGAGGAACCCACCACAGTGAAAGTGATGCTGAAGCTCATGGAAGGCATGCAGGCGATTCAACGTCAGATGCTGGAGCAAAAGGATGATGAAACAGGGACTGAATCAGTCCGGCAAGCCCCAGCACTTCCAAGTCTTGCAGAATGGAGTGCGACAACGGGCCCAATTGACCTCAATGATTGGATGGCTTTGATCGAGCCGATGATGTGTGACCTGAGCAACTCCAGTGCGCAATGGTGGCAACAACTTGTCATGGAGGCACACCTGTGGTATCAGCGTCATCTTCAACTACCACCCTTGGATCGAGTAGCTCATGTACCAGTTCCTTCAAAGGATTTGGCCAAACAGAAATGGGCACGACTTGAACGTCGAGCATCTACGTTGTTGCTGATGGCAGTTCCTGAAGGCCAAAGAGAAGAGCTCATCTCAGCCAAAAGACTGAGTGCGATGTCCATAGTATGCCAACTTCTTGTCACCTATCAACCAGGTGGTCTTGCGGAGAAGGAGTTGATCTTGAGGTCCCTTGAAGCTCCTCCTGAATCAACGACCTTGGTGGAGGCCGTGCAAAGCCTTCGCAGATGGTCTCGATGGCGAAGACGTGCTGCTGACCTACAAATTTCAGAGCCAGACCCGTTTTTGCTTTTGAAGGGACTCAACAGAATCATCCGCAAACCCTTGGAGGCCAATCGAGATCTTAGCTTCAGGATCAGTTTGGCAAGGTCGACATTGCAGGTGGACTCAACCCCAACTTCGACTTCGGTGACTTCCTTTGCACTTCACTTGGCTGCTGAGTTTGAACAGGTGGTGCATCAGGAGACCTCAAATGCTTCGAAGAAAAGAACCGAGCCCGAGAAGGTGAAGGTGTCAAAGCTGAAGAAACTTGAAGAAGAAAGCAGGTCACCAACGAAGCGCGAGGAGCCGAAGGAGGAGAAGGGAAGATGCAAGTTCTTTTTGACCGACCAAGGATGCAGAAGAGGGAAAACATGCAGTTGGTCTCACGACCAAAGAGACGATAGAAGAAGATGCTGGAATTGCGGATGTCCGGACCACATGTCACCAGCGTGTCCACGTCCAAAGGAAAAAAGCGATCAATCACCACAGAAGCCAAGGATTCAGAAGGCTGAGGGGGAGGAGATTTCTTCACCCACGAGCTCTACGAAAGGAAAAGAGGAGGAGGTATCCAATGAATCGGCATCAATGAAGGAGTTGCTGGAACAGGCGAACACTATGCTCAAGTCATTGACTTCCTCTACAACGACTTCCTCTTCAAGCTCTACTGCAGGAGCCACTGAGACCAAGGACGAGGTGATGGGCCGACTTCAACAACAATTGAACCAACTGAAGCTCAAGGTGTTTAAGATCAATCAGATCTCACATGGTCAGCATCAAGGTTTGATCGACTCTGGTGCCACACACCCTTTGCGTCCTCGAAGACCAGGTGAATGCGACACCACCTACAAGCGGGTTTCAGTGACCCTTGCCAATGGCGAAACTACTTCTTTGCAGGTGACTCCAGGTGGCATCATGGTCACAGATCGACATGACGTCGAGCCAATTCTGCCAATGGGACAGCTTGTCCAAGACTTGCAATGTCAGGTAACCTGGGCTGATGGAATCTTGAAGGTCACCCATCCAACACGTGGACCACTTCCAGTGCAAAACCGAGATGGCTGCCCACAGATTCCCAGAACTTTGGCCTTGGACTTGATAGAAGAGATGGAAACAGCAGGAATGCAAAAGAAGATGAAAAGTGTAGGTTTTGAGAAGGAGAAAAAATGGATGGAAGACTTAGTGCAGAGTCATCCAGTTCTACGAGACCTTCCAGACCGAATCAAAAGCCGACTGGTCACTGACATTGGAGAATGGAAAGACTTGCCGGTCAATCGGCGCCAACGAAAGCGTTTGCAGAGAGACGGCTTTCTTGTGCACCTCTATGCAGGAGAATCTGAAGGGTTTACACTGTCAAGGGCATGGAAGCAGCAAGGTGGCCAAGAGAATCACCTCTTGGAGATTGACTTGAAACGAGGCGATGGTCACAACATGTTGCTGGACAGCGGCGTTTATGCTGGACTTCTTCGAGCAGTCCTCCAAGATCGAATCGACGCTTTTGTCGCTGGCCCCAACTGCAGAACCAGATCAGTTCTCAGGCACTACCCAAAGAAGGATGCTCCACGACCAGTGAGGGCTTGGAAAGGTGAAGAACATGGGCTGGCCGATTTGACTCCAGCCGAAAAAACACAAGTTGAGGAGGACGACATCCTCATGTGGAGATTCATCTTTTTGTGGATGATTGCAACTTACTTGCGTCGAGCTCGACAAGTTCAGAAGCCTGTTGGTTTTTTACTGGAACAGCCTGCATCACCAAAGAACTACATGCCACAATGTGTGTCTTTTTGGGACACTGTCGAATGGATGAAGCTGAAGGAGGAGTTTGGATTCGCTGAGACCACCTTCTGTCAGGGACATCATGGCGGTGCAGCCACAAAACCAACTACCATGGCAGGAAACTTGCAGCTCAACCCTGAAGATCACCGGATGAAGAAAACATCTTCAACTACGATCAGATCCTCATCAGAATTGTCAAGATGGGCACCAGGTGTGATGAACATGGTGGCCGAAGCACTTTTGACCCAGATTGTCAACAGGCAACCAAGGATCTCGACTTTGTCATGGGAGGAGCATCTACGTCATGGACATATCCCTTTCAGGCGAGATTGCCTGGTGTGCCAACAATCGCTACAGCAACAACCGCCTCACAGAAAAGTGAAGCATCCACTTGGAGGAGTCTTGTCAATTGATACAACAGGACCCTTCATCAGAGCCTACGATGCCGGTGGCTATCAGTCTGCCTACATCTTGGTTGGTGCTCTCACCTGGACCGTGCCCAAAGACTCCAAGATCAAGGAGGAAGAAGTGCCGGAGCTAGAAGGTGAAGCCCCAAGCTTTGAAGCGAAGAAAGATGAGGAGATGATCCCGATTGAAGATCAACCTGAACAACCACCTGAAGAGCCTCAGGGAATCTTTGACGATGAAGTTCCAGAAGATGAGGAGTGTCAAAGGGCCCCAGAGGGTGAGGATGAAGTTCAAAGAGAAGAAGGAGACCAAAGACTTGAAGAGAAAGAAGGTGAGGCTGAAAAGAAAGAGGAGTTTGAGACGCGAGTTTTTCGTCTTGCAGCTCCTATGTACTCCAAGAAGGCCACAGAAGTCACTCGTGTGGTGATGGACATGATGCTACGTCTCAGAGCTGACGGGTATCACATCGGCCACATCCATAGCGACCAAGGTCATGAGTTCCAAGGGCATTTCAAAAGATGGTGCAGAGAAAGAGGAGTGCTCTTGACAAGGACCCCTGGTGATGACCCGAGGGCCAATGGCCGTGCAGAGACAGCAGTGAAGTCACTGAAGACTCAAATAAGAAGGGTTCTTCTTCAAGCACAAGCTGAACCAACTTGGTGGCCGTGGGCAACAAGATACGTCAATGAGCTCAATCGTGCTGCCAGGCTAGCAAAGAGCCCGGATTGGCCTCCCTTTCTCACGGAAGTCATGGTCAGAAAGCGCAAATGGAGAAGAGGAACTTTTGAAGTTTCCACTGAAAACGTCAGGTACCTTTGTCCTGCTCCAGAAGAACATGGTCACTGGATACTCCCAAAAGATGAGAGGCCACGCGTCACGAAACTTCTCATGAAAGCAGCACATCTCCCTCTAGCAGAAGAAGGATGGGTTGCTCTGGAACGTGAAGCAGTGGACGCCTTGAATGTTCGAAGAAGAATGAGGGGAAAGTCAGCGATCAGAAAATTTCAAGAGGAGGATGGAGGAGAAGAAGATGAAGAAAAGAAGCGGAGAGTTTGCATGCTCCGCTTAATCGAAAAAGAAATGTGCCTCATGGTCGATGATGACCCAGAACTGGCTTTGGAAGAGCTCCAAATCTTGGCCAAAATTCGGAAGATGGCATCAATGCCGAATGAGGAGGAAGAGATTTTACAGACACGAATCGTGTCACCAAAGGAGGTCGCAGAACACTGGCAAGAATGGCTTCCTGCAGTTCAAAGCGAAGTCGCATCTCTCCTCTATGAAAAGCAGGCTTTCCGAGAGATTGGCCCAGAAGAACTTGCTCTACTACAACACCAAGCTGAGAAGTCAGGAAAAGGGATTGAGTATATCCCGTCCAAGCTGGTTTTCACCAGAAAGCCAGGCCTTGATGGAGGAAAGAAAAAGATGAGGTGGGTGGCATGCGGCAACTTGGAGCCTAGAAAAGAAGATGAAGATAACTTCAGCTCAGGCGCCGATGCAGCAGCGCTTAGAATCTTGGTCTGGTGCGCAGCTCTCAAACAGTGGAGCGCATCAATCCTGGACGTGCGCACTGCCTTCTTGAATGCAAAGATGGTCTTGTCTGAAGATGAGGATGTGATCCTTGTCAAGCCGCCTCTGCTCCTCACCGAGAAGAAGTACCTCAAAAGAGATGTGTACTACCTGCCTGAAAAAGCCACCTACGGGCTTCGGCGCTCACCCAAGCTCTGGGGACTGACCAGAGATGACACCATAGCAGCCCTAGAAATCCAGGGGGAGTACAACAACAAGATGATGGACTTCTGTTTTGAAGCCCTGCAGTCCGAGCCGAACCTTTGGCGTTTGATGAACTCCAAAGACCCAGAAGACACCACCGTGTATGCCCTGCTGATGACGTATGTGGATGATATCATGGTGGCATCATCACCCAATTTGCTCAACATCATCCAGAAAAAGCTTCAATCAACGTGGAGCACCTCACAGCCTGAGATGGTCAGTGAAGCCCCAGTGCGATTTCTTGGAGTTGAGATTTCCAAGCACTGGTGCGATCAATCACAACGTGATGTTTGGATGGTGACGCAGCAGAGCTATACCACAGATATGGTGCAGAAGGAGAAGGATTTGAAGATCAAAAAGATTCCGATTTCACGGGATCAGTCACAGATGGAGCCGTCAACAGAAGCTCCAACCACAGAAGAAATTCGAGCGGCACAAAAAGCCGTAGGAGAAGTCCTCTGGCTCACCACCCGTGCCAGACCGGACATTATGTTCACGGTGGCCCGGATGGGGTCGTCAGTGACGAGAGCCCCTGAAGCAGTCCTCAAGGTATCCACCCAGCTCAAGGGATACTTGAAGGCTACAACAGATGAGGGCCTGATCTTCAAGGTCGCTGAGAATGAGCACCCAGTCCTCACGGTGTTCACGGACGCCAGCTTCGCTCCAGATTCCCAGGAGTCTCACGGGTCCTTCATTGTGATGTTGGGGGCCACGCCTATCTTCTGGCGATCTGGGAGGCAGGGATTCGTGACACTCAGCACAGCAGAAGCTGAGCTAACAGAAATAGTGGAGGGAATGATCGCAGGTGAATCAATCTACGTCATCCTGGCCGAGATCTTTCCTATGACCACCAAAGTGGTGAAAACCGACAGCATGTCAGCACAAGCGATCCTCACCACAGATGGAGGGAATTGGCGAACTCGCCATTTACGCTTGCGCTGCTCCTTTGCCAGGCAGTCAATTCTGGCAGGCGAGTGGTCTACACAGCATGTGGCAGGAGAGTTCATGCTGGCCGACATCGGCACCAAACCGCTTGCTTCGGTGCGCTTTGAATTTCTGAAGAAACTCATGGGTATGGGCACTTTGCCCCCAAAAGGTGATGAAGAAAAGAAAGAAGGAGAAGAAAAGAAAGAAGGAGGAGAAAAGAAAGAAAAGGAGGAGAAAAGTGAAGAAAAAGAAAGTGAAAAGCAGGACGGTCCCTTGACCACTAAAGACAGCCACCGTTTGGCTGAAGCAGCTCAGGTTCTTCGCCTGATCACTATGGCGGCGACTATGTCAATTTCGAAGGCAGCGCGAGATGGAGACGAAGCAGAAGAATCGATATCTTTTGAGATCATCATTCTTTACACATTTGTGGTGGTCATCGTAACTTTGATGGCACAGCGAATTTGGGAAGCTGGAGTACGGGGAGTAGAATGTCTGCGACAGCACGTTTCTGCTCAACCTGGAAGTCACTCTGAAGGCGCTGTGAGAAGCAGTTCAAGTATGTCCTCAAGGGAGAACTTGCCAGCTTCAGCGGCATCAAACACCAGCCGCTCCACCGAGGTGATCGAAAGACCATCAACGATGCCAACTGCTTCGCTACCAGATCAACCTGCTCCGCTGCCACGTGGTGAAGAACGAGCTCAAGAAACAGGAGATCAAGCTCCGCTACCAGAAACTCAGGCTGGAAGCACAACAGTGCCAACGTCCTCAACGCCAAGACCTCAAAATGTTCCACCAGGAAATGATTGCCTACGTGAATGGAATGAGATTGAACGCGAAGAGCGGCTGATCACAGCCGAACTGACTCATGCACCTCCAGGCCATCCTTTGCTTGGACCAGCCCACAACCAGTTGAACGAGTATGAAACAGTGGATTTGCCGTTTTTGGTGATAACCTCAAGAAGCGGAACAGTTTACCACTGCCACTGGGATTGCCGGTATTTAACTGCCCCGGCGACTGGTGCGAGGAAAAACAGGCGATGGTGTTTGGAATGCAGAAGAGAAGCGGTTCAATCTGGCGTTTTTCCTTCACATGGTGCTGCGATGTTCATTTCAAGCTGGGAGTCAGATGCGCACTCTAATCCAATGTGCGAAAGAGCTGAAGGATCAAAAACATTCAGCCTTTGCACTGCATGTTTGGATGTGAATAGGTAGCTTGAGCTGGCTCAGGTTGACTGTGCCGAACGGCACGTCAAAGGGGGAGTGCTGATGTGAGAGCATTTCCCATACAGTTTTACCATTTGCCAGTTTCATTTTCCAATTCAACCATCAATTCATATGCTGCCGCTGCAGCTACCTTTTGTCAAGCGAAGATCGCCGAACGACCTCAGCGATGGATGCAAAACCTTGTTGAACCGCAGCTGCTTGGAACCTTTGGAGGCGAGGATTCTGGTTTGGGCGGACCTGGTTTCTACTACTAATAATTACTAATAATAATAATACTAATATATAATACTAATAATAATACTGAACAATGGTTACCCTCTGGCAATCAAACGTGACTGGCTGAGAAATCCCGGAACTTTCTAGCTGGGCAGATCATCCAACCAGATGGGTGCTGTTGAAATACGCCATGTTTCTGACTACCAGAGGCTTGCTATGAGAAATGGTGATTTTCAACATACCCGAAATGGTAAATCAACATAGCTATATTAGCTATATGGAATTCATGAACCATTTATTGATTGACCTACAAAAAAATGGTGATTTTTCCATAGCTACGTGGCTCTCTTAGTTTGGAGGTCAGTTGTGTCATGACATCATCGCCACTTCTGAAAATGCGGGCGGACCGTCGAGGTGATCATGGACCGTCCCCCAGCCGGCTCTGTTTAGCAACCCTAATACGTAGGTTTTGCTGCTTAGAAACATGTTGGATGTTGGAAAGAAACGTTTGTCTTTAAATGGGTTTGTCTGAAAATATAGTATCCAAAAATATGGCCATAACTGGTGGAATACAGCATTTTCAGACACACCCAAATGATTTTCCAACATTCTACAAGAAATAAGATGTTATTGGAGAAGGCTGCCCTTCAATATGTTGCTTTTTCAGGCACCAACATCGATGGAGGATGCCAATTTAATCCCCGCAGGTGGTTCTGCGTGCCGTCTCTCAAACTGGAGATGTTGGGCGACCCTGGCGAACGCAGGGACTTGGACGATGGTCAAGGAATGTCAACTGTTTCGGAGATTTTTTTTGGTCCTGCAATCAAACATATGGCCAGCTGGGAAATCCTGCAATCAAATGGATCAATGAAAATCATCAATACATGCGGATTTTGCATTGCCACGTTTGACTACCAGAGTGTACTTAAAATTGGGTCAATGAAATTGCGAAGAGAACATGAATACAAGATGTATTTGATTGTGTTTGGTGAAATCATGTTACATCCATACCTACTCCAGACCTATCTTTGTCAACGCTGAGATCTTGTCGATGTGGCATCGGATCAAAATTGTTCCGTCTGGTAAATGACTGGAGAAACACCGCACCATTTATAGATGACCTTCCCAGCTAGAAACCTCCATTTATAATCATTTATATGGGATTTCCCAGTTAGCCATGTTTGAATGTCCAACTAGATCAACTCAGATTTTATCGCTGCTCTCACACTTTGCGATGTTGAAATTATGCTTGAACGCGCGCTGGCGTTTCTGCATCCAGCGGTTTGCTCCGCAGTGGCTGTTGGGATTTCTCTTTCCACAGCCAAACATCCACTATAATCATGCACTCAGTTCGCTGACACCAGACATGCTTTGGTGAGATTTCTGGCTAATGTTCCGTTTATCAATTTGAAAGTAATGCTTCAGAGGTAGGTTTCCTTGGTAGCAATGCTTAGCAGCAACGCATTTCCACAGGATGGCTGTAACCGCAAAGCTGATGGTTTTCTACGAGTCTAACTGTGTTATTAGTGTTCCAGCAATGCCAGTTTTTGCCATTCCAAAAGGCCATAATAGGCATAATATCCCTAAAGTGGAGGTGTATCCTTTTGATTCCTTTTGTTTATCTTTTCTGACATCCCCATTAGCTCAAGACAGCAGCACCGTGCCACCATGTGCCACCGTTGCACGATGGGGCAGCTAAGTGTGGAGCTGAGTAATCCAGTGTTTCGACCATTTCCGATTTGGTTGGTGATTGACTTTATTCATCGCATGCATATGCATGCATTATGTCTTGAATATGATTACTGGATATGATTGGATATTATATGATATTATATGATATTATTATATATTAAATCAACTTGATAATATCCAAATATCAAATAGTATTCAAACATATAGACTCTCGTATCTATCTATCGGCACTAAAAATAACTGAGTGGTGTTTTGAGCGAAACAGCTGAGGCCTTTAAGGGATGGTCAAGGCGCGAATCTGCGAAACGTCTCCACTTTCTGTTGGGAACTTCTGGGGAACTTTGCTGATTTTGAAAAGAGCTTAGTGTTCATGATCCCTTTTTTTTTAGCAGCGCCAGTTATATGTGTTGCTCAATAGCGTCAATATCACATGTTTTTGCATGGTTGGTCACGTTTTCTGTATTTCCCATGTTTGCTGGTCAATATCTTCAACAATGGGTCCCCCTGTATTTTTCCGATCAATATTCCTAAATACTCCTAAATAAGCCCCGGTATGCCCCGGTTCATGGTTGCTGAATTCAGTCATATTTGCGTGTATCCTCCATTTCTATCCACCAATTGTCGCTTCTCAATGTCTTCAGTAATCACCATTGACTGGGTTGCTCAGTTAACTATGCCATACCCATCCATGCCCATCCATACCCATCCATACCCATCCATATCCATCCATATCCCATATCAAGTCAGTTAACATCAGTTAATCAATTATAAGTACTATTGCATACTATTGCCATATCCCATATATCCATATCAAGTTATCAAGTAAACATAAGTACCCTCTGGTAAACTAAAATGACTATGGAAAATCACCATTATTAATGGATAATTCCACTATAAATGGCCATTTTCAATAGCTATTTTGACATAACCAGAGGGTAAACTACATCAGATATTTTAAAGGGACATCTCCAGGCCTATCTGAAATTCGAGAAGGATCAAGCCGTTGGAGTGGTCACCAGCCGCGAATGCAACGTCTCCTTTGATCCAACGGGAAGCCCCTGGGCCGAAGTTCGGTACACGCTTCGATGTTCGGACGTATATGGGGATATAATGGGATATATCAGTTATCATGCCAGGGGTAGTACATAACTAGTGCATACTAATGCTATAGTAACAGGTATCTTATTTTTAAGGGTTCTCTGGAACTTTTTGCATGCCATCCCAGATATCCCAGGGTTGATCGTCATTTTGATCGTCATTTTTGCCATTCAAATTGGCCATGTTGGACCAGCCCAGGGTTTGCCCTCAGCGGCGCCGTGGAATCGGTTGCTATTTGGAACCTGCGACAGGGAGTGCAGGAGATTGACTCTGGCGGAATCCGTGGAATATGGCTTTCCCCCAAAAAATATGAGGGATACCCTCTGGTAATTTAACGTAGCTATGGAAAATGACCATTAACAGTGGATTTTCCCATTAAAAATGGTGATTTTCAATAGCTATGTTACTATGTTAAATTACCAGAGGGTACTGTTGTTATACTTGTTATACTGTTGTTATACGCAGTCAGAACATTCCCTCTCGAATAGTTTTTTGGCATCGCAATGTATAGAAGTGTTGGGAATACGAAATTCTGATTTCCTACACACCCAAACGCTGGGACTAAATGCGAAAATCCAGTGGTTAGGAGGGAGCTGAGGAGCTAGGGCTATCCATATTCCCTATTAAATGGGGAGCCAAGGAGCTAGTAGGAGTTTCCCAACCACATGATAGTATAGTTGTTACTGTACCCCTACTGTGATTCTGGTGGCGATGATGATCAACCAGTGCTTTCAAGCAACCAGTGGCAGCCAGATACAGCAATGAAATGGAAAGGTGAACAGCTAGGACAATTCTGGAGCCTGCCCGAGGATGCGCTTGCAGTTCCAGATGTAAGTGAATATAACATAATATTTTCATATAACCATGGTTATAGGATGTTATAGGCGGGTTAGATCAGTTACATCCCGACTTTTGAGGGTTACTACTGTGGTTAATACTGTTGTTATAATATCTTATCATTATTTTTATAGCTCCAGTCCTGCACCAAGAAGATCCATTCAACGGAGCGAGGAGGTGGACCCACATGGTAGTTTTGGTGAATTCCTTTGGGAAACCACGGTACCTCCAGCCGGTTACTTTTACAACGCTAAAACATTGTAAACTATTCTGGTTGGTGGTTTGGAACATTTTTTATTTTTCCATATATTGGGAATGATCATCCCAACTGACTAATAGTTTTCAGAGGGGTTGAAACCACCAACCAGTATAAACAATTAAACATTATAGCACATTGATAAATCTAAGATTCATGAACCATCTATCTCAGATCACAGACCACGTTTGGCCGCAGGAGAAGGCTTTGGCGCTGCACAACAGCAGCGAGCGGGTCTCCAGACTTTGTGTCCAGGAGGTTGGGTGCTCCAATCGGCAGGGTCTTGGAATGTGGGCGGCAGGCTCCAATAAATAGAGTACCAATGGATTGCTTTAAGGGAAAAAATACAGGAAACCCCCATATTTCACGGGAAAAATCCATGGTTTCCGGTTAAGATTTTCCCTTAAACCAATCCATTGAGAGTACCAATGGAACAAGCTTTGTTGAAGGTTTGTTGCTCCTCTTTCAGGGTTGATAAATGTCGTACTTTTTCACATGACCCAACTATTGGCGATATTCCAAATCCCCAAAGAGGAACATTTACCAACAGTTGTTTTTTCCTACCCGAAATGGGATAATGATCGGAATTGACCACTATGTTTAGGATGGACTGAAACCACCAAAATTGAATAGAATTTATTTTCCATGTTATTGTTTTCTGCTATTAAATCAGCTAATGTTGGGTGTCAATTACTTTGCGCTACACATAGGATAAACGCTGCATTCCATTGTGTTTTTTCTTGCCTGGTTAGTACGTATATTCCTCAATATTAGTGCATGAAGAAACAGGAATCAGATACGATAAAAATAGGGATCCCACATGCTGATACCAAGCAAACGAACAAGAATAGGGGGATATTCTATGACTTGTTCAAGAATAATCTATTGGTATGTATAGAAACACACATATATTAGGTACTAGGGACGTTCTAATCAACTGCGTTCAAACCAGCATGAGAAGCAACTTGGAGAACAATGGGATGTTGATCTCCTTGATCTTACCACAGGAACTGACAACATCGCTGTATGTAGGTAGCTTGTGGTAGCCATCTTCGCCATTGCCTTTCCATAGACACCTAGGACTACTGAGGATAGGGATCATGATCCCAATTGACTGCGATGTTTTATTGTGGATTCAACACGCCAAGTCTTGTCGCGGCTGTGGCTATGGCTCATATTTCAACCATATTCAACACCTTTTACGCCTCATCCGCAACCTTTTACTATTTTCTTGATGTCCAGTCCAGTCGATTTGGGGACCCGACTGGGCTGGATGCATACACTCAACGTGCGTTGATGCAGTCCAGTCCGCTCTTTTCCACTTCAAGTGGAGTAAAACCTTGGGATCCAACCAACCTTGAGCAAGTACTGTAGATATCTGTAGATCATCAATTGGAATATGATGAATATGTCATCCATTCATGAATGGCATGTATTTAATATGACCCTCTGGTTATTTAACATAGCCATGGTATAGATGGCCCATTTATAGATGGTTTACCTATTAAACATTGTGATTTTCCATGGCTATGTTAAATTACCAGAGGGTAATATATTAATATACAGTATATATAGAAAGTAAGCTACATGGAAAACCACCAATGGTTTCCCTGAAATGATCAGCAAGCATGGTGGATTGACATGCCTCGTGGCCTTTTTTGAGGTGGCTGGCTCTGGGCGCTGTGCCGTTGGCTCGCAACTTAGATCCTAGGCCACTAGTTGTCCATGTTCATCATAACCATAGAATACCATATACTTCTATTGATATATGGTAAGTATATGTGTATAGAGAGAGAGAGAGTATGTACTGTATATTATGTATGTATATTATGTATGTATATTATGTATATTTAGATAATACTATAGTATATTTATTGTTATTATTATCATTATCATTATTATTATTGTATTATTTAATATCTCATTGAAGAATCAATATATGTCCTATTCGCTGGCGCTTTCCATGGCCTTTGTCCACACCTGGTGCCATCCCGGCAGGTTACCAAGATGGCACCGTGAGGCTTTGGGACCTGAAGGCGACCGTTCAACAACGACGTTGCGACTGGGTATACCTGCGGTGGTGTCCCCAAGATAGTTACCCTCTGGTAAACGTTTAGATAACTATGGCAAATCACAGTTTTCAATGGGTAAATCTACTATTTCTATGGTCATTTTCAATAGCTATGTTAAATTACCAGAGGGTAAGTTAGTTTATAGTCTCAATAACTAGGACTTTTGGTATATCGATAGTCACTGGGCTTATATATATATATTATAAACCAATTTAGAACTCGGGGACACCACATCGCCATGTGGCGCCTGTGACGCCATCATATGGGGATGGCTACTAGAAATGGATGATCATATTTTCAGGAAGCCCTTTGCTGAAGGATAAAAGCCATGAAATTTCCTGGACTTGTTTCGATCCATTGAACAAAGTACCTTTGCGAAAGCGTATCTTGCAGTATATATACTTAGAATACTTAGACAGACCATGGAGTTCGTCAACTAGATGTACATGTAACTTTTGTATAACTAATTATAGATATTTATAGATATTTATAACAAATTAGTAACAAAATTATCGACTAATTAATTTTTGGATCTATTAGATCTAATGGTCGATTGGTTGCTTCGTTTTTGTGGCAGGAAAACCATATCGAAAAGCCAGGTCTTGAGTTTTGTTCGGCGCCAGGCCTGTGCGGTTCTGCAGACTTTGCAGGGACATCGTTCCGCAGTGTGGCTTGGACGTCGCGACTTGGGGTGGGGACATGGGATGGTGTTTGCCGATGTTTCTTTTAAGGATCATCTACCTGGTCCCTATATGTTCAATTATAGGATGAGGTTTTTTAATGATTTAAGGATGGTGGAAAAACTGGTTTTATATCCATTTAACGGTAATTTTAGGATATTTACCTGGGTAAATGGGTAAACCCATGGGTTTACATATTAAGGAATGGTGATTCGTAGGGTAAAAAACATGTTTATGGGTGAACTAACCGTTTGCGAACTGGAAAATCACCGGTCTGAAAAAAGGTAAAACATCGAACTAAAAGTGAACTATAATGAATTGGCAGAAGGTAAAACCAAGAAAAAATGGGATCTATTTGGTTTCCTTCTTCATTTGGGTGTCCAAGACAAGTGAGATTGAGTGAGTATTGCAAGATTCTGCAAGATACGTGAGTATTTGATAACGAGAAAGATCATTGACCCTTGTTGGAAAACCAAAAACAGATTGGCTGGCTCCAATGACAAAAGATATCAAGCTTTTAGGGATTAGCATTTGCAAATACTCTCAAATTATATCAAATTATCTTGTTCGGGGGATTGTGTTGTGTTTTTGCTTTGCATCCTGAAGTGCATTTGGCTTGTGTTAATTGACACCACCAGTAAGTCCAGGGGATTCCAAGGAGGCCTGCCTTTTTTGGCGTCAAGATGAGGAGGACATTCACCATTTTAAGTGGGAAAATCATCTTAAATGGACAATTTTCCGACAATTTTCCATGGCAACCTGCTACATTTCCAGACGGAATCCCTATACGTAGAGCCTGCAAGCAACCAGTTTTTTGGTCAGTGATCCAGATTTTGTCCAAGTAAGTGGTCTTGACATGACACCAAGTTGGCGCTGTCCTTTTGAGTGCTGGCGTTTCTCTTTTGTGCGCTCGCAATGCGTTTCTAAGTGATTCAGAGTCAAGATTCCGGCACGCAGTTTTTCTAAGTGCTTCAGATTTCAAATTGCACGCAGAAAAAAAGTAAAAAAAGACAATGATCAAGGATCTAGGTGTATATATATATATATATGTATATTAACCGCATAATTAGGTGAGCGCATATAAATTATTGGTTATGATTCATAGGCAATGGACGTCCATTTGTGACAAGAGGGGATCAGGTCTGAGACGGTCATTCTACGTAATCCTACTAGCAAAGCCCCTTCCCGAATTATGTTCGACCCCCCAAAATAAATAAATCCGATACCAATCCAGCGTTTCAGTGCGCTGTTTGTTATTAGAGGAAAACATGATTACCGTTGTGAGTAGCCTCTGTGAAAGTCCGGAAGCAAGGACCATCATTTAAAACAGGTGGTTGTTCCATTTTGTGTGTCTTTTGTCCGGCATGCCCAGAATCAAATCTGTCTGACCTTTTGCAGGGAAGTGACTTCAGACAAGCTCATATCGATATCCCAATCTCTAGTGTAGTGAATAATATGTCTTATTGCTATCAGTGTGGTAAAACCTCTAATAAACCATCCCCAAGTGGTAGTTGTTTGTGGCATTGGGTTTACCACATTGGAGGATCTTATAATCAATATAGCCTGGAAATGATTGCTTTCCAACACAATGAGCCTGCAGCATTATACAGCTATGACCCCCAGTCACACGAAGGTTCTTGCATCTTGGAAGATGCGTATGTGTATAATATTGGTGACATTATTTGCTTATGATGATTTATGATGGTTTATATATATATATATAACCTAGGTTATATATATATATATTATTTATATGATGGGTTCATGATTGTTTATGTGTTTGTTTCCTAATGTGAATGTATATGTAATATATTCCATTATGAATTATTTATATATGGTTCTATGACATGTTCTTCCTAGTTTGGTATTTTGACACCGCGGCCACCAACTCCCTCGTAGTTCAACGGTTTAACGTTGGCACGGGGCCGGCCTGAGGACTTGCCTATGCTTCGACAAGGCACATTCGTTGCTCCTGGCCGCCGATTGGTGGATTCCATTTTGGCAAGAAATACCACTGGACCTGAAACATATTGGACATATGTGGGTATGGATCAATACCTTTTTCTATACCATTTTTAGGGGAATGAACATCCATAAATCCCAGCTATTTTGATGTGAACTACAGGGGTACTATTGGTTTTGACGCACTGCCATGTCATGCTCATCTATTTTGTATGACTTTAGATAGGGTCAAAAGACACTTATGCTGATCGTACTTATCAATTCAAATCAGGAGCGAACTTGCTGAGCACGTGAACAGGGATTGAGGTGGCCCTGCAATGTCACCATGAAGGTTGTTGTTTTCTTATGTCTTCTTGTAATAAACATGTACGGTCATGAAGTCACCTTAGGCATCTCTCATTTTTGCAGACTCCAAACTCAAGCAAAACATCACTTGATATCAGCCGGCGCAAAGTCAACTAAACCCTTGTTGCAGCTTCGCGGCCATGTATGTCTATGCTGACAGACCTGGTAGTTTCACTCGTTCTGAAAATTTAAGACAAGTGGCCAGATCAACTTTACCAATTCAAGCAGGCAAGACCTGCAGATTTGCTCAAGCTGACACTCAAAACATATCTCGATCGATTGCTTGTTTGGCCTTGCCAGTCTGGATAAGCAAACCCTGGACCCGAAGGCATCAGCTAAGGGCCACCTTTGGAGATGATTCAAAGATTGTTTTGCCTGTCAAGGAGACCGCACAAATCACGCTTTTGGTCGACGGCGACTACTTTGGCAGTGCCCGGATACGTGATGCAATCGCATACTTGATGTCTAAAAGGATGGCCAGTGACAATGTGAATACCGTGATTTTTGGAGCTCCTGGAGCCATCAAGAACAAGAGCATGATACAGCTGTTGCAGCAGCCCAAAGTTTCCTTCGTTCCAGTTCCGCGTGGGCAGAGTCAGGTAGCAGAGCCGAATGATGATGCTATCATTTCTAAGGTTCAGGAGTGTGCTTTGTCCGCACACTGCGATTGTATAGTACTCTTGACCAATGACAAAGGCTTTGCCGACGTCCTCAAACATGTCATTGTTGCTGGCAAGCCGTCAACCTGCGTTATCATTCCAAATCGGACGACATCCGTTGTCAATTTCTACAAGGAACAAGGCATACCAGTTTTGACTTTGCCATCAGAGGAAAGATTCACCAAAATCAGAGCAATCCTTCATGCTGATGGGGATGGGACAGTCGAGTTTGGGGAAGCCATTGACTCAGTGGCCCATCGGGCTGAAGCTGAGCTGATGTACAATTCGTGGGAAGAAATGCTGAAAAGCCAAGCTTGTCCAGCAGCATTCTCATCTGCAGACGCATATCCAATCCAACGAATTGCCAAATTTTGGTTTGCGAATGGTTTGGGAATGGTTTGGGATCACTGCCTGTTTTTCCCGTTCCGCTTGCCACGTCTGCTTTAGATCATGCTATTCGGTACGAGTCTCAGAACTGGATCTCAAACAGTCAAGCCTTTGCATTTGCCTTGCCGGTCAGACAGGGTAGGGTCACTGAAAAACAGCTCAAGATATACGGCAGCAAGCTCGCACGCAACATTTTTCGAGGCGGTGGTCCCTTCATGTTGGAAGATTCAAGTGATTTGGTGGCCCATTTCTTGCACAAACTTGGCTACCTTGATGAGACATGGAACTCTGATTTCACCGAGGCCTTGAATGGTTTTTGGAATGCAAGCAGCTGCAAAGCTGAGAACGGCATTATTGTCTGATTCCTGCAATGGACAGTGGCAGCCCGGGGGCACATCCATGCCAGCTGTTATAGACATGCTTCAGCGGAAGAGTCTCTTGTCGTTGGGCTCTGAATCTCCAGCGATGGATGAGGTTTGGTGTGCAATGAAGACCTATGCTGAAGTTCATGGGTTGCCCAGGATGAAGACCTTCAATGCCTTGGCAGCGCACATTCTCAAACATGCTGATCAAAAGGATCCCCTCAGAAGAGGAAAGATTGAAATAGCAAAGTAGAAACATAATGCATGGAAAAACAGTCTCCGACAAGAGGTGCCAAAATTGATATTTGCCAAACGCCTGCGATGTTGAAAAAGGAAGATGCATGCCCCCACTGCGTGCTCTTGAGTGCAAGTCTGGCAAACAGTTGCCACAAGTCCAAGATTTGTTGCCGCTTAGCGTTTCGATGTGTTTTGTGTTGAACAGCAGCCCCTGGAAGACTCTTGCATTCTGTCATAGAATTGGATGATGGGAAAATTTACAGGAAAGCCCTATATTTGATGGTAAAAACCATGGTTTCCTGTAGATTTTCCCTTAAACCAATCCAATGATTCTGATGTTTCTGTGTGATAGTTCCTGATGGCTAATGTTGGCTTGGATCTCAGGGGAACCCCGCCGGCAAACACGCCAAACGTGTGATGGCTCTTCGAGTGATCACCTGTTTCAGCTGGGGTTTACCCTCTGGTTATGTCAAAATAGCTATTGAAAATGGCCATTTATAGTGGATTTTCCCATTAAAAATGGTGATTTTCCATAGTTATGTTAGTTTACCAGAGGGTAGTATCTTTTGATCAGATTTAGTTTCAGTTCCTTAGTCTTCATGGTTCCCATCAGAAGCTGTGAACCAATCGACATGATGCCAGGCGGGTCATTTGATGGCTTCAGGCAGCAACGATACAGCCACTTGGCTCATTTGGGCATTCCATAATTCCCTGCCATCGGGCTTACATAGACCTTATCTAGGTCCCTATACCCAGTACAGAGGTCTGGTGCCTCTCATTTAGGTACCTGAATTTTCCCTTCCAACGTTGGAATGCCCAAATTCTCGGTGGCATTTCATACTTGGGGGGTGGACTTTGTGAACCCATCCTGCCTTTTTGGTTGGCATGGGGTAAACCTTTATTTTGGCATTTTTGTATATTTTTGTCAAATTGCATCAGAAACTCAGAAACTGTTCCGGTACATGAAAAACTCCACAAAGTCAGGATCACGTACTGTATCCTACCAGTCCTAAACATCACATGACATAGCACATTTACAGTCATAGTTTTGATATGTTGCACATACTTTGCCTGTCCCATGTCACTTGTTGTTTTCAGTACCCGGCAACGTTGTTTTCCTGTGCCCAGTCCCAGGACCTGATCGTCTGGGACTTGGTGGGAGAGTCGGGCATCGCGCGACTGCGTGGACATGTGGACGCGGTGACCTCGGTGCTCTTCTGGGAGGCACGGGGCTGGGGGATGCTGCGGCGGAGGCTTGGTGGAAACAGTGAAACAGTATGGGACAAGGTCAGAAAAGTTTGGAAAGTTATATGGTAAGTCTTACAAGGTCAGAAAAGTTTACAAGGTCTGAAACAGGGTCAATCTTTTCAGCCTGACCGGATATCATGTGTCTTTAAGGTGTTGTTCTCACTCCCAGTTTATCGCCTGTTATTTTAATTTTTATATTTAAAACGTTTTTCTCAACAGTCCTTGCCCAACACAACAGGGTGCACCCTGCACCCTTTTTAAGCTGTGCACGGAAGCTGCTGGGAGCCCAATGTGCTCCTGTGAAAAATATGGTAAGTTATATAGTTATGGTAAGTGCCCGATTTTGCAAAAGACATTAGTCATTCAAGATCCTTTTTCGATCCAGGAAACTAACTTTACATAGTTTTCAAGTTGTTGTTTTTTCCGCGTCATTTCAAGATCCTTGAGATCCAGAGGTTTAAAGATACACTCCGGTAAACAAACGTGGCTTGCTGGATGAACCTCCAGTACTCGTAGGGGCATTTCCTAGCTAGCAACGTTGGATTGCCGGATGGTGCTATAGCATGCTATAGCCATTATTCATTATTATTTTATCATTATTCACTATTATTAACTATTGTTAACCGCCATTACGCACCATTAACCACCGTTAACCCATTAACCATTCAGCGTAAACCATTCAGCGTAATGGAAGTGGGTAATTTCCGTAACCACTAATCCCCATGAATCATGAATCACCATTAGTACCTGGTAGGCCTCAGGACTGGTAATTATCAGTCCATTTTCAAAAAGTCACTTTTTTCCAAGATTATGTTCATTTTGTCGTTCCAGAACGCTCTTTGTCACTCCTGAACGGTTTTTGTCGCCTCAAAGGATGCGCTGAACGCAAGTTGAACGTTATTTGAACGTTATTTGAATGCAATTCCAATGCAACGCTACATCAGCGTAGAGTTTTTTTTCACCCGCCCGTTAGACATGTATTTTTTTCAGAACGAACTGATAATTACCAGTCTGGAGGCTTACAGGTAGACATTATGATCAGATATACTATGATATACAGTACTAATATCATCTAATATTTTAGTATATCTTAGTGAATCTTTGTGAATCATTATCATCATCAGAAAATGAATCATTCGTAAACATGATGGTTAAACACCCTCTATTACAAACACTATCTATTATCAACATTTATCAACACTACAGCACTATATAACCATTAACATTAACTCTACAGTTAACCATCAACCATTAACTTTCCATTACAAACACTATCGATTTCTTGTGCCAGGCATCAGTGGTTCGGCTGATCAGCGCTTCGAAGGTGGTGATTGGTGGATTTTTTTTGGACCCCCTGGCTGGGTACCACAACGAATCACAAGAAAAATGGCGGATGATGTGATGAAGAAAATGGACAAAACAAATCAAAGAATGTTGTAACTATATTATGTGTACAGCATTAATAGTTGATCGTATGTGTTAATGTCGATGAATCTGCATGAAATTGTAGTAATATATCAATGGTCGATACTATGGCGAAATGCAGCAAAAATTGAATGATCATTGGGAATGAGAGGTGGAATCAGCCCAACAAATCGACCCAAGAATTGGATTTTGCCGTGACGAGGGAAAATCACCATGTCCTTTGAGGTAATATAATATGGTATAAAATCATCTACGTGGAAACCACATGACTTAGGTCAGTTTACCCCCTTTAATCCTAAGTCATCAGACCCCAGTATATATTTTACTATTTTTTTCCGGGAGAAGCATAATTGTCCAGCATGTCTGTGTGATTGGTAAAAATCATCGACATTTCTGGGTGATTTCCCATGCGGGTGGCCCCTGGCTGTGGTGGATTCCTGGGGATCCAGGACCGCCTCATCCGCATTTGGTCCTTGGAGATGCAAATTTGCCTGCAGGACTCAAGGGACCCTCGGGGGCCCATGGGGGTGTCCGGGGTGGATCTAAGAGATTCTAAGAGTAAAAATCGGATCTAAGAAACAGCTACAACCAACATCAAGCGACAAAAGTGATTCATCAGTGGAATCAGAAGAGTCTATATAACAAGAAGACGTGGTAACTAGAAAGAAATACGATAATGTGCTGACTGCAGGCCCAAACTGTCTCCGATAATGTGCTGACTGCAGGCCCAAACAGTCTCTGTTTGATGATTATTTCCACATTGATCATGAAATCCTGTTTTGTGTTGGTTATTTCCATATGTTTTCTGAGTCTACAATTCAAATACATATGTTTGGCTGAATGATATTAAATCCCAGTGTTTCATGGTTAAATTCCAATTATTGTTGGTTTTACATAATTTTGATAGTTAAACAGTTAAACCCATATATTTCAAACAATCTATGGATAGTTAAACCATTGTTATAAACCATGGTTAAACCCATATATTTCTGATTTTTTGATGATGAACTTCATATATGGGTTTAACAATGGTTTAACAATGGTTTAACTATCCATAGAAATCAGGTTTGATGCTTCAATCCATCTGGTTTGATGCTTGACCACCAGATACCACCAGGCCATCGCTGAAGCCTCGGAGCTTTGGTGCCTGGCTCTCAACGCGCCGCAGACCAGGCGGAAGTCAAGTTGTGGTTGTTCCGTGTGATTTTACGATTGATTTTACGATTGATTTTACGATTGAAATGAAGTTCAAAGAGATACAGTACTTACTTGTTATTGTAATATGGTATACGTTTCTATGTATAATTATATGGATATATCTTATATATATATATTATATATAATATATATATATATATAATATATATATTATATCTCATTTTAAATGATGCTAGATACTGCATTACGTTACGTTGTTACAATTGAGTGCTAAAGTCAGCTAGAATACATTCCCAAGTCAACTCAGATCACTTGTAATTGACAAGAAATGTGAATTGGAACCTAACATTCCTTCAGGGCAGTTTGGTTGATTGATTCCAGAACAACACGGCTATAACTGCTGATGTGCCCTGCTTGTGCAAAAACGCGCTGAAAAAAATCTGCATTGAAGAACGCATGTTCCAATTCGGAGGGTGGCAACGAAGAGCTGCAACATGACAGGAATGCTGTTTTTCAATCTAAGTCCCTGCTGGCTGCCGGAACAATGTTGGTAGAAGCAAAACTCACCTTTTTTTGTTGTGCTCCCGCTGGGCCAAAAACTGATTCAATTCGGTCATTTGTGTTGGTGTTTGCTGGGCAATATCCCAGTTTCACCATTGAATATCCATGACCAAAAGATATCAAAAGTAGATTCTATGTTTTGTGCGTGATATGAGTTATATAAATATGTTATATGATAATATTTCATGTCCCCAAGATATCCCATAGTTTGTTGCTTACATCCCGTGACTCTGGAGGCTTGTCGCTGGCAGTAGCGAGAAGTTTCTTCACGTCTGGTCGTTGGATCATGAGGTTCCCCGGGCGCAGATGGACATGGCTGGAAAATGATGGGAAAATGGGCAAATCAATGGGACATGTGATGAACATGGCTTAAAATTAACGAGAATGCTGCCATGAATTTCCTGGGGTCGCCGTTCCGCAGTATTGACGATTGACGGGGCAAGTTTCCTTTCTGAATGCCCTAGAATTTGTTCAACGAGCACAAAAAGGTAAAAATACGAAGAGTTGGATGCTGAAACATCTATAAACACCAGTTGGATTTCATGCAAATGGTGAAACAATACGAATTTTCGTGTTGAATACAAGCGATCTCACAAAGATCTCGCCTTAAAAAAATGCTCAGGCGAAGACCAGTGAAGCAGGCAGGGAGCGGACCATGACACCATCAATCACCGTCAACTGCTTCAAAACAGATCGGGGTGAGAATGGGGTGTATTCCCATATGGCCGTTCATAAGGAAAATGATGATTCACCAATGAAGCAAAAACGGTTTTTGGGCACACGTTAGTCAGACTATGCTGTGAGCCATACTGGGATTGGCCAAACTACTAGTACAACATAGAATAGGAATCAATAGGAGATAATAATAGGGATGTTCCAATTAAAACCTTCATTTATAGGGGATTTACCATTGCCCACGTTTGACTGGAAGGCAAATTGCCCAACCTCCAACGAGGCGATCTCCTCTTGGCCAAGTTCCAGGGTGCTGTGCCACGCACCGTGTCTTGGCGCAAAGCTTTGTGGGGCGGTGATGCGGCCGCGAAGGCGAAGGGGTGCATTGGAGCATGGGTCAAGTCAATGGAAACATAAGAATGAAAACAATTGGGTCTCAATATGTCTCAATATGTCTCAATATGTCTCAATACCATATCTACCTGGATGATTTGAGTATGAAATGGATCAAACTTGGAAAAAAGGAGGGGAAGACAGGAAAAAATAGGAAAAAAAAGGAGGGGAAGACAGGAAAAAAAAGGAAAAAAAAGGAGGGGAAGACAGGAATAAAAGGAAAGGAACAAAAAGGAAAAAAACAGCAAATCGCCCATAGTAAGGTTAGTGGTTAGGGTTAGTACACCTTTTTGACGAAATGGTTAATAATATTTTATTTAAGGGTTAGATTCCCCATGGGGCTAGAAAAGCATGCGTGTAATGGTAATGAATTTGCAGTATAAGGGTTAGAAAGGTAACTTAATATAAGGGTTAGGGGTGGTCGTGTATGTGATCGTATCTCTGGAAATGCCCTTGATGTTAGTTGCATGCAATTGAATTGCCGTACCTTACAATATATATATATAATCAATATATATATATATATATATAATCAATATATATATATATAATGGGCTAGCGCCCAGGTGCCGCCGACCCCCCTAATTGGAGGGCTATGTGCAGGCAAAGGGCAGGCTGCAACCCTGGAAGAGCAAAGGCTGACGGCCAGAGGGCTTGGTGGAAGCTGCCGCGAGGGAGTTGGAGGGTTTTAAGGGTTTTAAGGGTTGAAGCGTTTGAAGCCTGGCAAACGGCAGGCTTGAATGCCCTAACAAGAGAGGGCTATGTGCAGGCAAAGGGCAGGCTGCAACCCTGGAAGAGCAAAGGCTGACGGCCAGAGGGCTTGGTGGAAGCTGCCGCGAGGAAGTTGGAGGGTTTTAAGGGTTTTAAGGGTTTGGAGCGTTTGAAGCCTGGCAAACGGCAGGCTTGAATGCCCTAACAAGAGAGGGCTATGTGCAGGCAAAGGGCAGGCTGCAACCCTGGGGAGGGTTTTAAGGGTTTGGAGCGTTTGAAGCCTGGCAGACGGCAGGCTTGAATGCCCTAACAAGAGAGGGCTATGTGCAGGCAAAGGGCAGGCTGCAACCCTGGAACAGCAAAGGCTGACGGCCAGAGGGCTTGGTGGAAGCTGCCGCGAGGGAGTTGGAGGGTTTTGAAGCGTTTGAAGCCTGGCAAACGGCAGGCTTGAATGCCCTAACAAGAGAGGGCTATGCGCAGGCAAAGGGCAGGCTGCAACCCTGGAAGATCAAAGGCTGACGGCCAGAGGGCTTGGTGGAAGCTGCCGCGAGGGAGTTGGAGGGTTTTAAGGGTTTGAAGCGTTTGAAGCCTGGCAAACGGCAGGCTTGAATGGCCTAACAAGAGAGGGCTATGTGCAGGCAAAGGGCAGGCTGCAACCCTGGGGAGGGTTTTAAGGGTTTTAATGGTTTTGAGCGTTTGAAGCCTGGCAAACGGCAGGCTTGAATGCCCTAACAAGAGAGGGCTATGTGCAGGCAAAGGGCAGGCTGCAACCCGCGAACAGCAAAGGCTGACGGCCAGAGGGCTTGGTGGAAGCTGCCGCGAGGGAGTTGGAGGGTTTTGAAGCGTTTGAAGCCTGGCAAACGGCAGGCTTGAATGCCCTAACAAGAGAGGGCTATGTGCAGGCAAAGGGCAGGCTGCAACCCTGGAAGAGCAAAGGCTGACGGCCAGAGGGCTTGGTGGAAGCTGCCGCGAGGGAGTTGGAGGGTTTTAAAGGTTTTAAGGGTTTGAAGCGTTTGAAGCCTGGCAAACGGCAGGCTTGAATGCCCTAACAAGAGAGGGCTATGTGCAGGCAAAGGGCAGGCTGCAACCCTGGGGAGTGTTTTAAGGGTTTTAAGGGTTTGGAGCGTTTGAAGCCTGGCAAACGGCAGGCTTGAATGCCCTAACAAGAGAGGGCTATGTGGAGGCAAAGGGCAGGCTGCAACCCTGGAACAGCAAAGGCTGACGGCCAGGGGGCTTGGTGGAAGCTGCCGCGAGGGAGTTGGAGGGTTTTGAAGCGTTTGAAGCCTGGCAAACGGCAGGCTTGAATGCCCTAACAAGAGAGGGCTATGTGCAGGCAAAGGGCAGGCTGCAACCCTGGAAGAGCAAAGGCTGACGGCCAGAGGGCTTGGTGGAAGCTGCCGCGAGGGAGTTTGAGGGGTTTTAAGGGTTTTAAGGGTTTGAGCGTTTGAAGCCTGGCAAACGGCAGGCTTGAATGGCCTAACAAGAGAGGGCTATGTGCAGGCAAAGGGCAGGCTGCAACCTGGGGAGGGTTTTTTAGGGTTTAAGGGTTTGAAGCGTTTGAAGCCTGGCAAACGGCAGGCTTGAATGCCTAACAAGAGAGGGCTATGTGCAGGCAAGGCAGGCTGCAACCCTGGAACAGCAAAGGCTGACGGCCAGAGGGCTTGGTGGAAGCTGCCGCGAGGGAGTTGGAGGGTTTTAAGGGTTTTAAGGGTTTTGAAGCGTTTGAAGCCTGGCAAACGGCAGGCTTGAATGCCCTAACAAGAGAGGGCTATGTGCAGGCAAAGGGCAGGCTGCAACCCTGGAACAGCAAAGGCTGACGGCCAGAGGGCTTGGAGGGAGTTGGAGGGTTTTAAGCTTTGAAGCCTGGCAAACGGCAGGCTTGAATGCCCTAACAAGAGAGGGCTATGTGCAGGCAAAGGGCAGGCTGCAACCCTGGAACAGCAAAGGCTGACGGCCAGAGGGCTTGGTGGAAGCTGCCGCGAGGGAGTTGGAGGGTTTTAAGGGCTTTAAGGGTTTTGAAGCGTTTGAAGCCTGGCAAACGGCAGGCTTGAATGCCTAACAAGAGAGGGCTATGTGCAGGCAAAGGGCAGGCTGCAACCCTGGGGAGGGTTTTAAGGGTTTTAAGGGTTTGGAGCGTTTGAAGCCTGGCAGACGGCAGGCTTGAATGCCCTAACAAGAGAGGGCTATGTGCAGGCAAAGGGCAGGCTGCAACCCTGGAACAGCAAAGGCTGACGGCCAGAGGGCTTGGTGGAAGCTGCCGCGAGGGAGTTGGAGGGTTTTGAAGCGTTTGAAGCCTGGCAAACGGCAGGCTTGAATGCCCTAACAAGAGAGGGCTATGCGCAGGCAAAGGGCAGGCTGCAACCCTGGAAGATCAAAGGCTGACGGCCAGAGGGCTTGGTGGAAGCTGCCGCGAGGGAGTTGGAGGGTTTTAAGGGTTTGAAGCGTTTGAAGCCTGGCAAACGGCAGGCTTGAATGGCCTAACAAGAGAGGGCTATGTGCAGGCAAAGGGCAGGCTGCAACCCTGGGGAGGGTTTTAAGGGTTTTAAGGGTTTGGAGCGTTTGAAGCCTGGCAAACGGCAGGCTTGAATGCCCTAACAAGAGAGGGCTATGTGCAGGCAAAGGGCAGGCTGCAACCCTGGAACAGCAAAGGCTGACGGCCAGAGGGGGTAGTATAATAACCCCGTGCATTGCATTTTAGCTTGGCTTGCACTTTAACACTGCCAATACGTTGCCGGCCCAGAAAACGATAAGAGGGGAAAAACGATAACGATGCTCATATATATATATATATTTATAATATATCATAATATATATATATATACACATACATGATATGAGGTACGGTCAAAACTCGATCTGGTATAATTATTACTTGCAATTGAGAATAAACGTTGGCAGCTCCATGGGATTGGACCAACTTGCTGAGTCTCAAGTGTTTTGTTGCCCGCAGTCGTTTGCATGGACTACGAAAATGAGAACGTGCAGAGGTGACCAAAACGATAATGAAACGATAACGAAAACGATAAGGAATTGTAGCAAAAAACATGCCGTGTGAGCAACTACCCATTTGACAGGTTTCACGAGGCTTTTTGAAGACAGAAATGTGTGGCATGGTAGTCTTGTTTAGCTTTTCCTCTTTACCGGCTTTGCCTCACCTTGGCTTCTGCCATGTCTTTACCACCCAAGACTATCTATGCCTTGCTGCAGCAAGTTTTGAAAGATCCTGAAATCGGACCTGGTGCAATTTCAGAAGCAAAAAAGCAATGTCCCGGACTCCTTGCCCTAATCTCACAGACCAAAAAAGAGTTGCAGAAAGCTAGTCAAGTGCTGAGATGCTTCACGATTATGATCCATGTCGAAGATTGCACACAGGACAATATGTTTTGATCTTCCACGAACAATTCTTTCACACCCATGGAAGCCTGGTAAATTCACACTTCTTGTCTACAGGGAGCTCACCACCTGAGAAAACGATAAGAGGAAAAAAAAACGATAACGTGATTTTGGGTAATTTAAAAAGATACGGGGTTTTTATACAACCCTGCCGCGAGGGAGTTGGAGGGTTTTAAGGGTTTTAAGGGTTTGGAGCGTTTGAAGCCTGGCAAACGGCAGGCTTGAATGCCCTAACAAGAGAGGGCTATGTGCAGGCAAAGGGCAGGCTGCAACCCTGGAACAGCAAAGGCTGACGGCCAGAGGGCTTGGTGGAAGCTGCCGCGAGGGAGTTGGAGGGTTTTGAAGCGTTTGAAGCCTGGCAAGCGGCAGGCTTGAATGCCCTAACAAGAGAGGGCTATGTGCAGGCAAAGGGCAGGCTGCAACCCTGGAAGAGCAAAGGCTGACGGCCAGAGGGCTTGGTGGAAGCTGCCGCGAGGGAGTTGGAGGGTTTTAAGGGCTTTAAGGGTTTGAAGCGTTTGAAGCCTGGCAAACGGCAGGCTTGAATGGCCTAGCAAGAGAGGGCTATGTGCAGGCAAAGGGCAGGCTGCAACCCTGGGGAGGGTTTTAAGGGTTTTAAGGGTTTGGAGCGTTTGAAGCCTGGCAAACGGCAGGCTTGAATGCCCTAACAAGAGAGGGCTATGTGCAGGCAAAGGGCAGGCTGCAACCCTGGAACAGCAAAGGCTGACGGCCAGAGGGCTTGGTGGAAGCTGCCGCGAGGGAGTTGGAGGGTTTTAAGGGTTTTAAGGGTTTGGAGCGTTTGAAGCCTGGCAAACGGCAGGCTTGAATGCCCTAACAAGAGAGGGCTATGTGCAGGCAAAGGGCAGGCTGCAACCCTGGAAGAGCAAAGGCTGACGGCCAGAGGGCTTGGTGGAAGCTGCCGCGAGGGAGTTGGAGGGTTTTAAGGGTTTTAAGGGTTTGAAGCCTGGCAAACGGCAGGCTTGAATGGCCTAACAAGAGAGGGCTATGTGCAGGCAAAGGGCAGGCTGCAACCCTGGGGAGGGTTTTAAGGGTTTTAAGGGTTTGGAGCGTTTGAAGCCTGGCAAACGGCAGGCTTGAATGCCCTAACAAGAGAGGGCTATGTGCAGGCAAAGGGCAGGCTGCAACCCTGGAACAGCAAAGGCTGACGGCCAGAGGGCTTGGTGGAAGCTGCCGCGAGGGAGTTAGAGGGTTTTGAAGCGTTTGAAGCCTGGCAAACGGCAGGCTTGAATGCCCTAACAAGAGAGGGCTATGTGCAGCAAAGGGCAGGCTGCAACCCTGGAACAGCAAAGGCTGACGGCCAGAGGGCTTGGTGGAAGCTGCCGCGAGGGAGTTGGAGGGCTTTGAAGCGTTTGAAGCCTGGCAAACGGCAGGCTTGAATGCCCTAACAAGAGAGGGCTATGTGCAGCAAAGGGCAGGCTGCAACCCTGGAAGAGCAAAGGCTGACGGCCAGAGGGCTTGGTGGAAGCTGCCGCGAGGGAGTTGGAGGGTTTTAAGGGTTTTAAGGGTTTGAAGCGTTTGAAGCCTGGCAAACGGCAGGCTTGAATGCCCTAACAAGAGAGGGCTATGTGCAGGCAAAGGGCAGGCTGCAACCCCTGGGGAGGGTTTAAAAAAAAAAGGGGTTTTTCAGGGCTTTGAAGCGTTTGAAGCCTGGCAAACGGCAGGCTTGAATGCCCTAACAAGAGAGGGCTATGTGCAGCAAAGGGCAGGCTGCAACCCTGGAAGAGCAAAGGCTGACGGCCAGAGGGCTTGGTGGAAGCTGCCGCGAGGGAGTTGGAGGGTTTTAAGGGTTTTAAGGGTTTGAAGCGTTTGAAGCCTGGCAAACGGCAGGCTTGAATGCCCTAACAAGAGAGGGCTATGTGCAGGCAAAGGGCAGGCTGCAACCCTGGAACAGCAAAGGCTGACGGCCAGAGGGCTTGTGGAAGCTGCCGCGAGGGATTGGCTTTAAGGGTTTTAAGGGTTTGAAGCGTTTGAAGCCTGGCAAACGGCAGGCTTGAATGCCCTAACAAGAGAGGGCTATGTGCAGGCAAAGGGCAGGCTGCAACCCTGGAAACAGCAAAGGCTGACGGCCAGAGGGCTTGGTGGAAGCTGCCGCGGAGGGTTTGAGGGGTTTTAAGGGTTTTAAGCGTTTGAAGCCTGGCAAACGGCAGGCTTGAATGCCCTAACAAGAGAGGGCTATGTGCAGGCAAAGGGCAGGCTGCAACCCTGGGGAGGGTTTTAAGGGTTTTAAGGGTTTGGAGCGTTTGAAGTCTGGCTAACGGCAGGCTTGAATGCCCTAACAAGAGAGGGCTATGTGCAGGCAAAGGGCAGGCTGCAACCCTGGAACAGCAAAGGCTGACGGCCAGAGGGCTTGGTGGAAGCTGCCGCGAGGGAGTTGGAGGGTTTTGAAGCGTTTGAAGCCTGGCAAACGGCAGGCTTGAATGCCCTAACAAGAGAGGGCTATGTGCAGGCAAAGGGCAGGCTGCAACCCTGGAAGAGCAAAGGCTGACGGCCAGAGGGCTTGGTGGAAGCTGCCGCGAGGGAGTTGGAGGGTTTTAAGGGTTTGAAGCGTTTGAAGCCTGGCAAACGGCAGGCTTGAATGGCCTAACAAGAGAGGGCTATGTGCAGGCAAAGGGCAGGCTGCAACCCTGGGGAGGGTTTTAAGGGTTTTAAGGGTTTGGAGCGTTCGAAGCCTGGCAAACGGCAGGCTTGAAGGCCCTAACAAGAGAGGGCTATGTGCAGGCAAAGGGCAGGCTGCAACCCTGGAACAGCAAAGGCTGACGGCCAGAGGGCTTGGTGGAAGCTGCCGCGAGGGAGTTGAAGGGTTTTAAGGGTTTTAAGCGTTTGAAGCCTGGCAAACGGCAGGCTTGAATGCCTTAACAAGAGAGGGCTATGCGCAGGCAAAGGGCAGGCTGCAATGCTGGAACGCTGACGGCCAGGAGCTTGGTAGAAGCTGCCGCGAGGGATGTGCAGGCAAAGGGCAAGCTGCAACCTTGGAACAGCAAAGGCAGGCTGCAAACCTGGAACAGCAAAGGCTGACGGCCACAGGGCTTGGTGGAAGCTGCCGCGAGGGAGTTGGAGGGTTTTAAGGGTTTTAAGCGTTTGAAGCCTGGCAAACGGCAGGCTTGAATGCCCTAACAAGAGAGGGCTATGTGCAGGCAAAGGGCAGGCTCCAACCCTGGAACAGCAAAGGCTGACGGCCAGAGGACTTCTTGGAAGCTGCCGCGAGGTTAAAGCCCGCGCGGAAAAGTTCCACACCTGCGGTGGTCCCAGGCGCCGCCCCGGCCTTGGCGAAGGCCGGGGTCGGCGGATATATATTTATATATATATATATATTTAATTATATATTTATATACATATATAATTTATATATATATACATATGTAACTCGATCTGAACCTCACGTCAAGCATCAATGATGGCCCTTCCTGCTCATTGAATCCGGACCCACAACCCTAACTAAATCCCATGGGCAAAGTCCCTGGGAGATGGGTATTCATCCCCTCCATCGCAGTTTTCTATTTCTTGCACGCAAAAACTTTGCTGCTTGTGTCCAGTCATGGTCCCCAATCCCCACGATTATTGCTGATATTCCCACTATCATTGCTGATATTCTCACCATTATCGCTGATATTCCCACCATTATCATCTCTAACATTCAGACTATTGTTGATATTCCCACTATTATTGCTGATATTCCATGTTTGTTGTTGGTTGGGCTCCCGTTTCATCAGCAAATCATGTTTTGTTTTGCCCCAAGCACGGTGAGGGATCCCCCAGGAAGGACAGGGTCAAGCCCTCTCGGTGCGCTTCGCACATGTGGGCACTTTGGAGGTGCCAACAGCGGAGAGGATGGCTGGGAAATGCTTGGGGTACCTAAGCACGATTCACTAGCGACTATGGTGACGCCTACTCCCTTCCCAAAAATTCACATAGACCCGAATTTTAGAGCCAAATTTCATGGAACCTGATCTTCCAAACCCTTATTTGGCATGGTCTATGTGAAAAAAGGGGTGATAGTATATAATGATATGTTCTTTTTAGTATGTAGTATTACTGATAATGCTTATGATCATCATGAGAGTCCTGAGAATACATGGATGATTCACACATATTGAAATGATCATCTTAACTATCACAACACCAATGATAAATAGTTATAATTGGTAAGGGTCATCTGCATGTGTTGGCTATGCTTCATATGCACACACCGTACCAAGCTGATCAATTTTGGTGACCTTCAGGGTTTCCAGGGGTCACCAAGTTTGGGCCATCCCCAAAAGCATCAAAAGCAAGGATCAATGGCTTCTCCTCATATGGTGAACCAACCTGGAAGTGAAATATCCAGAGTCTGCTGGTTTTATAGATGAATTGCTTGGGTTTTCCCAGGATTTCAACATCTTTCAACTGGAAAAGTACCACGCTACTCATAGCCATAGCAGTCTGCGGTGCGGTGTCAGGTCCTGCTTTGCCAGGGTTCTGGCCGGAGCTTCGAGGCACCTTTCAGAGACCTCACAAGAATGTTTTTCGCAAAATTTCATGGTTTACTGGTTGGTGGTTTGGAACATTTGTTATTTTTCCATATATTGGGAATAATCATCCCAACTGCTTAATATTTTTCAGAGGGTTGAAACCACCAACCAGTTAACCATTTGTGAAATATATTGGAATATTAAACATTAATACAACCAAATGGAGAATTCACCATTAATCTATATTATTTGATCCAATATCTATTTGTGGATCTAATTTATGGACCAACTTATTTTCTGGGAATACTTTGAATGAATAGAAGCTACCGATTTCAACATGCTAACGGTTGAACATGGACACAAATCCACTTCCACTCATCAACTCCATAGTCTTACTGGTGCTTAGTAGGGAATGGATGGGATGGGGGTTGCTGGGATGATTATTACTAGTGATGACTGGGATCATTCCCGAAATTTCCCTGCGTTTAGCACCAGTAAGATCCAGCAAGTAGTTCATCATGAATTCTGGATTCCCTGCCCCAATAAAGGCCCCACGGCTACCCCCATGGCTTACCAAAAAAAAACCGCAGATCTTCCGCGTCTTCAGCGACAACGAGGTGGCCAAGAGGCGGAAGCGCCGGGAGCGCCGGGCCAAGGCGAAGCTGCGGAAGCGCCCTGGCCGCAGCGGGGCGCAGCGGCAGTGGGTGATCGGCTCATCAAAATGACCAGGAAATGATGGGTTTCTTGAGGTACCACCATCAAAGTGATTAGTTGGTTTATAAGCCCCAGTAACTATGGTTATAAGATGTTATAAGTACCAAAAGCATCCATAAACCATATAATATCTGATGGAACATTCTTATGACTTTCCATATATTGGGAATATTTGGGAATAATCATCCCAACTGACGAACTCATATTTTTCAGAGGGGTAGGTATACCACCAACCAGTCATGATTCTTGGTTTCTTGATGTTTCTTTCCTAAAATGTTTGGTGCCCAAAATCATCGATATCCTTCAGTCACTAGACCATTTGAGTATATTTTAGTCTTAAAAGCCATGGTTTTGGGGTACGATCATTTCAGGAAACCTCCACATGATGGAGAGAATGATGATCAACCATTTTTTCTCTTCGGGTCTTACTCACAAGTCCCGTGTCTCTTCAAGACCTGCCTCTTCAACCCTTTGGACGAGGGTGGTGGGAGCAAAGAACACCTATATTAATACAGTTTTTTCCTGCCATTCTTCAGCTTTCTTTTGTTTTGTGTAGAGTTTCTAGTTTTCCTTCCGAATTTTTTGTTCCTTCTGTAGAGTTTGAACTGATTGTGTGTAGAGTGCCAGTGGTGAGGTCTCCAACAAGAATCACATATTAAGCAACAAAAAATTTGATCTCTCTAGCATTTTGTAGTTTTGTTTGAATTCCTTCAGCTCCGGGCTTCCTTCAGCATTTTCCAGTTCCACATCTTTTTCAGAGGCATACCATATGATCCTATGGGCGTGCACTCTATGCTCGACAAAACCTAACAGTTGTGGCCTTGAAATTTGTCACACCGGTGGTCATTGATGTGTGGCAATACAAATCTGGATAGCAAGGTGAACATCTCAATAGAAGAGCGTCATTTGTCATTTGATCGGAGGTCTCGAATATCATCAATCGATCCGGGTTCGCACCACTCAGAAGCATACATCTCTGAGTCTCCTGTTGGTGATATTTCATGATATTTCGATGTCATCCCTTATTCTCATATTACCTCCATCCAGCTGGGCTGCTTAAGATCCCACCCGCAAGCTAAATGGATGGATGTTTGCTGGTTCCTTGAAGACTGGGTAACGTTGCTATATGTATTTATACATGTTTTACTTTATGTTCAATATCAATAATTCGTAGACAGATCTTCCAGTGACACACTGTTTGGATTATAATATGTTGTTATCACATGAGCAGTGTTCAAAACCCCTCTCTTATTCCACTATAGTTGGTTGATAGGAAATCCCGCAATGGATGATTACTCTACATATATATATATAGTTATATATATATAACTATATATATATATATGTAGGGTATTCTCATCCCCACAAAGCATCAACCAACAGGGGTTTTGAATACTGTTCAGCTGCTTGCAGCATGTTTTGTATATCATAATAATATCTTATATAATATCATAGTAGAAATATCATATATCATCATATATCATCATATTTATTCATTTATAATCCTATATCCATATATCATATCCATAGCATTTATATATGTATATACATAATGAGTATTTTATTTTTTTGTAATATAATTTAATATAATTTAATATGATATAATATAAAATAATATAATATAATTTAGTAATATAATATAATATAATAATAATATATAATATATAAGATAATATATAATATCATATAATATAATATAATATTTAAGGGCTGCCGCCCCTGCCGCCGACCCCGGTAAAGTTTGTCCAATTTTGATCTCTAATTTTGACTGCTGCTGCTACCTATAATAAAGCAAGAAACCAGCAGCCAGACACCTTTTGTAAAACACAGCCGAAACAGCAAAACACCACCTAATTTCGTGCCGAACATAACGCAAAATCAATCACAATAATAGGTTTTCGGGGGCCGAAACGTCCCTTCTGAAATCCTACTAGAAATCCAATTTTGTCCAATAGAAATCTAATTTTAGTCAAATTTGATTGATCTCTAATTTTGATTGCTGCTGCTGCCTCTAATAAAGCAAGAAACCAGCAGCCAGACACCTTTTTTAAAACACAGCCGAAACAGCAAAACACCACCCAATTTCGTGCCGAACATGACGGAAAATCAATCACAATATTAGGTTTTCGGGGGCCGAAACGTCCCTTCTGAACTCCTACTAGAAATCCAATTTTGTCCAATAGAAATCTAATTTTAATCAAATTTGATCTCTAATTTTGATTGCTGCTGCTGCCTCTAATAAAGCGAGAAACCAGCAGCCAGACACCTTTTTTAAAACACAGCCGAAACAGCAAAACACCACCCAATTTCGTGCCGAACATGACGGAAAATCAATCACAATATTAAGTTTTCGGGGGCCGAAACGTCCCTTCTGAAATCCTACTAGAAATCCAATTTTGTCCAATTTTGATCTCTAATTTTGACTGCTGCTGCTACCTATAATAAAGCAAGAAACCAGCAGCCAGACACCTTTTTTAAAACACAGCCAAAACAGCAAAACACCACCTAATTTCGTGACGAACATGACGCAAAATCAATCACAAGAATAGGTTTTCGGGGGCCGAAACGTCCCTTCTGAAATCCTACTAGAAATCCAACTTTGTCCAATAGAAATCTAATTTTAGTCAAATTTGATCTCTAATTTTGATTGCTGCTGCTGCCTCTAATAAAGCGAGAAACCAGCAGCCAGACACCTTTTTTAAAACACAGCCGAAACAGCAAAACACCACCCAATTTCGTGCCGAACATGACGGAAAATCAATCACAATATTAAGTTTTCGGGGGCCGAAACGTCCCTTCTGAAATCCTACTAGAATCCAATTTTGTCCAATTTTGATCTCTAATTTTGACTGCTGCTGCTACCTATAATAAAGCAAGAAACCAGCAGCCAGACACCTTTTGTAAAACACAACTGAAACAGCAAAACACCACCTAATTTCGTGCCGAACATAACGCAAAATCAATCACAATAATAGGTTTTCGGGGGCCGAAACGTCCCTTCTGAAATCCTACTAGAAATCCAATTTTGTCCAATAAAAATCTAATTTTAGTCAAATTTGATTGATCGCTAATTTTGATTGCTGCTGCTACCTCTAATAAAGCAAGAAACCAGCAGCCAGACACCTTTTTTAAAACACAGCCGAAACAGCAAAACACCACCCAATTTCGTGCCGAACATGACGGAAAATCAATCACAATATTAGGTTTTCGGGGGCCGAGACGTCCCTTCTGAACTCCTACTAGAAATCCAATTTTGTCCAATTTTGATCTCTAATTTTGACTGCTGCTGCTGCCTATAATAAAGCAAGAAACCAGCAGCCAGACACCTTTTTTAAAACACAGCCGAAACAGCAAAACACCACCTAATTTCCTGCCGAACATAACGCAAAATCAATCACAAGAATAGGTTTTCGGGGGCCGAAACGTCCCTTCTGAAATCCTACTAGAAATCCAACTTTGTCCAATAGAAATCTAATTTTGTCCAATTTGATCTCTAATTTTGATTGCTGCTACTGCCTCTAATAAAGTAAGAAACCAGCAGCCAGACACCTAATTTCGTGCCGAACAGGACGCAAAATCAATCACAATAATATACCAATGTTTATAGTTTTCGACCAATGTTTATACCACTGTTTGTGCAATGAGACATAGAACCCTCCTGTTGCTCCTGTTGCTGCTGCTGCTCATGGCCACCACTTGAAACGCTGAAACGCCACCTAATTTCGTGCCCAAAACGCTCCAAAATCGAGCCCAAAAAGTGCCTAACGTCCCTTCTGAAATCCTAGAAAAAAAAAGAACTGCCTTTGTGATGATAACCGTCTTGTCAAACACCTTCTATTTCCTCCCTGCTGCTGCTGCTGCTCCTGCTCCTGTGACTCCTTCTGTTCAAAAGGCACCTGCCGGATGGGAAAACACCATGGCAGTAGTAGTAGTAGTAGTAGTAGTAGTAGTCCGAAACAAGAGTCAAAAGTATTATTCCCTGGCACGCTCCCCCTTGCGTCTGCCGGGGTCGGCGGATATTGACTGCTGGCTACTGGCTGGGTGCTGCTGTCTTATTCCCTAACGCGCTCCCCCTTGCGCAGCCGGGGTCGGCGGATAAGATAAGATAATATAATATAATATAAGATAATATAATATAATATAACATTATATTATATACATTATATATGTATATATATATATATACATATAAAAAGTAAGTCTCTTTGGGCCAGTAAACGTTTCCAAAAACCACTGGGATGAGAACTCGGTCACCGAGGAAGGGCACGGAGGACGCTGCAGATGCCGTGGATCACGAGCACCACGAGGCCGAGGAGACCCTTGGGGGTCAAAGGCATGCCCTGGGGATGGGGCGAAAAAAATGGGCCATCCCAAAATATTGAATTTTGACTAGATGAACCATCACAACTATTGGATTTTGACTAGATGAACCACCAAAAAAAATGTTTTTTGCCTATTTGAACCACAAAGAATGCGGAATTAAGCAATTTTGAAGCCATCAACAAATTAGGAGTTCGACATGGTGATTTTATTTATCGTTCAAATTGAGGTTTGTCCTGAACTTGGGAAGTGACATTACACAATGCGGTTCTGGAAACAAGTAGAAGTCATGAAGAGCAATTTCCACTACTCTGGTGATTGCGTTATGTCTTTAGCTGAACATAACTGAACATGACCTGATGGACTGCTGCATGGCAATTTTCCATGAGCCCCGGTTTTTCCGTTTCTTGTCCAAAATTTGGTGGTTATCAGTTCCTGACAGATTCAGCACCTTGCGATTCATTGTCCCGAAATACATCTAAGATTTTGCATTGAAGACAACATGATCTGAACCTAGGCCGAATATGAAGTCAAATTTGGATTTATTACCTCCTGAATCGTCCACTTAAAGATGTTGCCAGAATTAGCGATTCGTGGTTAGTACCTCGGGCACATCCCAATACATCCCAGTGTTTGAAGGGATTTCAACTGATTTCAACCAATTTCAACCCTGACTGAACTAATCTGTACTGACCAACATGTAGACGAAATCCATCGAAATCCCACAACCTTATCACTGAAGGACGACGAACATGAAGCCGAGGGCTCCCATGCAGCTGACGTACCCAGCCTCAGAGGGAATCTACCGCTGGGTGATGTCTGGATCCGAAATGGATGATGTGACACACGCCAAAATGGAACGTGGCCGAAGTCTGTGGCTTTGTGGGTCTTGTTAAAAAAGAAACCAGACTCGTGAAACATGGAATCCCCAAAATGAACATGTTCACTAAACTTCCATGCAAAGTCATTTGCTTGACGCTAATTTTCCGGCTCCATGTCAAATCTAATTGAGGAGTATAGGTGCAATGAATTCACATTCCAAGTATATGTGATTATATGTAAAGCATAAATAGTAGTCCCAAGTTCTATAATTAGCACCATATCGGCAAGCTGTTTTCAGTATCCTCCCAGACAGATTTGATAAAGGAATTCCTATTAATTCGGGTTGATGCTTTCAAACCACGTTGTTCTCATCCCTCCTTGAGAAGATACTCTCTTAATCGACGAGTTCCTGACTGACAAGCAATCATGTTAGGTTGTTTTGTTCTTCTTTTACATGAATTAACATTAGTTGTCATTAATATTCATTAGTTTCCATAGTCTTAAAGTCGACTAGAATTAGTTGACTCCACCTCCATCGTGAAAAAAAACTCACCTCAGACACAGCCATTCGTCCAAGGAGATCACACACCTCCAAACACATCGCTGCAGTGCGAAGGTTGGCGGCTTCTCTTAGCGCTTGGGGAAAACAGACAGAACCACATAGAACCACGGTTTAGTTCGTTTATTATGGTTACGGATATAAAGTGGTTCGCAGTTTTATTGTTTTTTTTTGCAAAGACTGTGTTGGACTTTAGCGGACCGAAGGATCGCAGTGTTGAGTTCAAGTGGGGGTCAATGTGTAGCCACAACATACAATGGAATATATACACACTATTCTTTAAGTGATTGAACGTGGTGGAACATCATACCATATCATACCCCCCTTTGTTAATTGTGGTATATCATTATCCTGGATATTTGCTACACAAATGGTGCCACTCCAACTAAACAGCCCAGAGATTCAACAAACTCCGATCTCCAGGCGCTTTCGATGGCTTGGAATGAGAAGACCAGTACTGCATTGCTGGGCCTCACGAATAATCTGATGGAGTCAGTTCGAAGCTGGGCCTGAAATGCTGAGGCTAATCCGGCAACTCGAATAGGGAAATCCGTGCCCCCTAATCATGCTTAAATATATAGATAAACACCAACCCAAAACTCCTGGTTTGGCATTAGATCATCATATTGTATCATATTGTATTATATCATATTGGATCATGGTATAGTGGGTCTAGTTGTTTGGGGCAAAATTGTCATTTCTCCTGGGACAATCATTTTCCAAACCGACTTGTTTCTTGTGGATTGATCTTCCCGTTTTCAAGGGGATGTTTCAAAATTCAAAACTGTCCTTTGTGAAGATCATCTTTTTGTTTGGTAGGAAACTATTGATACCTATTGATACCCTCTGGTTATTTAACATAGCTATGGAAAATGGATGATTTATAGTTGGTTTACCTATTAAAGATGCTGATGTTCCATAGCTATGTCAGTTTGATAACATCTATTGTCTATTGTGATATCATAAGCTTGTTTATAACGGATAACATCATAAGCTATTGTCTATATATTTGTTTGATAACATCTATTGTCATTGTCCATTGTGATATCATCTATATTGATATCAAAACTATTGTTTATAGTGATGAATCTTGCTGCGCTTCCCTGGATCACCCAGGAATCACAGCAGCTGAGTCCCAGGCGAGACGCGGACGGGCGTCGTTGAACCATGAAAAATGCTGACTTAACGAAGATAAATGGCGGTACAAGGGGGATAATATATATATATATATGTTGGATACATATATAAGTGTATATATATATACAGTGTACATATATATATATATATACATAAGTGTATATCAATGTGTATATATATATATGTATAATATATACATATACAGTACATATACATATATTATATTGTTATATTATTATGGTATTATATTATTATGTTATTGTATTATTATATTATTATACTATTATGTTTTTATTAGTATTAGTATCATTATGTTTTTATATTATTACATTATTATTAGTATTAATATTATTTGTTATTGTTAGTATTATCTATTATGTAATATATATATATGTATATTATGATGTTATATATCATCATCATCACCATCACCATCACCACCATCATCATCATCATCATCACCATCATCATCATCATCATCATCATTTGCCCTAGTAGAAAAATAAAACAACAGCAACTCGTACATATACTTCATTTTCAGGTGCACCCTGGAGTCGCCGAAAAGATGAACAAGTCATTTACAAAGTAATGTACAACTAGTTTTGACTGTTTGTTCAGTGTTTTTTTCTGCTCTATTTGCTTGTCGGTTATAGCATAGAACCTGGGATGTTTGGTGGATGATCAAGTTGATGTTTGGCCCTCTTGAACAAGGTGCCAAGTGAGCGGTGGTGTTCCAGATTTCCAGTCGAAAAGGGAGTCTTGTGCAATCATGGGCCACTTTGCAACCAATCTGTAAAGATTTGGGGGTGGGAAAAAACACTGTTAATACATGTTAATACCGTTAGTTGGGGGATGAACATCCATGAAGATCCATTTACCACTTATCTTGATGTTCACCAGGTTTCCAACATTTTGTCCTGTAGGACCCATATCAGAGCCAGGAAGGGCCGGCGATTCATCTGGAAGCGACTCCCACTTTGGAGTCGGGTCTCCCAGGAGAATTGGTGACGGAAAGGTGAGCAACTCTCCATTCGGGTCAAACTTCTCGGTTCTTGATGCTAGTTATACAGTACGTATAATAGTTCTATTGTTTTCTATTGCATTCTACTGTATATTCTATATATATACACACACGTGGATGATTAAGGTTATCTCCATGTTTGACGGTTCAAAAAAATATGGTTCACATCCCCAAAAAGCGACTTCCATCATTGCACTGGCCCTGCCAGGTTGGCTGGGCACCGCACGGGTGTTCGAGCTTTGGCAGTGGCGCAAGATGATTCCATGTGTGGCGACCGCACGAGTGATGGGTGGGAAATTGGTGGGAAACCATAGGGGCTATAGCCATTGGAAACCATAGATCAGTCGAAATTTCAGGACAACACCAGGTTGCCATATATATATATATATATATACGCAATATTCCAGAGCATCTTCTGTGGGGATATTCCCTGAAATTTCGCGATGTGTTCGGTACCTCGAGGTTCCTAAAATGGCAATAGACGTTCTTCCGCCACTGGCAGATTAGAGGTTCCCCCCATGAAAACCAACCAAGAAGTTGATAATAGTAAGTATACCAGATGGACCCCATGAGTTTTCCTTGGCAATTGGAATCCAAATATTGTGGGATAACCATACCCCATATACCATGTTTTGACCATGGCGCATGTATTTGCGGAAACCTTGGATGGGTAGCAACGACCTCGCCACGACGTCACTGTCAATGATGGGTTTGAAAAGGGTACTTATCCTAAATTGCCCCAGATCATCTGATTTTAGGTTGTCAATAATGGTTTTATTTAGACAGATGGCCCAGATGGCTGAAAATTAAGCCATCAAACCCAAAAACCAAGGATCAGCACATCCGATCGATCTAGATTGTTGGGGGGGGGCATGGAATCAGTTGGGATCATTTGGGACCATGGTATAGCCGGAGTCAGCGTCCAATTTATGGGCGAACAACTTGTGAACCATTTGCCAACTGGGATGCAGGTGCATAGCCATTCCTATTTCTCAAGCTTTCCTGTAGGTCATTAGATAGCCAAATAGGGGGGTGGAGGAAGAATCTCACTTCATCTTACTAAAACTTTGTTTGCTTTAGGGTTCTATGAGGATAGCCGAGTTTGATCTTCTTTTTTGCTGGGTGTTCTATGTCAATGTCGCCCCAGGTTTATGTCCTTGAGTTCGGAATCTGTGAAGATTTGGAGTGCCTCTACCGGCCGTTGTGTAAGGACCATGCCGCGCCTTGTTCAAGAGCAGAGGGCGTTCTGGGTTGTTTTCACCATCTTGGTAACTTTGATAACACGATAGAACGGTTTCAGCTTGCATAATCCTATAGTAGTATGTTTGGATATCAGATATCAACAAATTTTCATGAATCATCAAACACCTGACATATCAGTACAGTCTAATATGATAAGACACAATATAATGCACATATATTGCACATATAATGATAAATAAATATGATATCTTCCACAATATGTATACACAAAATATCACAAAATTATACTTAAGTACCGTGTCCTTAAAGCCAATAGCGGATGGACGTTTAACAGAGATCTTCAGGACCAGCTTTGTACAGTTTCAATATTAGCAATACATGTACCATCTGGTTATTTAACATCGCCATGGAAAATCACCATTTTTCATGGGAAAAAACTCACTATTTCTATGGCCATCTAATTTTCCATGGCTAACTGTTAAATAACCAGAGGGTATCAATAGATCCAGTGGCAATATGGCCAACAGATTGCCAGCAGGTCCAACACACCTGGGGATGGCCTCGTTGAATCTCAGGTCCGGCTATGGCCTGTGTGGCTTTTTCATCGCCGGCAACGAGCATGTGCTGATTGGCACCAAGGTGAGGCGACATTCGGAAACAGTGAAAAAGGTCTGAAAAAGGCAAGGAGACGAAGGTGAGGCCTTTCTCTTCATATGTTCCAATGACTTTATCTTTATATAATTTATATAGTGTATTTTTTTTATGTATGTGTTTATGTTTCATTATTAGTGTTTTTCTGGTTTGAATTGTTCGACTGGAAGCTGCACTCGATTTCTTCCGGCTCACCTTGAGCATTGGCACCGTTATCGAACGCAAGTTATGCCGTTACCATGTTTGATCTGTGTCCATCGTTTATAATAAGTATTTTATATTTATGCATCAAAAAATTGCGGATTCGCATTTCTGATTTTGACTATGGAGCGGTGCTCCCCTGGGATTCCTTTGATATTCCAACATGCAAATGTTGATGATTCATCAAAGGGCAAATCATGACCTTTGTGACGGTTGTGACGTGTTCCTGGCAGGAGGGCAAACTGGAGCTATACAATATCCAGCTTGGGGAGCCTTTTGGTTGAAGCAAATCCACTGGGTCACTGGAGGTCCAACCTGTGTCCAACCAACTGGGGTGGGTTTCCCAGGTCCCAACCAGTGGTACTGCGTCTTCGCCTGGGAGTCTTTGTGATTTTAATTCCAAAATAAATGGCCAAGTGATGCCAAGTGATGCCCCAAGAATCTGCAAATCGGCATTGTGAAATGTCCTGATTGTTCCATCATGCTCCATCCGCATGTTGGAGCCAGGCTTGATAAATCTGATTGTTGAATCGACCTAAAACCGGCCATTCATCCAGATGGTTATTGACTGATCAACCTTATTGGGCCCCCAAGATTGTTGGTTGGAAAAAGTGATTAGTCTCTTGTGGGACCATTGGTACTCCAATGACTTGACAAAGTGACAAAGTCTAATATGCCAATTATTATTATTATTATATATATATATATATCTATATATACATACTGATACATGGCTATGTTTTACCCATTCAAAGCAATTTCCATATCATTGTAAATGGCCATCAATGGTGCCACCGGTCGTTGAACAGCCTTTGTTTCCTCCCAGGCTTTCGCAGAGTGTGGAGGCCCACAGTGGAGCCGTCTATGGCTTGGCACAGCGGCCCGATCAGAAAGGTGCGGTGCGAAACCCTTGGGCTTTCGTGAAACAAACGGCTGAATTTCATGGTGAGTACTCTCTGGATATTTAACAGTTAGCCATGGTATAGATGGCCCATAGAAATAGATGGTTTACCTATTAAACATGGTGATTTTCCATGGCTATGACAAATAACCAGATGGTGATGCCTGAGTAATATTAATGATCCCCATTAATGGTGAGTACGTGATTATCATTTATTAATTTTATTATCACATGAAGATGGTGTTATAGACATAAAATATGATAACAATCATGGTGAGTAATGGGGATATGATATGATATGATTACAAAACCAAGTAAGTATGGTGTGTATATTATTTATAAACATTGCGATTAATGGGGATATGACATGACGTAACCAAAATAAGTACATGAGAAAAATGTGAATATCAGATTCATTCAATGGACATTTAATACAACTTGGATATCGGTAATTAAACATAGATGAGGAAAATAATCATTTCTAAGGGCTAAATCGTCTATAAATGGGCAATTGTCCATAGCTATGTTAAATTAGCAGATGGTGTATATATATATAATTATATATAGTGATAGTCATCTTGGACTAGATGGAATATTGAATTGTTCATGAACTCTCAAAACATCCTCACCCAAGTGGGAATCTGTTTGAGAATCCCATATATTCCATTTACCATCTGGTTATTTAACATAGCCATGGAAAATCACAATTTTGAATAGGTAAACCATCTATTTCTATGGGCCATCTATACCATGGCTAACTGTTAAATATCCAGAGGGTACTTGGATGAGAATCATGCTTTTCATCTATAAATGGCTCCGACATGGTGAAGTTCCTAACTATTTTCCATTGGACACCAGTCCCACTTAGATGGGCGGACATTGTTTTTTGATGACTGAGTTGTATCACCTTCGACATGATAAGCCATGAATAGCTCAGTGATATTGATCAGTTAACCTGGTGCCATAGAGCCAGCCTTTGCCCTCCTCCTTTGCAGCGAGGCTGCGTCAGCTGCTCGGCGGACCGCACCTTGCGTTTCTTCGACTTCGAATTTACGAAGGTCCCAGGGCAGCTGGGTTCATCCCTGGAGCAGATGAGTTAGATGCAAAGTGATTGCTCAATATTATTGTTAGATTAGATGAGTTAGTTGAGTTTGAATCATCTTCAAATATTTTCAATATCATCAAATATGTATTGTATCTATCATCCGGTTACTAGCCATTATCTCAATCAGCGACTAGTGGTACCGCGATTTAACATTTACATACCTACAGCGTTTTGGAACCCGATAGGGTTCCAATGCACATGCGTTGACACAGTTGAATGATCATTTTTTGCGTTCGGAACTGCTGTGGTCAACCCCCGGCATAATTGACACGGAAAATCCACATATGGACTCAGCGGACAGATTCTAAAACGGAAATTCCATATAGTCTATAATGTCTAGTCTATAACATCCTACAACGTCACCTTTGAGCCTACACAAACATACAACATGTATAACATCTGTCCCAGTGAACCCCCGTTACGGCCCGCCCCTTTCATCCCCAACAGGGTTCCGCCGTTCCACGCAGGGCTCCAGCAGCTCAGTGAAGCTGCTGGAGCAGACGGAACGGTCCACAGAACTACCAGATGAGTTGCTGGCGGTGGCCTACTCACCCAACAGCCACTGGAAAGATGGTGGATTCGATTGGAGTCCCAAAAAGACGGCTATCGCATCAGGACACTGTCCATGGTTAAATGATGTTAAATGTTATATTATAGATCTATATGCCATACATACATAATTGATCATAATTGGATATTTACCTACATGGCTGGGACATGCTGGGACCATGTGGGGCAAAACATATCACAATATGTCACAATAAATGTCAAAATGATGCGGCTCATACTCAGCATGGAGCATCTCGCAAGGTAAATACATCAATGTCGCCCTCTTGAACCACACTGTGGTGGTGCTCTTTGAAGATTCGTCACCTGGCAGACTGGTCCCAACTCAGCAGGGCTGGGAAATCCTCAACGAGGCTGGGCATTTCACAGGGAATGTGATTTTCCCAGCAATTTTCCGTTGCCATGTTTGATGACACCAGAGGCCACTGTAATCCTCGAACTGTTTGTTGATTGCGATTCGCATAAATCTGGAGTTCCACGGCTTGAAGCAACATTTAGATGATCCAACATCTGACCTCAAACCGTGCCCTGAGACCCCACAAAAATGACTTTGCGGGGCCAGTGAACCATAGGTTTGACCTTTACCTCATTTGTTCAATTTCGACATCCCCTTTCTTCGTGATGAATTCTCCACGTCTGATGTTGATGGTTCATGGTCAGAACTCAACTATTGATTTTCACGGTATGTTATCGATGAGAGTTAGAACATCTTACAACATTTGTTCAAAGCTGAATTGTATCCCATGTTTTGGTGACTATTTCCACTATCACAGTAGTCACCGTTTTTCTTCGTTAAACCATTAGTTCAACCATGATCAAACCACCATGTTTCTTGTTTTTTCGGTTCCCAGTGGTTTTTTCCCACCATCAAACCATAGTGGAAAACCCACATTTTTTCCACTCATAGAATTGGATGATGGGAAAATTTACAGGAAAGCCCAACCAATTTGATGGTAAAAACCCATGGGTTTCCGGTTAAGATTTTCCCGACTAAACCAATCCAATGATCCACCATTTCTGTTGCTTCAAACGACTGAGGTTGAAGTTTTATCTCTCCCTTTACGGTCACCGTTTACCGGTGATGACACTGGATGTCTCGGACGACTCGCAGCTCATTGCCTCGGGCTCGGCGGACAAGAACGTGAGGCGCATGTTGGAGCCGAGATGTGTGGGTTTTAATGCGGAGGAATGGGGATTTCACATGATTTAACATGATTAAACATGTTTTAAACAAACCATACTAAAGCATACTAAAGCATCATTTTTTGTTTAGTTAGCTAAGTTGGTTTAGTTAGATGACTAATAAATTAATAAATGCTAATAATTATAATATAACTAGCGTATATGGATGCTTATTGTAGATATATCGACCCAGTTAATGTGGTTATATACTAGCAAACAGCACTGGGTGGGCAGCACCCTGAAGAGTTTCGGAGGGTATGGTTGTGACTATTTGAATCCTGAACATGTAGCAACAATCATGGGGATATGAACCAAACCAATTGGCGAGCTAAGAACCAACGATAGTTTGGTTGCAGCCAAAAAGCAAAAAACAAAAAAAAACAAACAAACAAGATGGGGTCATGACAAACCCAGGTTTCACAAATTCCGTCGTCAAATTCCTCTTTGGTTCCACTGGAGTGGAATTGCATCAGCAGATTGTCGCTTTTTGGGGCTTTAGTTGATCCCCTGATTATCAGCCAGAGCTTATTATATAGATAATTCTGGGCTGACATTGAACCATATCCAAACTTGTTTGTAATGATGTGTATTATGTTGATCAATTTTGTATAATATATATATATATGTAATTATACGTGTATATAATATACAATTATACATACGTATATGTTGTCCAGTTTGAGTCTTGACCAACCAACTGAAGTGCTTAAAAAACACTTGAAACGATAGTTTCATGGAGGTCAAACTGGCTACCTGAAGATGGGATGGCTGCCCCAGGTCTTGATGGTCGAATCCTTTCTTGTTGGTCAGATCCACGACTGATTGAGGTTAGAACATGCTCAATGTCCATTCATTGTTGGATGTTGGCTACTGCTAGATGCCCAATGAATTCTATATCATTTCCCTACTGATGGTTAACTGGTCCTGCATTGATTCAATTGATGATTAGATATCTATGTGTTGTTGGGCAACACCTGGCCCATTGAATTCATTGAATGTTAAGTTAACTTTGACTGTGAACTGTGTCAAATACATTGCGTTGTTTTTCAAGGTTGAAGATTTGGCAAGGAACTCCTCGCTTGTTCATGGTGAAGTTCCCCTCCTTCAATTCTTCCATGTTCACGGACTTTTGTTGACTAAGTCTCCTCTAGCTGATTGTATTCATATATATCAAACATAAACATTAAACATATGCACATCCCGAGCTTTTGCTGGTTCAATTCTTGTTCAAAAGATAGGATGCAAAATGGCGGCTTGTCCAAGCCATGTTCGCCCAGCAGGCTTTGGAGCACGCAGTTTGGCAATTGCTTACGATCATTGAAGGCGCACAACGAGTCAGTGATGCAGGCGACATCAGCCGGGCCGTGGCCTTGTGTAACTGTCCTAGGACGCACCTGGTGTTGCTTTTGTGTGGCTGTGACTCGAGATTTTAAGATCCAGTATCCGAAACATCCCAAAAGATCTGAAGCAATCTGGGAAGTTCTCCATCTCACTGTCACTATTCTGTGGTGATTGGTCCTTATGAATGGGACCATTTTATGGGACCATGTTTTGAAGATACACATCCATTTACCATTTACCAACTCTTTTGGTGTTCACCAGGGGATACCAGGGGCTTTGCGGCTTTGACCCACATCTGTTGCAGAAGGTGTTTGCCACCAAGTGTTGCTGTGTGTTTTGGCAACGGTTTCTCAGAAAGCTTGACACCACCGACCAAATTCGACATATTATTTGAGAGGTGCCATCAAATATTACGGGCAGCGTTATTCACAAAGGTTTTGCCGTGCCAATAGAAACGTGTGAACGTGCAGATACCAGTACGTTTGTATTTATTTGTTGTTTGCGCACAATTGTATAATTCGATAAAATGCTATGTAATTAGTCTTGTCAGGACTGGATTTGTTGTTTGATTTCCACAATTACAGTCTGCAGTCCATGCGACAGAGCATAGACCATGGCCACTAAGTCACTGACTAATTACTCATATATATATACATATATAATTAATTATAATTATATATATGATGTGTATGGGCATGTTTTAATTACACTTGAACACTCATCCAGTAGATGTTACCTACTTGTATACTTATCATTATCTTATCATTATTCGTGTCTTCTTTTAGGAAGAACAACAATGCCGGGTCCATGGATTAACCCATACCTATCCGCTGGCTGCAGGTTCGTTTTCTACCTGGGACCCACTATTTGGCAACCGCTGGCCGTGATCACATGTTCCTCTGTCAAGTGTCAAGCCGTTAGGCTACTTTCGGAGCCGCAAATGTTTGGTCATTTTTTTTGTTGCACCAATCATTGATTGTTACTATCATTGTTATTATTATAATGATTATTGTCATTATTACTATAGATATATAGATTGATTGTATGATATTAATACCTATTAGATATTGTATTATTACATATTATTATCAAACACAATCATTTTTTGGGGGGTCCCATGCTCTCGATCCGTCCCATTTCTGCCTAAAGCTGTTGGCTCGTTGAGGTTTCTTGCGCCTGGAAAAAATGCTCGGCAATCTTGGAAAATCATCATTCCACATATAAAATTGCAAGTAATACATTTTTCAAAGAGCAAGGAAATATCCTTGTTGCCAGGATTTGAGCAACTTTATGGAGTGGTTCGGATTGAACGTTTCCTCTCAGTTGTTGTCCTGAAGGAAACCTTCCCTTCATGTCAGATCATGTTAAATCCCAATTGTTGGCAAAATCCTCACTCATTCATCAGTTCTCTAGATCCAGTTGTGTCTAGCTATGCTATGAAACATACATGTCATAGCTCCCCCTCCCTAAAGGTTGATGCTAAAAATACCCCCGCCATGTGGCGCCCGGAAGCTGAGGTTGAAACTCTGGGACTGCGACAGCTACGAAGTCATCAGCACCTTGGCAGGTCACGCCACTGAAATCCTGGCCATGGCCCTGTCGCAGGCGGATGGGTGGGGTAGGCCCTCCGGTGTCATCAGACGTGGCTTTTTTTCGAAAATCCTCCGGTGAAGATGTTTTTAATGAGGATTTAGTGGGAAAACCATCTATAAAATGGGAGACTTTATATATGGCCATGTTTGATTATCGGAGGGGATTTATACTGTATGACAGGCTTTTCAAGCATCAAAATCTCTGGTATTCCCATTCTTTATTCGGCGGTTTTCACGGTTAAATCCCCTATGATTCCGTAGGAAATGATGGTCGTAATTGGTGGAGGCTGTGGAGTTAAAGGGGGATATAAGGAACTAATTTATGGATGTGAATGGAGTTTATAAACCAACAATCATACAAAGGTTTTGGTTTAAAACATCTATATCACTCAAATTTTTAGCTTTGACATTCGGAAAACCCGCAGATTGGGGATCTAAAATTTGTGGTGACCTCAAACAACTTCACCATAGATGGTCGGAGGCAATCCTGAAACGATGAAATAAATATATATATATAGAAATATCTTTAACCGGGTCCGGATTCACTATAAATTCTTCAACATGTCAAGACAAAATCTCTAGAGATGGTTGTGGCTCGGACGTTGATGATGTTGTGATTTATAAGATTTGACGATTTGATATCGAAAACTAAAGTATAATGAACAATATGTTGTAACCTGTATTGTGGATATGGATGCACTAATGCGCCAATGTTAGACAGTTTCTTCAAAAACAACCCACCAAGACTCGACGTTTGTTGAGTATGAGTTGGCAGGACACCAATAATTCGAGACATACACAACGGGTCCCAACCATAAGATAAACACTGTTTAATTGCAGCATCTAGTGGCTGCTTGAGGCATAGGAAAAAAATATGTTGCCCTGGATCTTCTAAAAAATGATTGTGGGACTTGTGTCACAGTATTGTGCTTTCAATGAAAAAACCTCTATTCAAAAACGGTCCACAACCATTTACAGAAATTAAAGCCAGTTTCCTGACAACTTGGGTTACGGAGCCCTTGGGTTCCGCCACTGTGGGCCACAGGATGCCGCTTTCATCATCACTGCTGGAAATGACAAGCAGATCCGGATGTGGAAGCGCACGCAGGTGCCATGTGCATCCCAGGTAAGTAAGTGGTTTATAGTTTATAACTTATAATCCTTACTATACAATTATGTATATATATATATATTTACATATATTATATAGTATGATAATGGAACTGCACCTCCAAGTTGGGCCAAGGGTACCGATTTAACATCGTTCCGGAAGCCATAGCCCATTTTGTTCGCGATTCACCGTGATGAAAACGGGTGATTTGTCATGCCGCCGCGTTTGTTTATTGGAGATTTGGGGTCAATCCCATCAACAAACCTGGTTTTTCAGGGATTCCGTTGCCAGGTTTCATTGCCAGAGGGGACCATTCCCTTCATTTGTAGGATGTCCACTCGGTACCAATACCATCCAATACCAAGATTCATTGCTGTAATTTACGAAGTGATGTGTTCTACCAGTTGTTACATACAGCAAAGGTGATTAAGGATTTGAACTAATCTATTTGATGGACAGCCTGTCAGCAAAATTACAATTCACTTGCCACCACTGGTTCTTGCAGACACATGCCAACACCATGTCATATGTGTTGTTGTCGGATTTGTCATCCCTCGTTGCGGGTCATGTACTTGCTTCTGCCCTTTTATATAGGGTTGCAGCTCCCAATCGTTTGCCGCTCCCAATCACCAAGTGATCATAGATGGGACCATCCACGAGCGCCAATTTCCAGCGACCTCAAAGGATCCCATCTTACCACGGTGTTTTTGATGAGCAAAATCATCCCTGCAGTCACTGGTTTGTGGAATGAGTTTGCCCATCATTCCACCCATTGGACGTCAGAAAAGTCGCAAAACATCCCCTGGATATCCATGGGCCATCGATGGCCATTCCATTGGTTGGACACCTGATTTCCTAATATTTGATGGCCATTCATAGTTTTATGATATTTTATGATATGTTATGAGTTATGAATATCATACCCTGCCATTCATAGGGGGGGTTGGAAGATGAGTTTCAGCGCGGAGCTTGGCCCCAGGAGCAGCTCTTCTTGTCGGAGGAACGGGCCAAGGAGCAAGCTTTGGACTTTGGACAGTCGATGCTTTGAGGATTTGAAGATAAAAGTTAAAAGACAGGTCTTTCAACATCAGAAAACAGGAGTCAACCAATCCAAACAGATCAACTAGTTGAATCTATTCTATTTGATGATTGTATATTGTACATATGATATTGATTGATATTGTGTATGTGATATGTATAATTTTAGAAACAATTGACTCATTGAAACATGGATGTGTTGACAATTGAAAAAAGTGGCAGTAGATATGTTTAACAGATTGCTGTCAAGCACTCACAGTGATTTATCATTTTATGACTATTCTAAAAAAAACTGTCCCAATCAACTAGTCTGGGTTTGATGGTTTGAGCCATAACAAAATATGGGTGGACGCCCCCACAGATTTGACCATCAAAAATGCTGGTTTGAACCAAACATTGGCTTTTTCATCAGCCACACGTTGAAAATCCACAAACCTGTTTTAACATGTTGCATATAATGTTTTTGGTTTTCTTTTCAGATTGATTTACGGCCGGTTTATTGTGGTTCGAACCATCAACAAAGTTTGTTTTCAAGCACACACACACAAACTTGTGATTAACAATCAACAAAACATGTTTTTCAACCCAGCAAACACTTGCTTTTCAGCACCAAACTATGTCTCTCACCGCCCGTGTGTTCATGCCTAGGACATGGGAGGTTCATGATCCAATTTTGTGCTTCCATCATGAAATCATGTTGGTGTCAAGCACAAGAACAATGTTGTTAATGTTAGCCAACATTATCATAAAACAGGGGGTGCCAACCACTACTACAGTACTTGTCCCATCAGCCAGGAGTTGGAAGATCAATTTGAACAAGAAGTGGAGAGAGAGGCAGCCGAGATATGCCGGGGATAGGGGCAACATGGAGCAGATTCTGACTGATCGTTGGAAAATCGGCTTTTTTTTTTGGTGGGATGATTGATGAGTTGCAACACATTTTAGATGTGAAAGGACCATCATGTTGTTGTGTGATTACAGATTGGAGGATAGCAGATAGTTCATGATAGTTCGGTATAATGACATAGCTATCCGTCCTATCCATGTCAGGGAGTCGTTCCGCGGAAAGGTTTCCCATGGAACATGTTTCGACCATTCCGTACACATCGAAATGGATAGGATAACCTTTGCGGTTCAGCTGCGGCTACCAACGATTGTGTCTCATGAATGATTTTAGATGATCAAAATGTGTTCTTCTCTTGCCAAATATTTTTCTGGCTGGTATGGTTTCTATGTACTATGAAAAAATCTGAAAAAATGCCCAACTGTTGGCTGTATTCGTTCCAAGGAATATTTGCAGAATGGCAATCAAAGAACCACAGACAGCACCGATTCAAACCTGGCGATGGAACAAGTCCAACGCTTGCCTGATTCGAATGCCATCCTGGGCTCCTGGGGTAAATTAACATCGACTTTGCCATGAGTTGGGGGTGCGAAGATGAATTTCCACTGAACATATAGAAATATATATAAACACATCTAAGACTTGAATATGTTCAGGGTCTATGTTAATTCACTGGAGGGTGTATATGTAGTTTAATTCATGACTATGATACCGTTGGATACTGTGCCCTTCAATGCCATTCATATCAAGTGTTGTTTCCAATCTGCCCATTATTTCATCATTGACTTTCTATCAAAACCAGGAAAAGAAGCACAAAAGGTGAAAGCTATTGTAAACATATGTAAACCATTGCTTAAAAATCAGTACTTAAAAACTCATTGTTCACCATACCATTTTTCGATCGCTATAGTATTTCCCATTTTTCAGCATCTTTAGACATGACAAATCCCACTTGTGTAGATCTCAAATGTAGTCAACGGGGTTTTAAATCCACCCATAATCAATGGTAGTTCTATACTCTTACCCATATCCATTTGACTTTGCTTTCTTTAGCAGAATTCAATCTCAACATTTAACCATGGTCACCCATTCCCGTTGTCGCAGAGGTTATGCTGCTTGCTCTCCGTATCCACAAAACAATAATCTATACAGCCCAGGCAAAAGTCAGACCGCCCAAATCTGATCCATTAAATCAAACACCCAAAACATCATCAGAAACCAGTCTGACAGTGGAGTATAAGAGTTATAACATGTTATAACATCCAGATTACCCTCTGGTAATTTAACATAGCTATAGAAAATGGCCATTTATAGTGGATTTTCCCATTAAAAATGGTGATTTTCCATAGTTATGTTAGTTTACCAGAGGGTAACCAGGTACAAGCGTTGTACAACCTCCATGGGACCCATGGTACAACGGTTGGCACCAGGATCTGCAGGCTACCTCTGCCCCGCGCCCCTCACGGCGCACCGTGGAGAGCGTTGGGCGGCCTTGAGGGCTGGTAGGACGGATGGGGGAAATCCTCCAGATACATCCAGATGTAGAGGGAAAATGGAGAAATCATGGAAAAACATACCAAAAAGTTGATTGGTGTGTGAGTTTTTGTGTATGTTTGTACTGGATTTGCGGCTTGAAGGTGCTGTTTAAAATCATTGGGTGTGCGGACACTGGAGAACCTGGACTTTTTTCGGTGTCGAACATATTGGGAGCCGACAGAGACCTTGGTTTTTAGCCGACAGAAGATCTGCACGGGTAATGATGAGTTGAAACCACTCAGAATTAGCACAGGCGCGAATCTAAATTCCAAGGACCTCTACCTATAGATGAGGGGAAGGGGACCTCAAATCACCATTCCATGTTGGTGATATATTGTATTTGAATCAGACTGTAAATCGGCAGGTGTTAATCTAGTGTTGTCAATAGTTCCTTTGTCTTTGGGTGTTTGGTGAAGAGACCAAGATTACATACATGATGAGTCTATCACTGTCGGGAGTGTATGCTGGCTGGGAATGCTACCTGCGTGTGGATATGATATGATATGATCTAGTCACCTAGTCTACAGATTTGTTTACATCATTGAATTATATATATATACATTGTCACATATATATATATATATACGCTAGTATATATCAGATATACATATTACCCGTGTGTATATGCAATATAGCCCCAAGATCGGGCAGACATCGGATACGTCCTTCTTGTCCCAGGTCCGGACCACTGATCGGTTGATGGCCCCTTGGAGAGTAGGACAGTGGATGGAACATATGTATTTGCCTGGTAAAATACAAGATGAGTGGTGCTTACTTCCTAGTTGATTGGATCTAAGTTCGAAACTTAATATTGATATGTGTATATCGTATGTATATATAATTATATATATACACTGTACATATATATATATATTGTCATGATATGTTTTTCTGATTTGCTTGAAGGGTACATCAGGTTGGCTGTGGTTTCATCCCTGGCAAAACTGTTCCAGAATTGTACATGTGTATGTATATATATATGTACTATATACATATCCAGAGCATCCATTGCCTTTATTTGTAATGTATCAGTAAACCAGGCCCAGGTCAATGTACCATTGGATGTGTGGTAATCTTTCACCCTTGCTAACGAACCTCAACCTCTTGGCCGTTTGATCGGGATGTGCCATATCAGTTGCAATTCTTTTTTTTTATCTCTTTTTCTTGATCAAACACCCTAAATAACTCAAGACTTCTTCTTTTGTTTTTAAACCAACACCCGAGGTTGACATTGTTGCAATTCAACAGGTGGCACTTGCGCATCGGCCAAACAATGGGCAAAACTAGGGGGTAAATCAACCTCCACCCATGGATGTCCCTTACCTGCTGCTTGATTTATTTATAGAGGGATTGACGATGGCAAACCCCTATAATAAGTGATTCCAAAGCGATTTGCAAAAAGACCGTCTTTTTTTTGCACCTTCAATGTCGGAAGTGGATGGCACATTAATGGCACAATCATGTACAATAAAGAGGTAGGTTTCAACGGCCGTTGTTTCCTGTCCGGACGGGCGACCTGAAAGTTCAGCCAACCCAATGGACCATCCCGTGATGCTCAAAAATGTGCAGGGTCCCCGCTCCATAGTCGGATTACCCAGGGTTTCCTTTCTAAGAATATTGGCCAAAATTATAATGATCGGATGGTTTGCTACAGTTGACTGTCACATAAAACTACCCTAGGGCCTTTGGGTAAACTAACATAGATGCGGAAAAAAAACACACCATGAAATGTGTAGATCATCTTTCTAGGAAAACCCATGGGTTTTCCACATCTTTCTGTAGGTTTACCATAGTTGTGATTCCATCCCTCGCTGAGGAGGTGTTAGACGAGGCCAAAGCAGCCGAGGAGCCTCATATTTGGGCTCTGGGCGACCCCAGGTTCTGGCAATGTTTGTGGCAAAAAGAGTGGAAGAACCTCTGGATTTTGGATGATTTTGAGGCATAAACTCGGCATAAACCATAATATTCAGGGCAAAACAAGGCATCGAGTGAAGCATAGAGTTACCTTCATTTGACAAGAGATCATTTTTTGACTGTTGCCCCCTGCGAGGAGCAGCTGGAAGCGGATGGAGTGGATCCGCAATCGATCGCAGAGGTTGGGCAAGGAGCAAGTTCTCGGGGGTTGGTGGTCAAAGTGGGGTCTGAAACAGGGTACCCCCAATTTTCTAATGGATTATCATAATTTTCTCCATTTAGATTGCCATTTTTGGGGGGTATACCGCATTTTTTAGACAGAACCAAGTGGACCTTCTTTTTTTGGCTGTTGGATTTGCACAGGAAATACCACGCTTTACCACTGTGATAAGTTTATGATATATTTTTGATCCCTTCCCCTAAGAATTTTTAACACCCCCAGAGTCACCATGGTGAAGGAATCAAACCACCGTGATTTATATATTAATAGGATTTAATAGGTGATTTACTATTTATATACTATTTATTATTGATATTAAACCAGATGTTAGTAAGGAATGAAACTACAGTTAAACTTTAGTAATGAAAACACCATATATTTGGGATCATTAACCAATGCTGGTCTTTGATATAGGTAGATGGGATTGATCCAGATTGGTCACCAGAAAGATCAGCCAGTGGCCGAGCGACGTGATGGGCTATGTCTATAGCTTTCGCAAAGCTATTCGGATTATATAATAGTTTACATATAGTACATACAATACATATTATATATGATATACATACATATAATGTTATATTTTGATATATCTTGTATATAATATGTATTATGATAATATATATATATATACATACGTATGCATGAAAGAAAAATGATAATTTCATAATGACAGAATTTGATCCTTTCTTTGAGAGCAGAAACGAGCGGCATGGAAGTGCAACCTGCATCTCTTTTTCAACCTTGTTCAGGAGCACGGCACCCCTGTGCGCGAGCGATTGCGTACATTAACACGTTGATTCTTGGCAACAGAAATCCGGATTTTCACTACCAGTGGGCATTCAACTTTGAGAATGTTGGGAACCCCCTCAAAATCCAATCATTTATCATCGATTGCAATGTATTGAAGTGTTGGATTATATTGGCATTGCTTCTCTGGGACAAAGCATGACAAACCTGGATCTTTGGTTTACTTGTGCTTAGTAAATGCTTCGCAAGACTTGGCATCTCATATAAAATTCCATCTACATCACCACCTACATGTATCCAGCTTGCTATAAGCAATTTCTTGATTTGAAGGATCAACGAAGTTCATTCCTTCCCAAGGGCGACGCCCCAGAATTTCTGCTGGGTTATTAGAAATGGTGGTGTGTTTCAATTCCACTGGCCAAAAACACTGGATTTCTATGGATTTCTCACATGTTCATACATTTTCCCCAGAATCCCAGAATATGGGTTTTTATTAAGGCCTTTAAACAAGACATGCACAATCGATCGTGGAATGGCTCAGGAACTCCAATAACATCTACGAAGTGCTCTTGGCCTTGCCCTTCTCCCATGCGCCCCGTCGTGATTATGGAGCGATGGAGCCAAGAAAATGGAAAAAACTGCAGGAAATGATGGATATCCATGGTTCTTATACCGTGAAACCTGGGGCTTTCCTGTACATCTTCCCCTGATCCAATTGTGGGAGTTATATATATATATATACATATTATCATAAAAAAGATATAGTGTATATTATATAGTAATTATATCATATGTATGATATATATATATATATTATACACATACATACAGTGTATGTATGTATGTATGTATGTATGTATATATATACATACCTCCCTGAATTTTGGGAACCCCGCAGTTGAACTGGGTCTTGTAATCCTGGAGTGACAGATTGGTGAGTAGCTAAAGGTGATCCTAGAGGTGGGGAGTGGTCATCGAAAAATGATGAACCTCACTTGGGTATCGTTTAAATCACTATGAAATGGATCCAACTGTGTGGTTCATGTGTTTGTTTTTTTGTTGGCATGTGTTTTACATACAGATGATCAGGGTCCACCTTGCTACTAAGACCCCCAACAGCCCGCCACAGGCATTTCTCCCATTCAATATCATTTATGGAGTTTGGTGGCAACATAGGCACCCCTCAAACTCAGTAGGATGTTGGCCACATCGACGAGAAAGAAGGACAGCATGGAAACCATGAAAACCCCTCTTTGTGCGACCTTTGAGAACTTTGTTTGAGAGGGATATTAGACAAGAATGGAAAAGGATCAAAAGATAGAGTTTACCATCTGGTTATTTAACATAGCCATGGAAAATCACCATTTTTACTAGGTAAACCATCTATAAACGGGCCATCTATACCATGGCTATGTTAAATAACCAGAGGGTAGTTGCCCCGATGAAAACTAAGGCCATACTCAGAGGTGGCATGACCCAAGTTGTAGATACTCTGGTGATTCAACATAGCTGTGGAAAATGGATGAACATGGGCCCTTTATGAATGAATTACCATATGATTTACCTGTTAGAAATGATCGTTCTCTATAGCTATATTAAATTACCAGAGGGTGTTTGTATCCAGCACTACTACCGTGATGATCTCTGAAATTCAGAAATAGATGCGGAATATATCCCAATATATCGCAACAAATTCTGTGCCATTCCAGTTTCTTTCTATATTTCCTGGCTAAATCACCAACTTATAACATAAAGCAACATGTATTTCATACATATTATATGTGTAACATGTATAATTATAGATAGATAACCTAGATCAATAAAGATTGCTATTTAGATATGTGTATTTATATAGATGGGTAGATGGACAGATGGATAGATACATATAGATAGCTAGATAGATGATAGGTAGGTAGATTGGTAGATAGGGAGATAGGAATATCTTTAGTATATATATATATATAGGAAGGTAGATAGATGGATGGATAAGATAAAATAAATAGAAATACATAACTATAGAACGATAGAATATAGAAAACCATATATAGATAAATAAGTATATACTTAGATAATTAGATAGATAGATATAAATAAATAAAGAAAGATAGATATATAGATATATAGATGGATGGGTACATATCGATAGATGATAGATATCAACCTCAAAATTGGCGCCAAGGCCGTGCTGCTGTTGAAGGTGATCCTGCGTTTCTTTGAAGCCGTCAGCGCGCTGCCCGGCGGCGAGGGTGCTCAAGCACGAAGCAAGGCCAGGATTTCATGGGATCCATCGGTAGCTGACGATCCAAGTTGCATCCAGCTGTGGATCATCCAGGTACCCTCTGGTAAACTAACATAGCTATTGAAAATGGCCATTTATAGTGGATTTTCCCATTAAAAATGGTGATTTTCCATAGCTATGTTAAATTACCAGAGGGTAAGTTGTTTCGAAATGATAGGATAGTACCACCTTGTTCTATCCTATTCGAATTTATAGTTGAGAATGAACTTGTTTGTGACCTGCTGTAGGAAGGGTTACCGGCAGGGCTCGAATTAAGTTCATTGACACCCCAAAATTCCAATAATGTCACCTCTGGATCAATGAACCCTGGTTTAATTTACCAGGGGTGTCACCCCAAAAAAGTGAAGAATTACAGTATCCTCACTGGGGTTACCCCGGGATATCCCAGGATTAAACCCTGCTCTTTCACTGACCTCGACACATTTCCCAGGCGCTCTCGGCCGCTGCCACTCTGCAGACGCCTTGTCAAGCAGCTCTGATCGCGGCTTATGTGCATCACAGTCACTGGGCGCTGGGGAGAAACCATGGGCCACTGGCTGTAGAGACCCATCAGATGAGCAGTTGAGTATGAAAGCCATCGCAGGATGCCATTCCGATGTGGAATGACACCGTTTTCTTGGCGTTTCAGAGGTCCAGAGGTGTTTCAATGGTGCGTCTGGTTAGAGCAGTACTGGTTTGTGGTTTCAAACATTTGTTATTTTCCATGTCGTATATGGGATGTCATCCTCCCCATTGACAAACTCCATCATTTTTCAAGATGGTTATTGCACCACCAACCAGAGTGGATCATATCCACATCGTTGGTTCCATGGCCATGCTCTCAGGCGAGCTGGCCAGCAGCAACTGCCGCCCAGTGTTGCTGCGCTTGAAACAAGAAATGCAGAAATTACTGCAGGCCGAGAAGGCCTGGATCACCGAGAGCCGCAACACGTTGTTGGCGGGTTACCCTCTGGTAAACTAACATAGCTATGGAAAATCACCATTTTTCATAGGAAAACTCACTATAAATGGTGATTTTCCATAGCTATGTTAGTTACCAGAGGGTATGAGCTATAACATGTTATTATACATGACTCAAGTATAAGTGGGACAAGACCTGAATTAAAGATAACGTAGGGGTTTCTATTTAGTGAAAATAAGTAGGAAAATCCTCCTTAAATGGATCCAAATGGTTCTTTGGAACTCATTCCATCAAAAATGGCAGGACAGGTCGAGTAGGGGAAAGAAATTCTTGTAGCTTTTGGGCTGGAAGATGCTGACATGTGTTTCGCGAGATGTGATGCTTATCATTGTCTTTTGAACAAAAAAGCGCATGGTCTGAGATGAATTTCGCGCCTCTGACTCTGATTTGCCATACCTGTAGGGTAATGGTCGGATGTATCCCTCACGGACATGGTCTACACGGTGACACGCGTTGGTGCTTGCGAGAATATCAAAAAAAACAACTCAGATCTCACCCGAAATGTCTTTCCAATATTTTCCAATAGCAAGTCTATGAATTCTTCAACGTTGACCCAATTTGGTGGATGCAATCCATATTTTTTTGTTGTTTGAATCTCTGCTCTTTATTATGGGTTGAGACTATCATCTTATGTCATCCCCTAATATCACCATTGGAATCACCATCGTTACCCTCTGGCAATTTAACATAGCTATTGAAAATGGCCATTTATAGTGGATTTTCCCATAAAAAATGGTGATTTTCCATAGTTATGTTAGTTTACCAGAGGGTATGTGTCACATCCAATGCCAGGACCGTATCGGATTGACGATGGCGGGGCTCTCGCACTTGCAGTGCCTCATGAAACGCTCGGGGATGCCCGCCGTTTCCGCCGATGCCAAGGCCGTGTCCCAAACACATGAGAAGTTCGATGTTGAAAGGAGATGAAAGGAGTATATTATATATACAATATATATATATATATACAATGTATTGTTGAAATTGTATCACAAAATCAGCTAGTTGAATACATAGAATAATATAGGATGTTATCGTTTCCTGTAAGTGTTCCCTTACCAAAAAATATGCCCTAATTGAGATGCTCCCCCAATGACTCAGATTTTTAGTGGAGATGATGGAATTCCTTCCTAGTCCCATTCATCGCTGTGGACGGGAAGATCAATTCATGCACAGGTTCAGCCTTGCAAGAGGGATCAGATCACTTTCTCAAATGATGCATCTCAATGTTGTTCGCCAAATAGGTCATCACATCCCCCTGTTGCTGCTAGACTCATCTCATGGTGCAAATATATATATATATATATATTACACATGCTGCATCACGATATGTTCATTGAACTAGCTGCCAATCAATGTCCAGACCGGATTGGCGAGCGTTTGGCTCAAGCTTAAGACTCCGAAAAGTGGCCTACGGATTCCTGGAAAATCACGTACATACTGTCCCCATCTCTCAAAACAAGCACAATCGTCTTGATCTGGAAGAAATCCTCTTAGCTCATTTCCTAACAAGTTGAACGCACCATCTTGATTCCAAACAGGTTCACTGGAAAACCAGTGCGTTAGGAGCTTCGATCCCTGAAATTATTCTGACTTTTGTGCTGCCATGTCCTCATTGTTTCTCCTGGCCTTTGTCACCAGCATCAATGCGGTGGGGAGAATCGTGCTGCATTGTGTGGCGGGCGCCTACCTACAGAAAGCTGGAATCCTTCACAAGGCCAGGGAAGGAATTCCCACAGGTGGATCGAGACGTTTCATCCTAAGGCTGCAAACAGTCAGAATACTGGACCTCTTCATAAATGCACGGTGAATATGATCCGCTGCACATTTTGAATCTTAGTGTGATGACATGAGATGACAAGATTGACAAGGGTAAGATGGTGTGTCTGAATATTGGGGAATGATATATATGTATATATATATGGTTTTCTTGGAGCCTCATTGTTTAACGGGAAATAGTTGATCCCATGTTTGGTTGGTGCGTTTCCTTTTTTAATGTTCATCCATAATTCTGTGGGATGTTCATCCCCAATTAGTATGACTTAATGATTTTTTCCAGTTGGGATTGAAACCACCCAAATTCCACTCTCAATATAAAAAAATGTGATAAGATAGGCATATTGCCATAGGATACCAATAAATCGAATAAATTACCCTGTGGTCTGGAGGTACTCCATATGATAAGCCATAGCGTAGCCGTCGGAGCAGGAGATGAGAAAGGGTGTCTCGGAGATGTTCGTCAAGCTGCTGCTGCCCTGCCTGCTTTTCACCAGGTCCAACTTGGGGGGGCGCTGGCTGGGGAAACCAAGGGCTGAAGAGCGATGTATTATGATGTATTTGTTGTTTATAGATGTTTATAGTACTGTAATCTGTTGTAATCTGTTAAAATCTGTTGATGTTTTGCCACTTTGTGGGGCCAGGTAGAGAGCCATGGTATCTAAGATTGGCCAGGTTGTCAGTGGCTCCTGGTGTTTGGTCATGTGAGTTGTGTCTCACTGTTGAGAGGGGATTGTCGTCACTATCACCCGTACATAAATTTTGTCGTACTCGCGGCAACCAAGTACAGCACTGGCCAATTTCGCATTGCCGTCCCCGGCAATAGGAACTGAGGCCAATGTACTCTGACAAACGATTCTAAATTTATGCAAGCACGACATAATTCATAAGGAACATGAGGCAATTCAATGTGTTCTTGTGAGTCCGCAAGCTTTCCCCACGAGATACAGCAACCCGGGAAGCTGTGCTCCTTGAGGATCCTGCCAATCATCTCTATTGAGACACTCCCGAAGCTTGCGTGGTTGGCCCTGGCCAATTTGGTCTATGTGTTCCTTGGCCATCCCAGCGACAATGATTTTTGTTGAGTCATCGATATGAGTGGACCAGGTGGAAGCAGAAGAGGGGTCTCTAAGAATTTGTTGTTTGGTAATGGAGGCTTGTTGAATATGTTTCTGGCTTTCCATCTGGATCTCTGTGGTATAATCTCCAATGATGGATCACGCAGGGGTGGTGCGCAAAGATGTTAATCAATGTTAGACCCATTGATGCCATTTTATATTTTATACATTTTATAGTATAATGTGTACAGTATATATATATATGATGTATATATATATATATATATTTGTGTATACCTAACTATACATAATATATATATATGTATATATATATAACATGTATACAACATACACATATATATATACAGACATAGACACCATTTCTACGTTATATCAGCCTACTTGCAGGATCTACGGTACTGAGTGTATCCAAGTGCCCTTTGCTACTGCTTCGATGCGTTTTTTAAAAACCCTGGTGTTGGTTGATGATGAGTTCGGAGGTATAAACCTGCGCTCTATATCAATTGCGGATTATCATGATCATTATTCTCAGATCGTAGTATCAGAATCCCAGTTGACCAACGAGTGTAATGAGGGATTTGCCAAATAATGAGCCCCGTATTAATATAAGTAGCTGTGCAATTAATATTCATGATTTCCCCAATTATACCAGAATAAGCCATTCATGGGGGATATTCATGTTATAAGGATTTTCCAGCAATCCCCAGATGTTTCTAGATCCATCTGATTTGTTCGATGTTCGCTCAAGTCCTAGGTCCACAGGTCTCCTCATTGGTTCTTTGAGTGCCCTGCTGTGCCGCGTCCACTCCCATAGCCTTCGACGGATCATGACCGCCACGCCAGCCATTGGTCATGCCAACACCATTCCCTTCATGTTGGTGGGCTTAATCGTCTCCAAGGAGCCACGGCTGGCTGGATGCGGGCTGGGGTGTCCCGGAAAACAACAACAACAACAACAACAATGATGACAATGCGGGTTCTACCCTCTGGTAAACGAACATAGCTAGTGGACATGGCCTTTTATAGTTGATTTATGTTGATTTACCACTTGAAAATGGTGATGTTCCATAGTTATGTCAACGTTTACCAGAGGGTAGTCCCACTTTTGCTGCCCGGAAATTCTTTCTTTCGGGTAAGATTCATTGGATAAACATGGAACAATTTATCCTAAACCAGTGGATGTTGGGGGTAGACGATCCTAACATCCATCCTGATTTGGGATGATCCAACTCAATCGATAACACTAACCGTTGAGCATCATCCAGTCATCGAGCAACAAGTTTGTTAGTGGACATTCTGAAATGTATATCCTAAGATATAATTATATATAATCGTATCTATTGTACCGGTCTCTCCACTTCAATGTGGCAAAGTTTCTTCATTACTCCACAGCCGGACGAAAAGCACTCCAGGACCCAGCTTTTGAAGCAGATCATGGAACAGCTCAAGGATATGTTGCCTTGTACCCTGCAGATTGCGGATTCGGATTGATGTTTGGACGGCATGAGATTCTTCCCATAGTACGATGTACTGTATCAGTCGAAATCAACATGCCCGTTTTACATGGCCATGTTTGGTTTCCATGTAGTCTGTACGCTTTAACAATCGGGTTGCCGTGGTTTAGGTGCAATGTTGGAAAAGTCAATGGCGTACTTTTGTTGTATATTAATATGTTTTCTTGCGTTCTTTCATGTGAGATTGGTATGCGGAGCTTTCGCGTCACAGCACAATTCCCACAGTCAGAGGATTTTGCTCCGGTTCCCTCCATCGTTGAGGTATATGATCATGCATAGCATCACTCTGTGGGGCGTTGCCTGGATTTATTCATTTGCTCATGTTCTTTTCCCCCCCATGAACCAATCCACGAGTTTGTAATCTACATGATGCTACATGTGTTTTTAATTGGTCAATCTCCCAAGGGTATTTCATTTCTAGCTCCTAAAAGTGTTTTTGTGTTGGACAAGCGATTGGATCTCTGATCTCTCCAAAGGTCGGCATGAACGTCTTCACCAAGGAGAAGGAAGAGGATTCAGCTGATGCCCTTCCTGCCCCATCAATCCCATCAGGCTCCAGCTCCGGGCTGCCTCTGCCGGTGGCTTTGGGGCGGCAGACATCCGCAGCCACGGCCGAGTCGCCCGCGGCCAGCGTTGCGGGAAGGGCGGAGGGGACGGAGGGGACGGAGGCGCCAGGGCGACGCTTGGTGTGCGGCTGGGGGGACTTCGATGTGGCTAGGTGGGTTCCCAGCCCTTTGAATTAGGGACAGTACTAGATGGGTCACTACTACTGTGGGATACATCCTCATGTATGTCCAAAAAGTTCTTCAGGCAAGCGGTTGTCCAAGACATAAAAGACATCAGAAACCTGTTGATTTTGAATTGATCATAGTGAATCAGAGTTGATAATTTTTGATCCTCTGATTTTAGGTTTGACTTACCTTTTTGTTGCTTTTCCACCAAGTGGCGCAAGATCCACCAAGGACTGTCGAAGCTCAAGGCTTGGATTCCTTCATGGCTTAACCGACCAATGGGAACGGCCATGGTCACAGCCATTCTGGGATTCATCCCTGGAATCAAGGCGTTGTTCGTCTCCGGACCCTTGCGTCCCTGGCCAGAACCAGCGTGTTTGGCCAGACGGACAATTCCGGAAACTCCATAATCTGAACACAGCTTCAAGGCTGCCAGTAAAATGTGAAGTGAATGCCTGAAATGGTCATAATTCTTGGATCTACCGGGTTGGTGTTTCTACTTTGTAGGCACCCTGGCTTGTCCACTGAATGCAACGACCACCAAGGACCTGTCTTTGGTGCCATGAACAGCTTGGGTACTGCTGGGCCATCCATCGTCCTGCTTTCAGCGCCTTGGTGGGTGATTCTGGACAGAAGGACCCCACTGGGCCAACCTTACCATGCAGTCAGATATGGAGGTTTCCTAAGTCAATCTAAGTCATAGGGGTACCTCTAAATCATCCATTTTTTGTTGGGATTTTCCATTATAAATCATCCACTTGGGGTACCCCCATTGATGGAAACCCCCATGTGGAGGATCATCCGGAAACATATGTTACCCCCTGATCCTCAAACATGGTTTGCTGGAAAACCATCCATTTAGTTTGAGGTTTGAAAATATAGTTTAAATATAGGGGATTTTCCAGCCGTGTTTGATTGCCTGAGAGTATTATTGGCTTACCCATAGGATCCATGGTGCTGCCATATACGGTAACATTTACCATTAATATACCCCCAATGTTAGCATATATACCATACATGGATCCTATGGCTTATGGTTTTTGTATTTGCTGAGATATTTTCAGGATTAGAGTGGCCAACACACAGAATGTTGGGTGGAGCCATCGACTCAAGTGCGTATACCACAGATAATTGGGGATATTCCATGATATTCAACGCCAAAGCTGGGCTATTTCATATCATGGCCAAGCGCTTATCACTATCACAATTATTGGTGGTTACATCATGTTCATAATACTCAACAACTGTATATCATTGTTCTACTATGTTATACTATTATAATTGTTGTCACAATACAATTCATCATGGTTTTAACAATATCATACATGTGATAGTTATCATTGCCAATAAGTATACAAACTCTATAATTCTTATACGATTATCATCTATTATCAACATTGTTATAATCAGATATACTAACGATTTTGTCCGATGGCTGTAGGTGGGCGCCTTGTTCACTGCCGATGGCTTGCCCCGACCCTCACTGGTGGGCTATGCGCCCTTGTGCGCCCTGGTGGTGGGCCGGTTGATCATCCTTCCAGCATGTCGTTTGGCGATGGAAGAGCAGGAATTTCTATCGGACAAAATGTGATACTATATTAGTTCCTATATATTATATTATATACTATTATATAATATTACTTATTATGTCATATTGTATTTTATTATATTATATATTATGTCATAGTGTATCTTATTTTTCCTATTATACATATATATATATATTATATTGTATTGTATTATACTATATTTTATTTTATTGCTATGTATTATATTAAATTATATTATATTATATTATACTGTATTATATTATTTTGTACTATATTATTACATTTGTACTATATTGTTTTATATTATATTATACTATATTATTGCATTTATATTATATTATATTGTATGTTATTATATTATATTTTATGTTTATATTATATTATAATGTATTGCATTATGTTATATTGTATTGCATTATATTATATTATAGTGTATTGTATTATTTTGTATTATACTATAATAGTATATTGTATTATATTATATTATATTGTATTATATTATATTGTTTTATTTTATTGTATTGTATTGTATTATATTGTATTATACTATATTGTTTTTTTTAGATCATATTATATTATACTGTATTAATACTATATGATTATTTTATATTATTTTATAGTATATTATAATATATTGTATTATCTTTTTAATATAGTTTAATAATATATTATACTATATTAATTTATATTATTTTGTATTGTATTGTATGTTATTGTCTTGTATTGTATTGTATTCTTTAATTTTATATTATATAATATTTTATTATATCATATTTATTATTTTATATTTTGTTATTTTATATATTAAATCATTTTATTATTTTATTATATCATATTATAATATTATATATACTGTCTATATAAAGCTGAATGGCCTTGGCTCTGGTATGAAAATGAGGATTGACCATTTCTACTGTGTTTGTATCATCAGAAATGTATGATGACATCCTTTGAAAATGATGGTCTAGATTCTTGGGAATTCTTGGATGGATAGGGATTTAAGCATCAATCATGGGGTTGCAACAACACCAAATGATGGGATTTAATCGGAAACAATGGGTTCCCTCCAGCAATCAAACGTGGCTTGCTGGAAAATCCCTTATTTAAACTTAGTTCGATGATTTTCCCAGCACTGAAACCTCCATTTAGTTAATCATTAGTTCGGGAATATACATACAGTAGTGGGAATTTAATCAACAATGATGGGGATGTGATGCAGATACAGGGGGAACTAAAGTCAATTCTGGGCAAACCAGCTGCATCGACTCAGTTCGGGGCTGATGTCATGTGATGTCGATGTCGTTTCAAATTTGTTTCCTCATTTTCCTCCCTGGTTGGAAACTGCCAACTTTCGTTCTGAAAGTTGGGGCCCAAAGATTAAGAAATCCCTTAGTCTTTAGAGGTTGGGGTTCCCAGGTTGTGGAACCAGAAATCCATCATGGGACTAATTTGAAATGCAATGAAGTGTGGATGCAATGAGTTGACTCCTTCTTCTGACAATAACATGTATATCATACATACGTTTAATATAATAATATATATATAATAATTATATATAATATAATATATTGTTGCATATCAATAATAGTGAAACACATACAGTACCTCGGACCAATCATGGCTTTCACCACTGGCCTGAACCCGAAACAAAACATTGCCGGACCCACCTTGCAGCTTGGATGACCATCCCAGTTAGTTCGTTGGTTATTGCGTCAGCTAGTTAGGTAATCCAACTGAATGTGTTAAAGCCAACAATGAACCTAATCTCATAAGGCTTAAAAACAAGGGAACAACCTCCGATTTGTAAGTGGTTGTTTGATGTTGTTTGGTGATGTTTGGTTTGTTGTTGGGTGGAACCACTTACTGGTGGCTGATCTCAAATATTTCATGACGTTCCCTTTATTTGGGATGATGATCCCTACTGACAGACGAAGGTTTCCTAAAATGGGGGTACCCCCAAATTATCCAAATTCGATTATTTTTAGTATTGAAACCTTTGGGGATCCCCCATTATTGTTGTCATTCCTGGAATGCGTTGTTCAACCACCAATCATCTTACGATGATCGAAGGTTGCATTGCTTTGTGGATGACCTTGCGACATCACCTATCTTTCTTCCCCAGTGACCCCGCTTTCATGCTGGTGATGTGCTTGGAATGCTGTACGCCGACGGCTTACCAGTTGGTGTCTTGTCTTTCTTGGGGCAAGGTCCACTGAATAGGGGCTGGTAGATGTCATACAGATTTTACTTGGGACGCTTTACCAACCGTGCCAAACCCTCTGTCCTCAGAATTACGTAGTTTGTTTGTCCAAACTCGTAAAGTGGACATGTTTGACTGAAATCCAGTGATTGATATGGACCTCTTGATAGAGAAGCATCCACGATAATCCAACGTGTGTTGCTGACTGTGGCAAAACATTGAGCACCAGCCCAAACACTGCACCACGAGGGGAAACTTGTTGTTCGAATCTGTTCGAATAAACAGCACCAAATGAGAACCCAGCAAGCCGAGACATGAGGTGACGGTGTGTATCTTGCAAGGAGTCTTGTTCAGAACGGCAGGTTTTGACTTTGTACTTTTGGCTTTGGGAGCTACCACAACATTTCTGGCTGGGAGGCCTTCATTTTCCCCACAGTTCTTGACGCAGGGTTAGCAAATTACTTCATAGTTAATTAATCACCAATGTTTCAAACAATCTTCAGCCCATTTGTGCACCGTGCATCGTCAACTGCTTAATGGTTTAACCGTTTAAATCTGCTTCTTTCCACGTCTGGGATGATTGGCAGCCCGTGAACGGGCCGATGGGACCCGCACCAGGAATCCGTTCCCAAGAACTGACCACAGGGCTTTTCTACCAGAACTTGACGGCCATCGTCGTCATGACAGCCTGGACCACCTTCATCGTTTACTATGTGATTTGAGAGCTGTCTGCACCCGAGGGTCACAAAAAAGCCCTGTTGGCTGATTATATGATAATGTACGATTTTATGGGTGTATACTATCCGACTATGAAGTATCGTTTAGATATTGGGGGATTATCACAATTTATGGGAAATCAGATATTAAATATATGAAGTCGTTGACTTTTGAGCTGGACCAGCTCTGATTTTGGCAGGATGATCATTTTTATGATTCCTAGTCTCACGTTCCGCTGGTGTCTCATAGACTGTATAGACAAAATTTTGCCAGCAATGAGCTGAAACCCAGGTCACAGAAGCAAACAAACCCAACTTGTGTATAATTTCCAGATGATACTTTGAAAAACAAGCAGTTCCAGTTCCTTGTACTTTGATGTTGGCTCATGACCTGCCATTGTGTACAGTGCATTCTCAAGCTCCATCAACGTACAGCAGGCCAACCTGAAGCTTACGGTTACAGAAGCAGTGTTTTGAAGCGAGAACAAAGGAGTGCGAGCGCGCCGTGGATTGAAATCTCCAAAATGGGTATTGGTCCAATTTTTAGGACCGGGGGACCATGTGGGAGACTGTGGGAGACAGTGCCATATCCAACAAACTGATTCTGTGATTGGTTTCGGTATCAGAGCATGTCCAATGATTTTCAGCTTAGTGATCTGAGTGAAACCAGAACATGATCTGACATGATTCTCTTGGAAGTGCTCTGGGTAGTGAATCTTCACCCCAGTTTCATCCTGTGCTGATGATCCCCAATGGCGGATCAATATTTTTTGATGATCCTCAATGACTATGCAATTGTTGGACTATGTTTAACCGTGTTCAAACGGTAAATCTCAGTAAATACATGTAAATTATTGTAAATTCATATTACCCACACCAATAGTCACATCTCATGTTTCGCTGATTGTTCATCATATGTTTCCCTGTTAAAATATGTTAGAATGTTAATTTCGGCTATTACAACCCATGTTTGGACATACTGGGTACTGTACCTAAATCCCACCTTGCTATTTTTTTTATGTATATATAGTTTTTTTTGTATTCCATTACATCCACTACAAAGCCTCTTATTTTTCATGGTTAAAAGTCAGCCCCCATGTTTGATACTTAAACCTGAATTCTCCGACACATCCAATTTGTCACCATAAACAAACACCATTCGTATGGTTCAAATCCCATTTTATCCTATTAATTATACTATATATTCCAAATAAATACTATTGCATATGAATCCCGTGATATTCCATATTCCATATACATTCCATTTTGGTTAAACCTCCATTTCCCATGACATCGCCAGGACAAGCCTTCAACGCCCAAGGCCAAGGCCGCGAAGCGGCGCCGCAAGTGACCGAAAAAGTGAGCGCAAGTGACCTCAGCGTGCAGCTGAGGTTTTGGGATTGATATGGAGGTTTCCTAAGTCATAGGGGTACCTCCATTTCAGGAAACCTCCATGTGGCTAGGAATTGTTTATTATTGCAGCCTAACCACTACTTTTTGATATGGTTATTGATATGGTTGTAACCACTATTATAAAACCAGAAGCATATCAATTGCAGCAGCTTTACTTTAGTTGAGAGAAAATCAATAAGTAGTGGTAGTAGCGGTTGCGTTTATGACAAATGATGAAAAGTCATAACAGTTGATTGAAGCCAATCATTATGTTGTTTCAGTAAATACTTTTAAGCAACTGATTATGTAGTAATGGGTTTCAAGTACTGTACATAGATTGTATGTGAGAGAAACCCTCGTAAAATATTGTAGAAGTATCTAGAAGTTACATGCATATCATACTTGATCAATTGTGTGAATTATCTACTGTATGATTGATTGCATCACAGATACTAAACTCATATGTTTTCTATACATCCCATACCTTGCCCATGGTAAATGCAACATGCCTTTTGCCACCACGTGGAGTTGGGATCCATGGTTAACCAATGAAATGATCATTGATTTCATCATCGAGATATAATGACATAAGCATGATATAAATTAAACCTCAAACAAATATGAACCAATAATTGATTATATATATATCTATTAAATATATATATCAATAGATTATACATGTTGATATATTTGTAACTAAAGATCAAAACCTCTGAAATGATGGGATATCCCATGTATGATACCCTTTTTGTTATCACTTGGCCCTCAGTCTGAGGCGATCCAGTTTGCCTCCAAGGAGTTGAAACGGGACCCTGAGGTGCTGTTGAAGGCGGACTTGTTGGTCATGGAATTTTAGGTGTTTAACATGGATTTTTAGGTGTTTAACATGGAATTTTAGGTGTTTAACATGGAATTTTAGGTGTTTAACATGGTTTAACAGTTTACCCTCTGGTAATTTTATAATGGTTTAATGGGATTTTATAGTGATTCAATGGGATATTAATGGGACGTACCCTCTGGTTATGTCAAAATAGCTATTGAAAATGACCATAGAAATAGTGGATTTTCCAGCTAGAAAATGGTGGATCTTTCCATAGCTATGTAACAAATTACCAGAGGGTAACAATCAAAAAAAGAAGAGTTTACTCGATATGTATATATTATAAACCATGAAGAATGGGATGCTCATCCGGATTTTGTGGATGGATAATTCAGGCGTATAGCGACCTGGCCTTTGCGTCACTGTCATTGTTTGCCATCGAAAACAAATGGCTTGCTCTCAAAAGAAAGGATAAAGAAACATGTATCCATGGTTTATGATCATTGTCCCATTAACATTGCAGTAACAGTAACACATGGATATATATATATATATAAGTGATATATATATATATACATATATATATAAGCAATATTATATATATAAGTAATATATATAAGTAATGTATATATATATATAAGTTATATATATATATATATAAGTAATATATATATATATATATATATCGGTGGTATCCCTTCACTTTCGGACCTTCGGACAAACCTGTATGGAGATTCATAAAACCCAACAGATGGGAGATAGAACGTTTGTGATTTCTGATGAGCATTTCTCGCATTGTTTTGTTGGGGTTGATACAGGACATAAGGATCAGTATCCATTAATTAGCCACTCATAAGGACGAAAGTGCGAACCAATCGGTTTTGAAATTGGTTCACTTGGTGATTGGGGCATTGGGCCCCATTCACTGGGACCAATTTGTTCACATGGACTTATGATCGTGTAACCTTATCAACCTCAACGCAATTTCTAGCTTGTTCTCGGACGAGACTCGGCATGATCTGCTTATGGGTTAAAATTGGGTACCACAGGAGTTGGACAGTGAAATCCAAACACGAGCCTGGCTTTCGGTACACAACCAGCAGCACAGCTTAGCCCAGGATGGGAAACTTCAGGCTGTTGAGTTTGGGTAGATGTGATTTTTGAGTGGAAGTAGATCATGATGTTGACACATGGGTTTCCACAAATGGGGGTACCCCATAAATAGATGGTTTCTAATGGAAAATCCCAACAAAAAATGGATGATGTGGAGGTACCCCTATGACTTAGGAAACCTCCATATAACCCTGACCCTCAATGAAGTTGCAACTCAGCCGGGGCTTGGCACTCTGCCTTCGCTTCAAAGATGACTTGAAAGGGTTTCCCACTCTATGGTGCAAGAAAAAGACATAATGTGGGTAAAACAATAATCAAAGGAAGTTGGGAAGCAATTTCCGAGTTACGAATGACTTTTTACTTGGTGCAATTGACTATGATGAAGGGTGGTAGATCCTGTAACAATACATAATGTACCAATACATCACAAACCAATAAGAAGCAATGAAATTGACCTTGAGGAAGGGTGGTAGATCATATAACAATACATAATATAACAATACATAATGTACCAATCATAACAAAAGAATAAGAAGCTATGAAATTGACCTTGAGGAAGTGATGATGAAGGGGAGTGGTGACGAAGGGAAGCGGTGAAGAAGGGAAGTGATGATGAAGGGGAGTGGTGACGAAGGGAAGTGGTGAGGAAGGGAAGTGGTGACGAAGGGAAGTGGAGAGGAAGGGAAGTGCTGATGAAGGGGAGTGGTGAGGAAGGGAAGTGGTGACGAAGGGAAGTGGTGACGAAGGGAAGTGGTGACGATGGGAAGTGGTGACGATGGGAAGTGGTGAGGAAGGGAAGTGGTGAGTTGGGGAGGAAGCCGGAGCACGAAACCTTGTGTTTTTCCGTGTAAAGTGGCTGCAGGCGACGATGAAAGGTACCTCGTCTGTGCGGCGGGTGCGGCTGCGGTCGGTTGGTCGTTTTTTTTTGCCGCAGTGTACCGGTGGCTTCAAGCTGCTTTGGGTGTGCTTGTGTGTGCGTAGTTATAGGGTGTTTTGGAATCTGTGCTTGCAGATCGCATTGGAATGGCTGCATGATGTTGCAAGGGCTCTGTTGTGGGGAGGAAGCCGGAGCACGAAACCTTGTGTTTTTCCGTGTAAAGTGGCTGCAGGCGACGATGAAAGGTACCTCGTCTGTGCGGCGGGTGCGGCTGCGGTCGGTTGGTCGTTTTTTTTGCCGCAGTGTAACGGTGGCTTCAAGCTGCTTTGGGTGTGCTTGTGTGTGCGTAGTTATAGGGTGTTTTGGAATCTGTGCTTGCAGATCGCATTGGAATGGCTGCATGATGTTGCAAGGACTCTGTTGTGGGGAGGAAGCCGGAGCACGAAACCTTGTGTTTTTCCGTGTAAAGTGGCTGCAGGCGACGATGAAAGGTACCTCGTCTGTGCGGTGGGTGCGGCTGCGGTCGGTTGGTCGTTTTTTTTTGCCGCAGTGTAACGGTGGCTTCAAGCTGCTTTGGGTGTGCTTGTGTGTGCGTAGTTATAGGGTGTTTTGGAATCTGTGCTTGCAGATCGCATTGGAATGGCTGCATGATGTTGCAAGGGCGCTGTTTTGGGGAGGAAGCCGGAGCACGAAACCTTGTGTTTTTCCGTGTAAAGTGGCTGCAGGCGACGATGAAAGGTACCTCGTCTGTGCGGCAGGTGCGGCTGCGGTCGGTTGGTCGTTTTTTTTTTGCCGCAGTGTAACGGTGGCTTCAAGCTGCTTTGGGTGTGGTTGTGTGTGCGTAGTTATAGGGTGTTTTGGAATCTCCGGTTGCAGATCGCATTGGAGTGGCTGCGTCAAGGTTGCTTGCCGCCGCGGCTGCATGCGTAATACTATTGTCTTTTGCAGCTGAAGATTGTAAATCGTATTGGAGTGGCTGCATCCAGGCTGCGATAGTCATTTGTCAGCAGATTTTCCCAATTTTGGCGCTAATAATTTTCCTTTTAAAATTCCTTTTAAAAAGTGCTTCAAAATCGTCTTTTTTCTGCTTTGGCGTCGAGATCCGGTTTTGGAGCTGCAATTTCCGACGCCATTGCACGTAGTTCTATTGTGTTTTGCAACTCAGTCTCTGCAGATCGCATTGGAGTGGCTGCGTCAAGGTTGCTTGGTGCAGCGGCTGCATGCGTAATACTATTGTCTTTTGCAGCTGAAGATCGTAAATCGTATTGGAATGGCTGCATCAAGGCTGCGAAAGTGATTTGTCAGCAGATTTTCCCAATTTTGGCGCTAATAATTTTCCTTTTAAAATTCCTTTTAAAAAGTGCTTCAAGATCGTCTTTTTGTCGCTTTGGCGTCGAGATCCAGTTCCTTAGTAGTAGTACTGGGAAGTGATTCATGAAAGCTTAGATGACATATGAGAAGAGATGAGATCAGAAGAGATGAGCTGGGATAAGGTGAGAAGAGCTCAGATGAGATGAAGTGTGGAGTGTGAAGGGTGCAGTGTGAAGTGTGGGACGTGAAGGGTGCAGTGTGAAGTGTGGAGTGTGAAGTGTGAAGTGTGGACTGTGAAGTGTGGAGTGTGAAGTGTGAAGTGTGGACTGTGAAGTGTGAAGTGTGGAGTGTGAAGTGTGAAGTGTGGAGTGTGCAGTGGGAAGCGTGCAGTGTGAAGTGTGGAGTGTGAAGTGTGGAGTGTGAAGCGTGAAGTGTGGAGTGTGCAGTGCGCAGAGTGCAGTGTGAAGAGTGCAGTGTGTAGTGTGGAGTGTGAAGACTGTCAAGTGTGAAGTGTGACGTGGAGCTTCAAATGTGACATGTGAAACAAGACACCAGTTTCGCAGTGTGCACGCACGCACGGGCTTCGCTGGCGCACGGCGCATGCAAGTTCTATAGATGAGAAAGGTCTTATATATATCTTTAAGGCAACTTCCGCCCCGCCTCGTGCGGGTACTACTGGTAAACCATCTCCCAAATCACCATTTTTATAGTTGCTATAAACATCTATAAACCATTCCCAAATGGGTGGTTTATGGCTTTGTTTTTCCCACGCTGGATCAACAACAAAACATCCAATTGATTGCTCATCAATCAAGGCGTGGCTGCCATGTGTCATTCCCATAGGCTAATTCCCAGTGGGAAACCGGACAGCAACATGACCTGTGACCTGTCGATGTTCATGGCTAATGGAACAGGGGGTTCTCTGGAACTAGATAAGCCAAACCGGCTTCTCTGAGAAACTGATGATAAACATTGACAAACCATATACCATCTGGTTATGAATCACGGTTTGCCATGGAAAATCACCATGCAATTAATAGGTAAACAATCTATTTCTATGGGCCATCTATACCATGGCTATGTTAAATGACCAGAGGGTAGAGGATTAGGGTATATTGGGGTAATGATATTATTTTCAGACAAACCTGTGTGGCCAATTTTGATGAGGAAGACCACGATCAACAATGATATTTTTGGGTACTTTGGGGTTTGTCTGAACATGGGGTAAATGCCAAATTTATCCAAAAATTGATGGTCGATCGTCATTTTCCCCATGAAGAATGATGAACATGGGGGTATACCGCATTTTCAGACATATCCACATATCATGTTGTGGTTTTTGTAATATCCCACTAGATCATCTAGATCCTATAATATAACAATTATATCATGTCCCATAGAAATCACCATGTCTGATGGTTAAATCCCATCTTTTCCCATGAGCTCCGCATTTCCCGCGGAGGCCTTGGGTCGTACAGCCTCAGCGTTGCGCTTTCTGCCCAAGGATCTGTGGGAGGTGCCAGAGTTGATGCTGGAGGCCGCATGGAATTCTCGTTGAACATCTGGGAACAATGGGAAACTGGTCGGTGGTTTAATATGAATGGGGATATAATATGATATAATGGGATATATAATGAGATATAACCTTAACTATATAATTACTGGTGGTTTCAAACATGGCAATTGGAAATCCACTTCTAGTTGGAGGTTTCAACTGTAACTGATTGGTGGTTTGGAACATGGCTTTTATTGTCCATTTCATATATGGGATAATCCTTCCCAACTGACTTTCATATTTTTCAAGATGGTTGAACCCACCAACCAGGGAAATCTTCGAAAGATATTCTGGAAACTCATGTAAAATCCGGAACTTATTGGTAAATCTGAAAATGTGTGGAACCATATTCCTCGACATAAATTTTGAATATCTTGTCTCTGTGGTAAATACCAGAATACAACTTCTAATTTAAATCTCAGGGTTTTTGGGTTGGAACATGGACGAAGAATATCAAACATGGTTGGGAAATCCCCATCAATGGACATATTTACTTCGTGGAAGGCATCGAACTCAATGGGGAATTTTCCAGCAAACCATGGAGCTAATTTCTGGCAGGGGTATGACCAAAGAAAGGGTGCATATAGGGGCATATCAAACATGAGAAGAGCAAAGTTGTTCGATTTAACAGTGATTTGTCCCATGCCTGCGATGATGAATGGATGATGTTGATTTGATGATTTGCATGGTCATTGTCAAGGATACGTTCATCAAACGCGTCTTGCGGAATATAATACTATATAATACTGTATATATATACTGATTAATACTGTACATATATATATATACAGTGTATATATATATACAGTATATATATACAGTATATATAGTATATATATATACAGTATATATATAATATTTGTATACACGGTCAGTGTAGCAACAATGTCATCGATTCATGTGCTTCGGTTGGTCCCCTGAAAGAATGCTGTGAAATAGCTACCGGAGCTTAGCTGAGGAAAAATCGATGGTATTCTGATGTAGCCTCTAGTACTTTAACATAGCTATTGAAAATTGCAATTTATAGTTGATGAACATGATTAAACTATAAAAAATAATGTAATTTTCCATAGCTACGTTAGTTTACCAGAGGGTACCCCTTCTGGAACAAGCATTTCGATCCATTTTCCTATAATAATTTGATCTAACTCGTTCCCCCTAATGCCAAGTACGTTTCAATGGAAACCCTGCTGGATTGTATTGAATCTATTTCATTTGAGGATCCCAATAAATTGGTGAATGTTGTGCGAATTGTTCTTGGGTAAATCGTCATGGCATCCATGTTTTCATCATGTCTAGTGGTTCAACCCTCAACTGTACATGATGTTCACCAATTTACATGGTGAAATGGATTAAATGGGTTTAACCATAAATAACCCATTTAATCCATGTTTTATCCACTAACCCATTGCCCATGCATCCATCTATTTGTCATGCTTGGGTTCGGCATTTCCCGCGGAGGCGGTAAAGGCAAATCCCATTTGCCTGAGCACCATGCCCTGGTTTCAGGCCGACAAATGTGTTTGGGTAAAGGGAAGGTAATCTTTTTTTGTGTGTTTGATATCAGACAATATTATATAAATTATATATATATGTGTACATATGATAGACATAATCATATGCATACTATGCATCATAATGTATATATATATATATATATATATGTGCATAGCTGTATATAATACATACTCTATACATATGTATATATTCATATTTATATACACCACACAAAGACATAATATGCAAAGCATGGATCCCAACTATAGTTGCATCATCCCTGAATGAGGCAGAATATGTTGAATGACGCCGTGGGGAAGTTGGGGAATCAAATCTGTTGCCTTGCGCGGCCCCGCGGGGTCCCATGAGATAGTGTGTATTACAATCATGTGAAAGTGTAAAACAGTGTAAATACATCAGGAGAATTTAACCAACAAATTTACTGAGGCGCGAGCCCGAACATCATTTGTCGTCTGGGTTTGTTTGTGTATATCGACCGAACTTCCTTGAACCATCGAATGAAATGCATGGTGTTCCAATGCTTTCCCATTCTGTCCCACTGCCAAGCTATGGCAGGCTCACACGCCCTCCAGTAAATCCACACCGCAGTGGAAAACTCCATTGTTCGTAAGAACAGCATTTAAACATACATGTATATAAAATTATATATATATCATGTATAAGTATGTAGAAATATGTATAAATATGTAGAACTATGTGGAACTATGTAGAAATGATGACTTGTCTATTGTCACCCTCGGGGTAACTGAGGGGTAAGATGGCCATGGTGATCCATTGGGACCAGGAAGACGAGGATTTTGTCTTGATGGCTTTAGCTCGAAATGGCATGGCGTGCCTCGGAGCTTAATTTTTAGCGAGATTCGGAGATTTCAACCCATCATTTTGAAGCGGGGCTTCAGGGCTTCAGCAATCATCCACGTTGAATCTTGGCGAAACATGGTGGTTGAAACATGTTGTGCTTGTGTTTTCCATATTTTTTGTTTGGGGACAGTTTTGGTTGGGAGGATGGTTGTAACAACCAGTCTTGATTCAGGTCCTCATAAGCTGGGACGGTGAGTTCTGTGACGTGTTCCCTGGATGTCACCCCTGCTCAGTCGTGGATTGAATCTGTATGAGGTTTGTATACTCTCTAAAGCCTCCTCTCACATGTCTGGATGAATTGTAACGACGTCACTGCTATGTTTTGGCATATGTTCCACAATTGTGTTTTCAAACAGAAGAAAGTTTTGACGTCTCTTGTGCTGCCTTTGCTTTTAGTTTTAACATCAGAAATTGGGGGAATAACTAGGTGTCAGTGTCACTATCATGATTATCATGTCCATCAGAAACTTGCATGACAGCATAAAATAGATGGTTTATTATGTTCTTACGTTTATCATCATTTACTATGTGTTCATGTGTTCGTTGACCTACAATGGGGCCTTAAATAGTTCCTTCCCGGCCCTCCCAGCTCCGAGCTCCAGTCGCCGTAGCGGCTGAGGCTGCAACACGTGAACAAAAAATTTCAACGGAGCGCTAAGGTGGTGCTGGAGGTTCGCTTGGCTCGAATCTCCCGGAAATCCCTGCTTGGAGGTTGAGGATGCAGCTAGCTGGGAGATGATCATTGAATTATGTAAATAGGGAATTGATGGGAATTGTACAGCAAGCCATGTGTGATTATATAGAGGGTAAAAGGAATGACTCAAGATTTTATGATTCTCACTGGTGTCTGATTTTAAGGTCTGACTGGTCGTTCCTTCATGTATGGAAGCATCAGGATAGCCGTGTACCACATCCAGATACTGGTCAATGGGTTTGTCTTACTTTGTTCTTCTTTGTTAAGTGTCGCTGTCAATTTTCCCCAAAAGACTCGTAAACATGCAACCAGGTTGGGTTAACATATTGTTAAATTCCTCTTGATATGGGCACTTTGAGGGTGGATATAGAATTACATTCTATTATCTATACACTACGCACTGCTTTACCGTAGAGACATGTCATTCTTTCAATGTTTGGGGGTTTTCTTTGGCTTTTTTTTGGGTTATCAGGAGGCATTCCGCACCTTGAAATCCGCCGATTCAGAGGCGGTGAAACAAAATGGCCTGTCCTTGCAGTTCGCTCATCCCGATGTCCGAGCCGATGCCGATGTAACTGGGTTTGTGGATACCTTGTGGCCAGTTTTTGTTGATAACCCCTTATATATATATTATATTAATATATATTTATATAGATATTTGTTAATATTATATATATCATAATATGAAATATATTAAATAAAGTACTTTGTAACATTATAATATATATATATATAATATTTTATTGTTGTGAATTATATTATATATATTATGTAATATATAATCATATAATATATTATATGTTACGTGTGTGGTATTATATATATATATATATATACAATATATATTTTATGTTTTGTTGTAAAATATTTATATATATATACATATATAATATAATACATATACATATTATTTTGTTTTATTTTATCTATTATATTTTATTATAGTATAGTGTAGTATATATTATATATTAAATAAACAACATATTTAATATATATATATTATTATTTATTATCATAATAGTAATAATAATATATCGTTTATATATATAGATTATACATATAGATTATATGTATATGTTATACTATATTATATATATAGTGTATATAGTGTATGTAGTTTATAATATTTTTCGATATATATATATACATTTGTATAATTCGTGTATGTTTTTACCACATGGGGTGATCCCATTTGACTTTCCAGACAATGCTTGCATTTTCCCTAAAGATCTGGAGAGAAAAACATCAGAATAGTAGTTAGTATGAAGTAAGCAACACAGAGGCCATCTCGGATCAAACACACTATACAATGGGCTGGTGGTTTCCAAGAAATTGAATTTGTCCAGTCCTGGAAAGATGATTGGTTTTAACTCGAAACTTTGTGAACGGAGCCTTGGAACAATACCTCAGAGCAGTGTTTTCTCAGAGCGATGGAGATGGGGCCCTCATTGTGAGGCAAGCAATTGATATCTCAATTCCATGCAATGGAACAAAGTGGAAATAATGAAAAAAAAGGAGTATATATATATATATCAGAGATATATGAAATATAGTGGAAATCCATGGTACTTTGGAAATCATGCAATGACATATCATATAATATCAGGTTTCCAAACCAGGTAGGCATATGGGAGCCTTGATAGCTTTTATAAAAGAGTCCAAGGTGGCAGTTCGATACCCAGGGCTTGGGTGGTTTGAGAGGTTGTTTTCTTTCCCACTATATTATATATATATGTACATAGTTTTATATTAAAAACATTCTTGACTATGTTTGATGTTTCATATTTATATTGCTATATCATGCCATATATATATAATATACATACATATTTATACATCCTTTTTTTGCTTGCTCATTCCCATTTGCTTGGGTAAATCCCAATGTGGAGCTTGTGCTGAGGTAGTCCTGCCTGCCGTGGCCCAAAACGGTAACGCCTTCGGCTATGCTGCGCGGCTGCTGCGAAACGATCCAAACATTGCGTTTCAGGCGGCTGGTGCGCTGTTGCAACACCCAAAAAAGATGCCAAACAGATTGAAACCAGGACAGGATATGAACTAATTAATGTAGATGTTTTTCCCCCATAATCTTCTTGGGGTTGCTTTTATAACCCATCCAGTAGAACAATTCCACAATGGGCTTTTGGTAATAGCCCAAGTGACCTGTGATTTTGCTGTTATGATAATCCGTTTGGGATATCCTCCAGTGTGTATATATATATACATACACAATTTCCCCATATTCTGTTCTTAAAAACACATTGAAGTAGTAAGTGGATGTAAGTGGTGTACCTCATATGTCATATGATATCCCGGCTATAGTATAGGGGTGAAATTAGTCCAGTTACCATTAATTTACTTGTGGTAAGCAGGGAAAATCATGGATACAGCCTCGCTTCTGCCCGTCGATTTGTCTCGCTTGTGCCCGCGCAGCCCCTTTCAGTCATTTTACGCAGCAGGGCTGAGGGAAACAGCATCGCTCGACAAGTTTAGCGTGTTCAAGAGCAAGCGACTAGAAGCATCTTGCCAATTTTTTCATGGCTTCTACACACACACACCTCCTAGATCCTCCTAGCATCAAGGGCATCTTCCAAGGTACTTCAACATGTCATCAACGTAGCATAATGAGCGTCTTCCACGTTACGTCAACGTGTTTTTAACATACAGTAGCATCAAGGCTGTCTTGCAAGCTACTTCAACATGTCATCGAAGTCTCATTGACACCGTCTTCCAAGACTTCCAAGTTACTTCCGCATGTTTCCAACATACCCTCAGGAGCGTCTTCCACGTTACTTGAACATGATTTAAATATAGCATCAAGGCTGTCTTCCAAGTTACTTCAACATGTCATCAAGGTAGCATTCAGAGCGTCTTTCAAGCTACTTCAACATGTTATCAACGTAGCATCACGAGCGTCTTCCAAGTTAATTCAACACGTTAACCTCATAGCATCAAGGGCGTTTTCCAAGTTACTTCAACATGTCATCAACGTAGCATATTGAGCGTCTTCCGCGTTACGCCAACATGTTTTTAATATAGCATCAAGGCTGTCTTGCATGTTGCTTCAACATGTCATCAACGTAGCATATTGAGCGTCTACCCCAAGTCCCCCGCCCATGTCCCCTAAAAAGATAAACCCTAAATGGTTGTTTATGTACACTCTGATACCTACTCCCTCTCTCCTATTCCCCAAGTTCCCCCCCAACCCCAAGGGCCCCCCATGTCCTCTAAAAAGATAAATTTATGTACATGAAGATAGGTATACATGAATGTGGGCGCAAGTGAGTCGTTTTGATGGGCGCAAGTGAGGCTGGTTCCAAAAGCAATCCCAGAACAACATGATTTGGCGTCGAGAATTGAACACTGGGAGTGGACAGGGAGAGATGAATGAGACAGCAGACCCTTTTTACAATCACTACACAGAATAAGCTGCATAAACAAGGTAAACCCAACAAAGCCAAGGACTAACCATCTGGAAATTCTTAGTGTTTTAAACTATCCCAAACAGATACCCCAACAATAGACCCCCCTAATGGGGATGGTGAGTGGGTAAGTTTACTAAGGACACATCACCAACTTTGGTAAATGTTGCTGGCCTGATCTCCGTGGTAAAACTGTTTGGTAAGCGGAAACACTCAGCAGTTTTGAGGTCTTTGTTTTATGAAAAAACCCTCTAAAAAGTCACTGAAATCCCAGGGAATCTGCAGAATCCCCAAATTTTGGGCGTCACCGTCGCGAACAATTCGCAGGCGTTAGCACTGAACGGCAACGCCTTGGCACATGTTGGGGGGGCCCAGTTCCGTGGAGATCAGTGGCTGCGATCTTCCCCCTGTCGGTTGATGATTATAGGGGATGATACTACCCAATAAATTGATATATGATATAAATACTGCATACATACATACATATAATTTGTATATATATATATATATACATATATTGGGAGTTAGAATAATCCAAGAATGGGGAATCCCCATCAACCAACCAGGATGAAATGGAATGGCAGAGGGATTTTGAAGAATGCTCATTCAACATCAACATACCGTATAGGGTAAATTAAAATAGATGTGGAAGACTCATTGTTTTCCCTTCGAACATGATCTACAAATGGTGGGTTTTTCAACTCGATGTTAGTTTACAGGAGGGTATATCGAAATTAGTATGAAACTGTAGCTTATTAATTTATATCGAAGAGGATTCTTGTTACACATGCTGTATTTGGCAGTGGAAACAGACATAGTTGGGGAGGAGTTGAGTCTTGTCATGGGGACCCTTTTCTGAGTGGCCGGGGCCCATTAGTACAGGAAATCACACACACACATATATATATATGTTGGTCGTATTTGGTATATGGTTAGTATGATTTACAGTATCCCTTTGTTTGGACTCTTGTGGCTACAACTGGGGGTTGAACATATTTGGTTGAACCCGAACATGTTTGCATCACCCTGTACATCTAAGACCAAAATTCCACCTCGACGCAGCTGCAGACACAGAAACAACAATTTCAACGTCTCAAAATGAAAAAGAAATGCAGACACTTCCAGGTGGTACCCCCCCAATGAAACAGCCTAGTGTTTTATTCATCCGGGGTTGACCAATTCCGCCAGTTGGGCGATGCCTTGAGATCTGATGCGAATCAGGTGCTTCTGCAGGCACTCGAGATGCAGCATGTTTGTGTTGGAAAGACCTTGAGGACAACTAGTTGTTCCATGAACAACTATCAAAACTCATGGAAAACATGAAACAAACAGATTGAACATGGTTTAAGCATGATAGTATGGTGAATTATTCTGTATCAAAGATATGCGGAAGGTGATGGGTAGTTGAGTGCATTGAGTCATGTTTAGCCATTTTAAGATTGGCTATGGGCCTCGGTGCGGTGGTGAAAACTTGCATGTATACGCACATATACACACATATGACATGTATATACATATGACATGTATACGCACATATACACACGTACATATGTACATTGCATGCACACATATTATGCATATATTAATTATGTATATAATTGTATATATATATAATATAGGTATATTTTTTTTTAATACTTGATTTAGATATAAATAAAACTATGATTCCCCATGATTCCCAGTATTTTGTTTGATGATGATCTACCGGAACTCAATCTTGTTGGGGATAACCTACCGACGGCGTCCGAGTCTTTGCAGGTGACTCGAAACGAGGGCGTTGAGGAGTACACGCAGCCCTACATAGTACCTGCGTGGGCTGGGAAGCCTAGAACAAAATGCAATTTAGGGAGTGGGTCGAAGTTGGGGGAGCATTGGTAATGGGTCGTAATGGAGGTCAAATTTTGAACATAGTTTTGACTCCTCTGACGGTGAGAATTTAAGGCCCCGGAGACTGCAGATATGTTCTATATGCTTAGTATTTTATTTTTTGAGCTACGCAACTCTAACCCATACCCATCTTTATTCTGAATCCATGTTTCCCTTTATTTCCCGCAGAAGAGTCAACTGGGATGAAATGTCTTTGATTTTCCTCCATATATATATATATGTTAGTAGCACCCCTCGAAAAAGATAAAAACAAAAGTCAGCTCCAATCCCAAAAGAGCGATCGATCGATCCTGTTCCGCATCTTTTCTTGGTGGGTGCTACTTTTGTTGAATCTCGGTCTCGGCAACAGCTGCAACCGCTCCAATCTGCCGCGCGTCAGGGGCCTTTGGACACGCTACGCCACCGAGAAGTCGTTTTGCGCTGGCTCGCCCGAAGGCAGGGGTGTGTCGCCGGTGACCGGTGATGGAACGCGCCACTGTATCTGAAAATGGTGGTATACCATGGTATATCCGTATACCCCCACAAAATCACCATGGTACCAGGTAAAATAATGTATGTAAATGATGAATGTTTCTAGTGGATTGAGGGTACTTTGAATGACAGCACCTATTTTAGGAGGCCATTGTGGCTGGTAGTATTGGGGTGTTTTTTGAATTCGTTTCGTGTTTGGGTTTGTCTGAAAATGAGGGTACCTACACCTAAGTTTGATGGTCTATCATATAATTCTACTGATTGATATTGGTGAAAACATATATAGACTATATGATCCCCCAGTCGTTGGCTTTGAAGAGTCAGCATTGCACACTGGCCTCCCGGCCTAAGGGAGGACCGTGTCTTTTGTTTCAAGCTTAAAGCATCTTGCAATGTTATGCTTTTTTGGACGTGTCCACCGGAGATGAACAAACCGTGGTAGCGTGTTTATTTTGATGGCAGACCAGTGCAGATTATATACGCAACCAGGGTTTAGCCTGGGGTTGACATTCCAAGAGTTTGCATCATTGGTGATGTCCCAAACGAATCAGCTGCTGAGAATTGGGGCAATAGATGTCCAGCTTATTTGGACACTACAAGAACTCTACATGTCAGTTTGATCCTTAGTGGTCCCTGACATGTCCCTACTATCCCAAAGTACACTGTAAGACTTAGTAAGAAGTAAGAAGGCCTCAAAAGAGTGTCATTTACATTCATTTACAGCCATTAACAAATTCTGATGAGCTTCGCCAATCCGTGTTTCTGGGGTGGTAGCTTGTGGTGGGGGATCCAGTGGTGAATGGAGGGAGCGGTTCGGCTATGGGTATTCAATGGTATTCATCTTACATCATACTACGTCATATTACCTTTCCTATTGAATGGGTAGCCAAGGAATGCCAAGGAGCTACAATCAGAGTTTCCCAACCACATGATAGTTCACCACATTTTTGAGAGTTCATGGTTAACCACATGTTTCCTAGAGTTGTATACCAAAGGTTTCGTCCCCGGCGAGGTGGAACATTGCTGGTTGGAAGAGTCCAAGCGCTCAGGGCTGAACCATGGTGACCCCTGTTGATGTGTTCTGATGTTATGGTAGGGGTTCTAGCCTATGGTGGAAATCATATGGGTATATATATATATATTACAAGTCAAAATAGGAGGTCCGGAACAAGCTCCGGGACCACACCCGTTCCATACCCCCGTTCCATACCTCCTTGAAGGATCCGTTCCATACCTCTGTTCCATACCTCTGATCCATACGTTATTATACATATAATTATATATATAATATATATATATATATACAATTATATATATATATACAATTATATATATATATACAATTATATATATACAATTATATATATATATTTGATTATGTGCAATCTGATTTTACATTTGTACGCACATATATGAGCGCACGTACATACATGAGTGCATACATGCAAGAATACGTTTACTATGCCCAAGCCCTGTGATTGTGTTGGCAAGTCTGTGCCTGCAGCACTTACAGCTGCTACCTACTTTGTTGTGTGATGGTAGGGATGTGCTTAGCTGCTGCCAGCTGGCAGTCTAAGAATGGATTGCTTGTAACCCTCCCTCCCTCTCAACCTGTGGCAGGTTTGTGCCCGCACCACTTAAAGTTGCTGCAGGCTGTGGCACAGCTGTGGTGTTTGATTGTAGAGATGCGCTTGGCTACTGCCAGCTGGCAGT